GCCGTGTTGCTATAAAAAAATAAAAGTAATAAATAACCTTTTTAGTTTACTTATTTTTTTATTAGTAGTAATTTATACTATAATAATAGTATAATATATAATTTATAACCTACGCGAGATAAATAAGTGTGTTTTCCTGCTAAAACTAGGGTAGCTAAATAACCTTATAATTTATATTAGTAATAATAATCTGCACATGGGAAAGGTTTACAGCTATAATATACACGCCCTAATAAGCCTTAAATAACCACTATAGCTTATTAAACTATTAAAGGTTATTAAAAATAAAAGTAAATTATATTTAATACACACCGTGGTTATAAGTTAAACCTTAACCTTATTATTTATAGCAAGACTAATTATTTATAATACTAAACTTAGGCTTAATAACTATATTAAAAAACGCGTAGTAATAGTAATAAAACTATGCTATAATAATATAAAGGTTATCTTGTAAATTATGCCATGTAATTTATTTATAAATAGCTTTTATATTATCACACCATGCTTTATACTTAGGTAACTATTATATTAGGTTATTTTAGTATAAATTAGCTGTAAAAAATATTAGGAATAGGTAAGCTATGCCTATTTAAAAAGTAAAAGGTTAAAATAACATGCATGGTAATAAGAAACAGGCTACTTACTAATATTTTTAACCATGGCTTTTAAGCTATTTCTTTTATTATATTAAAACGGCCGCGTATTGTAAATGGTTTTAAAAAAACTAGTAATAAAACTTAGTAATATAAATAATTTAGCTATATTTAATTAAAAAGCTGCCTATAACTTTTTTATAAAAATATCTTGCTAGCCGGGCGCGCGGTTATAAATATAAAAACTAGCTTATTAATTTATTTATTAATAATAAATTATATTAAAGTAAATATATTAAAACCAGGGATACCATGCGAAACAGCTACTTTTATATTTAAGTAGGTATTTAATATAATTTATAAATAATACCTTGCGTGAACGCGTTGTGACTAGCTCCGTATTATTATAAAAAAAAAAAGTAAAAAATACTAGTAATAATAATTATTACAAGTAATTAAATTTAAATAACAGTGTTATATAAAATAAAGGGAAAGTTAAATAAAAGTTATTATATACTAATTTAATAGTATTATTTACCGCGGCCTGTAATACCTTAAGCTTTATGATTATTATAAGTAAATTAGGTACTATAACTATATTAAGCGCCTGTATATTATTAGGGTTTACTTATTAATTATTATTTAGGGTAATTAGCTTACTGGCTAGCTCCTGGATTAAAATAAAATAATTAATTAGTTTATTTTTTAGTAACTATATAAGGTTATAGTTATTTTTAATTATATTTTAATACCCTGGATAGTTCGCCCGAAGGTAATCTAGCTATTATTTAACTACCTAGTACTATACTTTAAAGTTATGATAAAACTATAAATATATTTCCTAGTTTATATTAAAATTAAATAGTTACAAGATTAATACCTTAAGATTTTTAAGTAAAAGCAGGAGTTATTTATACACTTAACTAGTATTTTATAAAAAGTTAATAATATAGCCTTTATATAAATACTAGTAATTTTAAATATAATAAACCTTAATAAATATATAAACTCTTATAATTAACATTTTCTTAATCTATATTAATTTTAAAAGGTAAGAAAAAATATTACCAGGATTTATTTTATTTTATAAATTAAATTTAAAAATCTCCTGGTTTTAGTTAGCTAACACGTAATACTTATAAATATTATTTCTTTTTTAAAGGTTTATATTAAATTATTATTTTTAATAATAACTACATGTTTTTAGCTAGTATATATTAAGCCAGTAGTAAAAGTTATTTAATAACTTTTAATTATAATTTATAATAGCTAAATATATAAAATTAATTAGGGAAAATAAACATGGTAAGGAAGTATAGTCTAGGTTTGTATATATAAAAGGGCTAAAGTTAACTTTAGTAATTTATAAAGGTAAAGGTAAATTATTTTTAATAATAAATTAAAAGCTTACAGCCGTGAAGCTATTAATATTTAACTTAATATTATTTTTATTAATAATAATAACTAGCTGCGGGCGCCTAGCTAGCAGGCAAGGTATAAATAATAGTAAAAACATGGCTATTACGGGCGTGAAAGGGGGTATAAAAATAGTAAATATTATTAGTAGTAACAGGCGTGTTAAAGGTAAATAAAAAGGTTAGGGTTTATAAAAAGTAATTATATAAGCTACTTAACTTACCACTTACTAGGCATGCTATTATTTAATATTTTTATAATATTTTTTTGCCTGCTATAAGTTATTAAATAAATATATATTATAATATTAGTAATCTAGCTTTAGCCGTAGCGGGCGCGCTTATTACATGTTTAAGTTAATTTTACCAAGAAAAAAATATTAAAGGGGCAGGTTAAAAAAGCCTGTAGTTATAGTAAACTATTTACTTTTTTTTTATTATATATTAATAGCTATAATATACATGCAAGGCAGTATAAACACGCCTTATTTTTATAATTATTATAAATACTGCAAGGCTTGCGGCCCGAGCGCTATTAAAATTAAAATATAAGTAATATATTTTTATACTAGCTATAAAATATAGTTAGCTTTATAATTAAACTTATTTATATAAACCGCGAGCGGAAAAGGGATTATAAACTTAAGGTTTAAGTTATTATATTACTAAAAAAACTATATTACAAAGTTAAAGCGGTAAGAAGGTTATATAATTACCCTTTTTTTTAGCTAATTAGCTTTATTCCCTTTAGCTAATTAGTGTTATTTTACCGTTTTACATAATCCCTAATAAAGCTCACGTAACTAGGAGCCAGGACCTATAATTTATTGTGCGCGGGCCTTTACTTTGTTCTAGCCTCGCGTAATAATGAATATTAACCTGTCTTGATAGTCACTGCGCAGTAGTTACGGTCATGGTCTTTATTACTTTACATACTTAGTACTAGTATAGAGAGGTCCTAGGAATTCCAAGTTTAAGTTCTTGCTTTATTACTTACTTTACATGCTTATAGGCTTTGGACCATGTCCTTCCAATAGTTACTTTATATTATGGACATGGCCGATAGAATATATTGCTTATAACAGATACTCCGACAGGTGGATCTTCCTTATATGCAAGCCAGAGAGTGTATCTTTCTTCAAGTAGGAAGGTATTAGTTCCAAGTCCACTACCTAATCTTGGCTCTGAACTTTTGTGGCTCTGTGATCAAGGGGAAAGGTCAATTGTCGAGGAGATACAGATAGATGCTTGTATTCAAGCACTCTTTTCCTGCAGTAACAAGTGTAGTTTAAGAAAGGACAGCTGTTCAAAATCTTTAGAATATTGCATGGGGCCTCGCCGCCTCAGATCGCAGTTCTGCAGCGGAATGGATCAAGGTTCAGCCGAAATTGAGCCTCTTGCGGCCCCATCCCTGTCATTTGACGGGAATCTCTTCAGCCTTCAGCGAACCCCACCACAGCTTTTCTGCATTGCTCCTTGATTGCTGCATCCATGCTGTCTCCCGAGGTCATTAGTGACCATGAATCATTAGGTTGCATATCTCTCATTGTTTCTTAGGTTGCATATCTCACCAGCGACTCTCCCAGTCGAGCAATCATGTCATAGACTCATAGTCATGATGCCCTCGGACCACTTTCTGGCGGGCGTTTTCCCCGCTTTCTCTTTCACGAGTCCTCGACCGAGCCCTGTCGGCTCATGGATCAGCCTTCAAGTGAAGTGCAGGAATAATCGGGCGCATTTTTATTCGGAATTGAAGCTGACATGAGATGGACCGTGCTGCCACCCAGGTCGGAATTCAGATATTTCATGGCGATGACGATCTTTCGGATGAGGAGCTCCCCAGCATGAGCCATGTGAGTTCAGACTTCGAACCAGGACTTCGAACCAGGGAACGCCAATTTGAGGTAACAGGCACTTTATTTACAATAAATTTGGCTGTATACTGCTTTATTTCTTTTGTCTCCTGACGATGTGCCTGAATAAATTATTCTACCTCGTGCCCCTTTTCTTGTGCCTGTAAAGTGTTAAATTACAAACTCCCTCGACCCTCGCAGAACAGCTTGACATTCAGGCCCATGGGTCTTTCCTCTGGCAGTTTTGTCTACGAGAACTCCAAGGTTGGCTTGCTGTGAAACATGGTTTATTGCTCTTTGACAACCATATCAGATTTGTTTGTGTTTTATTGTTCCCCATCTCCAAGCCACCCCTTTACCCCTTTTGGTTCCTGAATACAACCTCGACCCTTTCTTTAGTGGATTCTGCACACTTATTTCCAGACTTCCAGTGGTCAGCGCTATCTATTTTGAGCCCAAAGGTTCAGGCCATTCTTTGTCTCCATTTGAGTCTCTCTGTGCTGTCATTCCACGACCCCCTCGAACAACATCAAGTAAATAACATTCCTCTTCTTTTCATCATCTCTTCTTTTCAGTATCTTTTCAATATTTACTTCTGCGCAACCTGCGCTGCGGCTCGTTGTCGGGTTTATTTAGTACTTGGCGGTGTTGAGCCTAACCCCTATTATTATCGACGAGCCGCTAACAACTCCAGAAGGTCAGTCCGTCCTCTCCTTTCCACCAACCCTCCCCAATGCACATTCCAATTGACCACTAGACTCCCCATTAGACACGTCTCCATTGGGACCTTTCGTTTCGCGCTGTGGCATTTTTATTCTTTTCTTGTCGCTCTTTCCTCTTCACTGCTCTACCCGGAGCTCCTGTTTCTCGATTTTCAACTTCTCTTCTCGGGGTGACCTTCGACCCCCTTGCCCTTGTTCTTTTCTTCTTATTTCATTTCACACGTTTATTCTTCCTTCATTTATTTGGCCTTGAATTTTCCGTCTCGTCACCTTCAACCCCTTGTTTAGATTACGTGCTCCCTCGCCATGCAAACCGCCGATGTCTCTAATATTCCGAGTCGTCTGAAGTTTTCTCATCTGAACGCAGACAGTACTGGGTTTTCTCACGGGGCATACAATTCCAACAGTACCTACATGTCGGACCGGAACCATCGCCGAGTAAACATTCCCGCTATCAACACAGCTGCTACCCCAAGCACGACCGATAACATGGCGACCTCGGGCACCGCGTTCGATATGAACTTTACACCCCTCCTTCCCTCCCAGCTGCTTCTCGGTAGCCCGTTCCAACCCGGAACCCCCTCCGCGTTCACCTCGCCTCAATTTACCAACTACGGCGGCTTCCCCCAGAACCCCTCGGCACAGGCGGCACAGAACCAACTAGGAAGCCCGACGCAAGCTTCCCATAATGCTGGGCTATACTCGAACATGCTGGCTGCGGAAGGTTTGGGTAATCAACATGCGGCCAGTCCTGTCGGTGGTCTAGGGGGGCTGGGAAATGCCGCATACGGAAGTCCTGCTGCCTCTGTGACACCTGGCCTTCTTTCAGGGACGAGCCGGACTGTATATCTTGGCAACATTCCCCCGGAGACCCCCGCTGAGGAAATCCTTAATCACGTCCGCAGCGGCCAGATTGAGTCTGTTCGCTTGCTCCCGGACAAGAACTGCGCCTTCATTTCATTTTTGGACAGCAACTCGGCCACCCATTTCCACTCGGACGCCATTCTTAAGAAGCTAGCGATCAAGGGGAACGACATCAAGGTGGGCTGGGGTAAGCCTTCGCAGGTGCCTACGTCGGTCGCATTGGCCGTTCAACAGTCGGGAGCCTCGCGCAATGTGTATCTCGGAAACCTGCCAGAGGAAACAACAGAGGATGAGCTGCGGGAAGAGCTTGGCAAATTTGGCCCAATCGACACTGTGAAGATTGTAAAGGAAAAGGCCATTGGCTTTGTTCATTTCCTGTCCATCACCAATGCCATGAAAGCCGTTTCCCAGCTTCCTCAGGAAGCCAAATGGCAGGCTCCCCGGCGTGTCTTCTACGGCAAGGACCGGTGCGCCTACGTTTCAAAGACACAGCAGCAGAACGCCGCGCAGTTCCTGGGAATTGCGCCCGGATATGCGCACATCCTCAACTCAGCCGACCGGGACCTGATCACCAACGCTCTAGCCCAACAGTCTGTGGCTGCGGCGGCGGTGGCCACGTCTGCCGGCGGTGTCAACAACCTGGGTAACCGAACCATCTACCTTGGCAACATCCACCCTGAGACTACCATCGAGGAAATTTGCAACGTGGTGCGAGGAGGTCTTCTGCACCATATTCGATACATCCCGGACAAGCACATCTGCTTTGTTACATTCATTGACCCGACATCAGCTGCTTCCTTCTATGCCCTAAGTAATCTACAGGGACTCATGATTCACAACAGGCGGCTGAAGATTGGCTGGGGTAAACACTCTGGACCTCTTCCTCCTGCCATTGCACTCGCTGTCAGTGGCGGTGCCTCCCGCAACGTGTACGTCGGCAACTTGGATGAGTCGTGGGCCGAAGAGCGTCTGCGTCAAGACTTCGCGGAGTATGGAGAGATCGAATTGGTTAACACTCTCCGGGAGAAGAGTTGTGCCTTTGTGAACTTCACCAACATTGCCAATGCAATCAAAGCTATTGAGGGCATGCGTAATCGAGAGGAGTACCGGAGATTCAAGATCAACTTTGGAAAAGACCGTTGTGGAAACCCACCTCGTCAAACTGGTCCGCAACAAAATCGTAATGCCACCGAAGGGCAGTCGCCACCTCCCGCGAATGGCTTCCATTTGAGTCAAATCCAGCCTCCACGTCCAACACTTTCCCCTCCTGGCTCTACAGGATCTCAGAATGGCCAACAGAGCCGACACCCCCTACAGACCGTAGCATCTCCGTCCGGTATCTTGAACAATGGGTCCAACAACCCGCTGACCATGTACCTGAACCAGATGTCTACTCAGCAGGTCCAGGAACAGGATGACCGGCTGAACGATCCCCTTACTCTGGCGGCTCTACAGTCTCAACCTCAAACCAACTACCCTTCAATGGTTGCAGGCCACACCAGCGAGCTCGCCAGTGGCGGCATTGAAGCCCCTCTGCATCAACACAAGCCGTCGGCCAACGGATTCCTTAACATCAGTACCGGCCCCACAGCCCACGGTCACCACGCTACTGCAAGCACCAGCAGCCTGAGCGTACCCCGTGCGCAACATTCCCGGGCTGTGAGCTTACCGTCCTTCTCTCAAGAGCCATTCGGTCCTATCTCGGGTCAACCAGGCCCTGGCCGTTCTGGGGCTTCCCATCACCCTCAAAGCAGCTTCTCTGGCTTTAACTCCGCTCTTGGTGGGCTCAACCATTCTGGCTTTGGGCTGGCCATTCACAACGAAAATTCATTGCCTGGCTGGGCAGAAGAGGAGATCGGGGCCAAATAAACATTCTGCCCCAATTCGTCTTTCTTTTTTTGATGATCCTTCTGCATTCTTACATTGGAATATCTACCATTCTGCTTCGTTTCTACTGTATTGGTTCAGTCATGCTTTCTGCCCTTTTGATGTCCGTATCTCATTCCAGACCACCCCTCTTATTATTCTTTTAATCCCCTTTCCTTATACCATTCACATGTATTGCTAGCTGGGTATGATACCTTTCCCCTTCATTTCTCTGTTTTCTCTTTGTTCTTGACTTTTACAATCTTGCCTATTACTCTTTGCCTTTGAGGACGAGTTCTTGGCTGCACCATAGACTGGTTTGGCTCTGGTCTATTTCTATGTCTCGGTCTCCTATTGCATATGTGATGTCAGAATTAATCCGGAGATTACAGCGTTCCTCTTGCGTGTTGATGGTGGACGGAAGCCCAACACTTTTGAGATAAAATATGGCGGCAATAGCCATTGGGGAGAAAGAGGTGAAAGAGAACAGAAAAATGATATCAATGATGTGCATCTAGAACGACATTTTTGACTCAAATTAATGTCTCTGGGTCTTGAGTTGCGAGCCGTGTATAGCAACGATACCATGATAAATCATTATAATATTAAGCCAACTATGTTGCCGCAAAGGTCTAGCCTCCTATATCAGTCTCTCATAGTCTTTCATCGTCCCAGTTGTGCTGCTGCATTGTTTGAGACAAACGGACACGGAACGGAAGAACCCTATGCCGCGCTTCAGTAAATCACCCTCACCCATACTGGGGCCGAGCCTTCGCCTTCCGACGTCCTTGAAGTCAGTTGCTTCTTTTTTCTGCTCCTGACTAGCCGGTCATAGCTTGCTGATGCAACATGTCTTTACCCCCTGAACAGATTAGTATCAAACGCCGCCGAGAGGAAGAGCCGGTAGACACATTATGTAAGTGCTCCCGTCTTCCAAAGATGAGAAACCCGACCTATCCGTTGTGTGTTTCTATGGCACTAACTATGACTAGATATCCAATCTGAACTGCATCAGACCAAACGTCGTTTTACAGACTTTGTTTTCCAGCGAGTCACGGTCAATGCTAAGACTGCTCCCGGAAATGCTAATACTGCTCTTGCGCCTACGCAAAGAGTCGTTCGAAGCCCTCGCTCTGTGAGCGGTCTGCATCAGCAGACTGCAATAGCGAGCGGGGTTTCCGTACCTATGGTAAGGGCGACATCACCAGGAGCCGAGCTTCGCGAGCAAAAGAGAATCGCGGCTGCCCGGCAGCTGGCAGAGGACAAGCTGAAAAATGCTCTGCAATCCTCTCCGGACCCGCAAACATCAGAGACCACTCTACCGCAGAAAATCGTGGCAGCACCCCCAGCATTGACCGTGACTGCTTCAGATGAGCCAGTCACGGTCAATGCTGGGGGAGCGTCGTCTATACGTCGTTTCCAGATTTCAAAAAGTGGCACGCCTATGAGCCCGCTACGCAGTACAGGCGGGGGTGTCCAGAAACGCAGAGCGGACGGTGCTGTGGCAGTACTGGTAGAAAAGCTGCGGCGCGAGCCTCACTCCAGACGGGCCTCGTTGGTTGCAGATGCAGCCGCTCGAGCGGATGGTGCCGCTCCTCACCCACAGAACACCCACCGTCCGCGGAAGCGACCAGTGGTCAATCAAGCAGAGAAAAAATGGCGAGCGGAGCGGCAGGGGGCGATTACTGCTGCTAAAGATCATATCTCTCAAGTTCTCGAAAAGGGAGCGCAGTCACGCCAGAGCAATTGGGAAGAGGAATCGGACCGACTGGCACGTCAGTTTGAGCAGATTGCATTGGAGCTAGATGCCCAAACACACTCCAAACAGGCCCCGGGTGAGGCTCGCGCCGCAGCTCGTCCGGCAGGGCCCAAGCCTCCGCTCAAATACCAGCCGCGGACTCCTAACAAGCATCGCCCTCATCCTAATTGGGTGCCAAAGCACGAAGACGGCAGTGAAAGTGAAGATGATTATGTTTACGACACGTACATCCGTCATCCGCTCCCGGACAAAGGACTTATAGACCCGCTAGTAGATATCGATTCGGACCATGAAGCATGGTTACGGCACCATGGAATCGATAGCAGCCGCCAAGATGTTGGAGTTATTGTCATTACGCCAGAGGATGAGGTATACTGGGAGGACTTTGCAGAAGAGGATGACGATGAAGATAGGTGGGATAGCGAAGACGGGGACTCCAACGGTTAGTAAATGCACTGATTGGTTAACACAGCTAACAGGATCATTACCAAAAGCTGAAAATAATCCTGCAAATGACTATCCGGACGAGGAGCTATCTTGGGACGATGAAGAAGATGATGCGGCAGCGATCTACAGGAAATACCGACATGGGTCCGATGACGAGGAATTCGACTTTGATTCCGGCAGCGACGCCTACCTTGATTGTGGGACGTACGGACGGTCGCACTTGGAGTCTGACGAGGAGTGGTAGATGGAAGCAAGGAAGCTTCTCACGCGGTGACATCAACTTCCATCTGCAGCGAACTGCAGCAATATTGCAGAACGCTCTGTGTCTTTCCAACTATGCCGACGCCGAGTGGTTTGCGAACTGACAGGCCCCAATCAATGTGCGGCCCCCTCTTTCTTCAGACCTCTTCCTAGCAAAGCCCAATAGAAATACGTCAAGCAACGCAGCCGATCGAATCAGCCGGTCATCTTCAACCCTCAGCCGGCCATAATCACCCGACGCGCTGCTGAAGAAACTTGAATAGACCAGATCCTTGACAGTGAAATGACCAAACCAGATCCTTCATCCTTTGATAATTCTTATCGAATGCCCGCTGTCACCTAGCCGAGCCAGCCAATCCCCACAACACCCTCACCATGTCTTGCGGTCCCATCCCACGCGAGCGAGAAGGAATGGGTCTGCAGATACGGCCGGGCCATATTACTTTTTCCATCGCGTGGGAAGGCTGCGCGGAGGAAAGCTGCACGAATAGCGATAGAACGATAATCGACGAAGGATCCTGTCAAGCATAGTCTAACTCAATTTATACAATGTACACACGTAGCTATTTGCCTACCTTTCCTTGCAATCTATTATCCTTCTAGCCGGGGGCCAGCTCCTTCGCTCGATCGATGGGTTCTGCAGATTATTCGCAGAGTGCTGACTGCTGACCCTACAGCTGACAAGGGTTCGAGGCGAGCTGAATACCCAAATAGGCGATCCTGCCGGGCGGACAGGATTTGGCCTGACAAGTCTGCTGGGCTTTAGTGGCCTAGTCTAGCATCTTGCGAGTTGCACGAGGCTTGGTTAGGCAACATCCTGCGCCCAGAGCAACATTGAAGTAACGTATAGCACGGCAGTCTAAGGATGAACTTTGAGACAAGGAGATTGTTGGGGCCGATTCCTTTTTAAAAGTCCGTCAAGGCGTTCTCCGACTACCTGTAATCTGTGCTTGGCGGCCCTCGGGCCCTCGGACGAAACTCGACCGGTACGCACGTATGTATCCCAGCGTACATTACAGGCAAGGTACAGCCTTCTTGTTCTCGGTGCTCCTTGCTCGAGTCAGGGTCCACAGCTTACCAGGTCGCCAGGTCTCTTGAATATGTGGCTGACGGAAGATGAGCTCAGGGCTGAGGAGTTCTCCATTTCTAGATCGAATATTCCTTCTCCTAAGGAATATCGCTTACGGAGGACCTCAAATCAACCCTTGTAAGATTATCGTATGATCCCGGTACAAGGGCTGGAGGAATCACGTGAGAGCTCTTTTCCTTCAAGGCGTTTTTATGATGGGTTTGTACGGACGGGTCATTTGTATGGACATGAATAAAGTATGTGATTTGATCTGATGACACTGAAGCTAGTCTAGGTGCATACCCACCACAGAAGCCAAGTTCAGGGCTGAGGAGTCCCCCAGTGAAAAGTAAAAAGTAACGAGATTTGATATCGGTGTCGGTATCGGTATCGAGGTATCATAACATGATTGTTCATCATATGCATGCTAGAATACAGAGAGCCTCCCAATGATTTGTTCGTAAAAAAGAGGAAAGACGAAGAAGTCCTGAAAAAGAGGTTGCCGAGGTGAAGGTATGGTATAAGGTAAAGTAGTGTCGGCCGTGGTCAAGAGTTGGGGAATTAAGTCGAGGGTATGAAATAGGTAGCTGCGGCGAAATCACCTCGGCAACCTCTTCCTCAGGACCTCTTCGCGGTCCTCTCTCATCCACGGATACCAAACGCCCATCCACTCGACAACCCCAAACTGAGGCTTGCCACCGTACCCGGAGCCCGAGTCCGCCGGCGGCTGCGAGAGAGCATGCGGAGTCTGGCCGGAGATGAACTCGCCGTCGCGCATACGCCGCTGCTCCCTCAGCGTGGGGCAGTTCTTCTCCTTGATGAAGCGGTAGAATTTACACTGGATGCCCTGGAAGCCCTCGCGCTTGCGGTTGGAGAACTGCCGGTTGAAGGACTCGCGGACTTCCTTCCACTCCTGGCTGAGGTCGACGCGGTGGTACCAGATGAAGTACATTTCCTCTTCCTCGTACTTGGGGCGCGGCAGACGGCGGCGGCTGTCGCGGCCTCGGCCGGAACTGCTGGCGCTGTGCGGGTGCTGGCTATGGTGGCCGTTTGTGCTGGAGGTGCTGCTGGAGACGGAGGAGTAGCGGTCCCGCGTGTGAGGCTCTGGCGAGGAAGTTGCTGAGTAGGAGTGGTAAGAGGCGTATGGGTCCCGGGGTCCGGGATTGTAGTGGTGATGATGATGATGGTGGTGTGTCTGAGAGTAATAGTAGGTTGGACTCTGAGGGTAGAGAGGCGAGTACTGCGGTGTTAGAGGCGCAGGCGCAGTCGCATAGTCAAGTTTCGAGGCTGAGAGCGAGCCTGCACTGTCGGCCTCTCCTTGGGGGTTAAGCAAGGAGTCGATAGCCATGCTACGACTGGGGCGGGGCGAGAGTTCAGTCATGATCGATAAACAGTAAGAGTCTGAGGGCGGAGGTGAAAGTAAAATGGAGCGGACGAACGGGGAGAGCGCGCTTAAGAGGGGGACGTCGAACTTCCAGGAGGGTGATCCGGTTGGAGATTTGACGAGTTGAGTAGTCGCAGCACCCATGCAGCGTACCAAGTCCCTGGGACTTGTCGGCCTGTCACAGAAGGCGCTGAGAACCGCCCCTGTTCGCCTTTGGCGAATGTCGTCAAGCCCGATGCGCTGCGCTGCGGAGCGTCTGCGGCAATGGACAGAAGTGGAAAGAGGGCTCGACTGTTTCAGTTTCTCGATGAGTTGAAGCTGGAGTTGGTGGATGAGAAACAGCCGGCCAGAGGAGACGGCCGTGTTTAAGGTACCTCACAGTGCCAGAGCTCAGATTACAAAATGCAAAATAATAAATCGGAAATCCCAATCAATAATTATTTAATAAATGTCTCTGCCTCGGGAGAGATACCGTTAGATCGGGTAATTTCATTACTGGTATTCTGCCCCAACCCCAGGAGCCGCAGTGTCATCCAACAAAGAAGTTCAACGGTGAACATGACAAATACTCGTGCATATTCTAGTTGCCAGAGTATCAAGACAGCTTGCACAAATTAAAGCAGAGGGGACAAACGGGATCTCCGGCTCAACCATACAACATAGACATAGATGAGCCACTCTTCAGTCGGGGATGAAGATCGGAAATAAGCTGAAAGACAAAAAGTGAGTGACAGTCAGGACTCAGGAGGAGGGGGTTGGAAACCAACAGGTGCTCCTGCTCTGATTGGCCGCGGAAGCTTGGTGGCTTTTACTAGCTTACCGTTCTCTCGGGACGGCCCAGCCAATGAGAGCCGGCCAGAGTCACGATGTGAGTGGGGCGCAGGGCGAGAAATAACAAATCTTCGCCCTCGCACTCTTCACAACTTGAGACTCAGACTTAGACAGTCCAGATGCCAATCTGCACGCTTGCCAGCTCATCCTTCTTCTGCCTGGCTTTGACTAGTTGCTGTGGTCTGTGGCCCGTGGCTGTACATTATTTCGTCAGGGCGTCGGCAAACTTTTGACCGTGTATTATATCATTCAAGAATCAAGATGAGATCTGACGATTGCCTAGTCGGGTAATAGCTCTCGGCCTAGAGCCTACAGATCAACTGACAGGTCACAGAACATGGCACCCTGCATTATTATCACTTATTAGACCCCTGCTAACGCGGAGTCGAGTTTCACTTCCCGTCCGAGATCTCAGATGTATCACCGTCGCACTCGTTGCTATCTGGGCTGCTTGCTGCAAGAGCTCAGCCGACTGGCCCCCGTACGGCGTAGTCCAACCTAAATCATCCTAAGGGTTGGTGTTAGGTTAGACTAGAAATGACTTACTTTCTGTAACTCAATGCATCATCCCCACAAGGCATTTGTCACACTGGCCAGTTACCACTTTTCCCGCTTTTGTCGCATCATAGCCTGAAGATCGGTCCCTTTTTGGATGATTGACAAAGAACGCCCATTTTCAAATCGCAGGCAGCTTCGTCAGAAGTATCGAGGCCAAGACAGCGAAAGTGTGGGCCTGCATTGCGGCACAGTCAAGGCGCGCAAGCGCAAGCAAGCTTTGGATCGCTGGCAGCTGCCCTCCGAACCTTGGAAAAGATTTGCTGCCAGATTGAATGAATTGGATGCTTCAACTTGGTACGGGGAACTCCGGCCAGCCAATATTGACCACTTCGAGGCGAGATGCGATTCAGGCCAGACTGGCGATGCCCGAGTCAGGGTTGCGCCTGCTTTGTCTGCTGCTGAGTCGCTGATCGCTGATCGCTGGTCCTGGTCGCTGATCCCATCCCTGTCACGCTCAGACTGTTTGCTGTCATATGCCATCTCCGAGCGATCCATATGAGCGTGAAGACCAGACTGATATTTCCTCGGAAGTCGTCTCGCTCGTTCGTCACTTGCTGTCTGTCGCGTAGATCGCAGGATTCTTCATGCGGGCTCCTACCAATCCCGGTAAGGTGTCCCAGTCCGTCAAGCGGCGAAGGATCAACCCGGGACTCTGAACAGCTGCTCTTATTCTGCCAGTAATCCTCGACAGAGCTAGGGTGCCACTCTCATGAAAGACAGCGCATACCCGCAGTCGAGTTCAATCACGTGAGTCTGGCATCGTTATTAGATGAAGAATGCTCAGCAGACCCTTGCCTCGGTCGGAGTTGTGCAGGTCTACTGGCAACTCCGACCGAGGCAAGGGCCAGCTGTACTGCGATAAAGACGACAGTGGACTCTGACAACCTTGCGGGTCAGGTCCACTGCCGTCTCGCACTTTAGTTGCCTCCTCTCTCTTCCCCTTTTCTCGCGATGAAGAGTCCGTTTGTCCCCGTCTCTTCAGAAATCTATCAGAGACGTGGACAAACGGACTCTTCATGCTGGCAAGTAACACGGCGCAGGCTCCAATCAGAGCAGCAGGCCAGATTAGATCCTCGTGGTGGCCAAAGCTCGACTTCCAGAACCCCCGAATCGATCTGATTCTGGGGAGCTCCAGCTCGAGCCACTCGGACGGGGTCAACCTGGGCCAGAAATATACGACAGCCAATGAGCAGCCGGCGGACGGGGAGATCCCGCCATCATTCTCCTTCCTGCCTCTGCGCTCAACGGTTCTGCAGCTCTCAAGGGGTTGGCAAACTCTGAGACAGCCAGACTTTGCCTGACACCTGCACCTGCCTGCACCCTCAGCAAGGAGACGTCTGAGTAAGCAGACACCGCAGAATACTCTCTGGGATCACTTGACTCTCGGTGAGCCAAGGCCCGAGGGTTCGTGAAACCTGCCTTTTGCTTTTTGCTGTGAAGAACTCGAATCCCTTGCGTTCTTGGCTCTTGGATCTTTATGCAGTTATGTATGCTGTTTCTTGCATTAGACATCATCATCGCCTGATTCTTGTGCAGTCACCTAGACATGGCCAGCTAATTCTCTGTACTTCTGTATGTTGAATGGTTACTGTCTTTGCCGTCGCTTAGGTACTATACACACAATCAAACCGACCCAGTCGACCCCAACTGTGGTGTCGGCAGTATACGTGCTTCCGTCCGATCATTGGCTCTCTCGGCTACATTTGATCGTGATTGGCACTGGCCAATAAATCCATTTCTCGGCCCCCACGAGCACGAGCCCATCGTCGCGCAAGGATTAAAAAGGCCGCCGGCACTACTGCAGCGCAATCTGCAGCGCCCGCATTCAATTCTCATCGAGAACAACCCCGTATCACGGTATTAAGCACTTAGCATGTTTCCAATTTAAGACCAACATCCTAGACCTCTATCCCATTAGGCATTAGGGCTTCGAGCCGGGAACGGAGACTAGACCAACAAGGCAGTACGTAGACCTCGAACTTCTGACTATGGACGGATGCCATTGTTAATCAAATTTAATTTGGAGTTTCTTTGCGGAGATTAAGGTCTGGCCCTTGCTCTTGTACTGGAGCTTTTGATGCTGGGTTTATCGAGTAACACACCCTCTGGCCTGCAGCTGTAGCCGACTGGAGAGTAGGCTGTGACGGACGGCACTGGACTAGGTTTGGGCCCGTCCCGGGACGTTCGTGACTCGTCACAGCCATGCGCAAATCCTTCTCATGGCGCCAACGTGACAGTTTCAGCCACTGGTTGCTTTTTCTGTGCGCCACTGGCTTGTTGAGTATGCCAAGGTTGGCAGTGAGTGGCAGTGGCAACGGCGCATCCTGGCATGAACTCTGAACGTTTCAACGTACGAATGTCTCTTGGAACGAATTTCTTTCCACAGTTGGCGGCTGTTCTCGGGGCGGGACCCCGCGGCCCGCGAGTCAAGATAAGATCAGGCTGCAGGTGCAACAATTAGCCACTCCAAAGACCCTGTCAAATCAAAGAATCGGACTTGAAGTTTGAACCAGTGAACAGAGACAGCCTCATTTCATACCCATACTGTGTCATATTAAAGTGGGCTGGCCTCGGCCGGATCATCAGCAGGCTGCAGCTTCGAGGGTCGACGGCTGAATGCGGCAGGAGACTTGGCCCGGCCTTAATCTGCTGAGGTCTCGGCCGGGGCTAGAGAGAACCACAGGTCTGTGATTTCAAATTCTTGACTGACGCTCGACACAGGATCCTGAATCATGAATGTCGAATTATTGGCCGATCATCTGGTCCTCAGAAGAAACGTCTCCCGGAAATAGTCAAACTTTATCCTCGTCTAGTCCGCCGTCCCATGGCTGGGCAGGTTTCCCCGGAGAACAGCCGCCAACCGCGGAAAGGAAGTCGTTCTCGAAGCTCGGCTTGTCGGTTGATAATCCGTGACAGGCGGAGTGTCGATTCCGTGTCTACTCCATGCCACTATTGTTCTCTGAATCTGCAATTACACCTGGCATTTCGGTAATGGGTGGACCGCTCTTGGTGTGGTTATGATGGGTGGCTTGATAAGGAGCGCGTATTCTGGCGACACTCGTTGAACGTTCTTGTCGATCATCGTCATACTCGTCACACTGCTGAGCCTTCGGCCAAAGTGACAGGGATATTGTGCTCTTCGGTCATTATTGCATCAGACAACCACAGTCCAGACACGGGACATGACATTTGTCATTTAACATCCCTTGACTTGCAGGCCAGAGGGTATATGCTTGCGTTTACCCTTCCTGGTGTGGCATGGGCAGCATCATACGGAGTGGGATACCGATAGCCGTGTCGGGTAATGTGTAACTAGCTTTGACAAAGCCTTGAAGTTAAGCGCCGTTGGTTCTTCCCATATCATGATTGGAGATCGCCTGCCAGTGTCCTCTGAAGTGTATTCCGGTCTATATGAAGACCAGAATACACAGCGCTATGGGGGATACTCAATTCCTACGTCGCATCCGGTCTGATATGGCAGTTGCGGGTCTGCGGCAGATCCACAACGGGGGCCCACTGCCCAGAGAGGCAAAGGCGTCTAGGTTAGCACCCAACCGTACTATACTGGTCACTATCGATGCCGCCCAGATAGAAGCAGGTCTATCTTGACTCCGTGGCATCACGGGGATGAGTTTTCTTGAATTTATCGCAAGACAACTATGTATCAAAATCAATGAGGTGATGATTTCAGGACCCGGGTCGGAAACAATTTCCAGACTCATGATTGTACCATAGATGAGCTTGCGCGGCTGTAGAGCGGCTGTATAGAGCGAAGCCGTGGAGCGGAGATATCGCCGTTGGCATGCGGGCCCACAGATGCTGAAGGTGCTATCCGATTCATTTGGCGTTGTCTCGGAGATGATGGCTGAGATCGAATCTGTCAAGATCTAATATTCCCATTGGCTCTCCGTCTGGAGAAACTGTGGGAACTGGGCACTGAGCATTGAATAGGGGTGTTGTTGGCAAATTAATCTTTCTCGCGAAACAACAGGGATTAACCTGTTTTGAGGGCAATTAGCCTCTGATCGTCGGCAGACACAAGCGTCAAATCTCGTCCCATCATCTTGACCTCAGCTGGAGAGTTTCATTGTTCTGAGGCGTCTAGCTCTAGCCTCGCAGCAATCCCACTGGCAGCTGGAGTGCCAAGGCAGCAGTCAAACCGAGGATTGACTAGTGGCTCCTTCCTGATGAAGTTTAGTTACGTAACTGGAGTAGCTGAAGAATGACTAGTATGCGTTAGCCAGGCCCCGACGGAAACTATATGTGACGCCGCGGCGGCGATGCGGATCGCGGAGTGTGAAGAAATGTGGATGATCTCCATCTTCACGAGCTTCGACTTGAGATAGTCTTATTCCATAAGATAAATCGACCGTTACTCCTTTTTTCTCAAGGGAAGACCGAGTTTTCGGATTGCGAAAGAAGGAATATACCCCTAAGGAATTGGAACTGCCCAAAGTTTGACTTACGGTGTGCTAATGCCTAGCTATCACACCTTCACCCAGACTGTCGGGTCCTGACAGCGGTATTCTCGCTGCAGGCGAGGCGGCGGCGCTGACGCTATCTCGCCAGGAATCGTATCCTTCAGCAATTCATATCCGTCCCCTGCTCTGATAGGATGATGAAGCACGGCCTAGCGGAGGCAACAGAGTCCAGATTTTTCAGAATTCAAGATACCCAAGATCATCAAGCCCGAGGTAATCCGAAAACGATATCTCGGCCACAACCATGGAAATCAATAGGCTCGCTTCCTCTGTCGGCGAATGTATCTGTCGAGACTCGACAGCAACCTTGAAGAACTCGGTAAATCCGGTTGAAAAGGGTGGGTTGAAGAACCACATCCTTTGTTCTTCATCGGGGATCTCCGCTTGGTTCGAGCCTCCCCGCTCTCCACTTACAAGTGGCCATGGTTATCAGACTATTGCTGGCAGCCGCCCATGGTTGTAGTCACTTGTAACGGCGTCTTCAGGTCCGTGTCTTTTGAAAGCCGTCTTGTCGGGTGTATGTAGCATGTCTAAAGAAGATGCCAATTGTCAGTACCAAAAGGATTGCCGTACAGATAGATACTGACGGTGCACGAGGCCGCATTCGGAAAACTCCCATTATCGTCCGTGACGAACCGTCGTAAGTTGTAACTATTAATCGACTCAAGTCCGACTTCCGTTGCCCACAACAAGATCCACAAAGACGTTGATCCACTGAAGCCGAAAGGCTTCAAATTCAGGGCGCGGAGAGCATGGGCCATGACCCAGCAGCTGATTGTAAAGTCTCCTTCCTTTTATGACTAGGTAGCGCGAAGCCGATGTCATAGCTTTCTTCGTCTGTGATTTGAGACCTGGAGACTGTGGAACTGGGAGAAGGGAAGATGTTGAAACTCATCAAGTCAAGCCTGAATACTCAGGCGTACTTTACCACATTTTGGTAACGTACGATACCATACCAGTACAGCCTTCTACCATTCCATGTCTACCTTTGAGCATCACCATCTTATCCTTGCGTAGCAAGATTGATGGTCTGGAGAAGGAATGCATTATAACCCGTAGAGAGCTCTGATTTCTTCAAAGTTTCTGTCATGTAGGTTTCACTTTTCGGTGAACGCGCAAAAGTATATTATTGGAGATCAACCTCACAACGCGCCAAAGCATCCTGGCCCTCAGGTCTGCCTGGCTTAAAAGTCGATGCTAAAATGCAAGGTCGAATACTACCAACTCCAAGTATGTCACGGACAACGCACCGGTTTGACTAGAGGCCTGAACAGAGAGTAATAGCGGAAGGATTTGACAGCAACTTCTCTATTGGATCAGCCGTCAGATCCTGAGAAGTTTACAGTTTCTGTGTTGTATATAGGATCCCTTCGCAGTCGTAAACGCAGGGACGTCATGCCTCTCATCGAAGAGGTGGCTACCTTGCTACGAAGATTCTGGATGCAAGCCACTGGATTAAATAGAAGTGGACTTTATTAGGTACCATCATAGATACAGAAGTAGTCACATATTCTCGCCTCCATATTATTTTGCATCACTAATCTCAATCTTTTCCTAACCAGTCACCCGAAAGATTTTCTTGACATCGCTTCTGAGTTGAACTAGTCCGCGTGATAACCGGTAGCAACTTCGCAACTATACAATCAAGTTTAGCTTCATCAACCCGTTCAAGCATGAAAGCGGGAGAACTTACGGATCAGAAGCGTAGTGAACATTGCATTGCTCATACGCTTCAACGCGAACAAAAGCAGCTCTGAAGCGGACAGCGTCAAGAATGTTGCAAAAGCGGAAGCTAACAGAGCGAGCCTTTGCCCAAGTTAGTAGCTGCTGGGAGTAAGCTGTTCGGTTTGACTTACACTTCCGGGGACATAAGTGTCAATGATTTTCTCGACTTTGCGGTTTCCTGCAGTTGCAAATTTGGCGAGATCACCCAGGGTGACGTTCATTTCCACGCCAACAGCGCGAACAACACGAGAAGCTCCTGCAGCCAGCGAGAAGGAAAGCTGCGAGCTGACCACGTCCACCTCTTGGCCCAGGTTAACAAAGACAGTGAGCTTTCTTTCTTTGTCGAGGTCGATGCCGTTGGGGTATTTCTCGTAGAATGCCTTGCAAGCGGCCGCATCGCAGAACAACACATGCGCGTTCCCGGTAGGTGTGACCGAGACACTTTCGATCAGTCCGCCGTGGATTAGAGACAGGACCTTGTCGGGGGAGCGCCACGAAGAGGGGAGGTCTTTGATAATAACACGTCTGATCTGAGCAGCTGAAAAGAGACAAGCGAGTTAGCAATGAGCCCACGAAAAGGAAGGAAATTGGTAGTACCCGGCTTGTCGCGAGCCCCAGGAGCGCCCCACGACTGAAAGGTCATCAAATCCTCACGGTTCTCACAAACCTGCTCGGCTTCAGGCTGTTGTTCCTCGGTCTTGGGGTCAACAATCGAAGACTGGGGAGGAGATGAATCTCTAACAGCTTCGTTCAAGCCAAAACCTCCGTCTGATTCGAAGCCTCCATTTGCTTCAACAGGCTCTTCGGCATCACCGAGATCCTCCATAAACTGAGGAGCATCCTGTTCGGATGACTCGTCCTCAGACGCGGTGGGGGGTTTGCCGTACTCTTTCTCAAGCTTGAAAGCACGAGCAGCCTCCATGAAGCCAGCAGTGTCATCCACATCAGCAATAGGAGTGCCCATGTTTGCTTGATGTCTCGTGGTGGTGACTGGAGAAGTGTTGCAACAAGAAGAAGGATGAGAGGATGCAGAGAGAGAAATGGAAGGAGACAGGGAAGAGGGGAGCGTGAAATTTTCCTCGTTGCCGAGAGCCTGCTGTGTTATGTGCAGTGATCAGCCTTGCTTCCTTCAAGAAATGAGCTCACACAAAGAGGGGTAGCAAGTGATTTCTTAGAAAAGAAGAGGAAGACCAACCGGAGAAGGACACTGGTAATAACTGTCACGGGCCCCTTTCTTGGGAGCGTGCCTGCTCTCTTCAAGGCCATAAGAAGGTCTATCTGCGAAGACGCTGGCAATGATACCTGTAATGTCGTAACTAGTGAGATCGTAACCAGTGAGCTCCGAAAGCTTCTTCATAGCCATTTGGAAGAAGAGACTAGCACAAGAGGACGTTGGGTAAAGAGAGAGGAAGTGGTGAGAAGAGAGAAAAGTATTAGCGAATGTGGTCCTCTTGCTTAGCGAATGTACTTTGTGTTCTTGGAATTGGCTCATTCGGAGTTTGGACTTTAGGTTATTTTGCAAGGGCTGCTTGCTGAGCTTGATAATGAAGCTCCGCAAACAGCCGCAAGTGTCCAGCAAACACAACATGGATACAGCTGCATGATCGGAGTCATAGCCCAACCTCAAGGGTCCGAGAAGATTTGTCCAGAGAATCTCTCACTGTAAGAAGGTGATATATGATTGGGTTTACATACAACTGTACAACGGGATGAGACTGTGTCAACCCTGACATCAAGTTGGGACTGGGAGGGACTCCCAACCCGCCTGACCCTCCTTGCGGTCCTCAACAATCACCTGAAGTCCCGGGCGTCCACAGAAGCCATCGTTGGATGCAATCCTCTTGACTTCCTGGAATGAACCTTCGCCATTGTTGATCCCATCCGGAATCCAGGCGGTTTCCATGACGCGCTGACCATGGATTTCAGTCCGCCTCGGATTGAAACGGGGCAAGCCAACCATTGGATTTAAAAGTCTGTGAATCAGAGTATACAGCCTCTCGGGTCTACGGGTGAGCCCTAGCCAGGAGAGCGTGCCGCTGTCGTACGCCACTCGAACGAAAGGGTTCATATAGACCCCAGTATCCGTTATTTCCTCAGGATTAATTGGGATATCTTGGATGTCCGCGTGAATGAGACAGCATTCGGAGCCTTCCCAGTACGCATCATGCGACGCACGAAACCGCAGCGTCTGATTTCGTTGGGGGCCTGCTGTCGGAGTCTGAAAGAACCGAGCGTCGAAAGCGACCATGCCTCCCCAACAACTGCGAACCCGGACAGCATCTTTCCCGGACAGAACGTCCTTACGGCTTATTCCATCGCCCGCGTTAGAGAACCACGGAAAGAAGGGCAGACCCATGCCGTATCCTTGTAGGTCGCGAGTGGCGTAGGTATCATAAAACTTGAACGGGTTGATGAAGTCGACGGCGCAGGCTGCGCGGTACTGGGCGATTCCATTATCATCAACATGGGTGGAAAACAAAAGCTGAAGCGCATCGACAGGGTCAAAAACAATGTCGTTGATGTATAGTAGTTTATCGAACTTGATCTCAGGGTGCGCGCCTAAGGGTAATAAGGCCTTGTTCCTGACATCGGCCAAGTATTCAATCTGAGACTGTGTCAACCCTCTATATACAAATGCAATTAAGGTTGACATACGCGTCTTATCCGTTTCGATCCATCAAGAGCGGTCACGGTAGACAGACCATTTAGTTCCATATTCTCCTCGTATAAGATTGTCTTATTGCACGGCACCCGTGCTTCGAGGTCCTGCAATGCGCCTGCGCCTGCTGGCCCGCTATCATTTTCGTAGATGCTCAGGTACACGTTCTTCTCGCCGAGTAGATCAATCAACCCGAGAACATCCTTGCCCCATTGCCCACCCGCTATGTTCCCGCCACGATCGTATAAGCTAGCCGCGATAAAAATCTTCTCGTTACGTGGATTGCCTCGGCCGGGGCTCGTTGCGTTGTTGACAGCGTCTCTGAGGGCTTGATAATGTGCAGGCAGCCGAGAGTATGACGGGAAAAATGCTGTTGTAAGAAGCACGAGAGCGAGTATAATGCCGAAGAAGCTTTGAAGGTAGAAGCACGCGCGGCGACTCAGGAAACGCCGGTGGCAGTTCGGCCGTCTCGGAATTCTTGCGAAAGATTTGGAGTTCAAACGACGATATGCGGAATTCGGGCCAAAGATACGCGGTATTAGAGGCGCTCGGTGGAATAGTTTGCTGCGAATAGGTATTGACTGTGATTCAAAGTCGGCTTCATCAAGATTGAAAGTGCCTTGCGAATCGATAGATGATCGCACATCTAACTCGTACTCGTCTGGGTGAAGAAGTCGGGAGGACATAGCGTAGACGTTCGTCACAGTCGATGTTCCTCACAGTCAAGGTAGAAAGACGGAGGAATGGGTGCCATTTTCAATTGGACAATTGCATAGATATTGTGTAGTCAAAATTCAAGCAGGATAAGATGTCGCAGTCTCACGCATGCTCTTTCTGGAACCGCGGCAGTCGGATTATGTCAGCCACTGCCGTCAGTCCATCGAAAATCAAACTTATGATCGAGAGACAATCATTATTGATATGCTGTTCTTGGGCTCTGACTCGGAAAGATACTATTGGCTTCACCCTCACCCTGGCCTCGGCGTTAGCCAGCATGGCCTTCGATTCCAGAGATTCGGGTTATTGATTGGGGTTGAGGGCTGCACCGTACTTCTGATACGGCCATCTGAGAACTTGTCAGTACAAAATTGCGGCCGCTGGGATGAATATGCTTTTCCCGCGTCAGGCTTCAGTGGACAGGGTGCAGTTTCTGGCTTTCAATGCTGTCCAAGCTCTCCCGTCCGTTGGTTGCGCCAACTTCCATACCGAGGCAACGCCGCGACAACATACGATTTGACCTCAACAGCCAACAACACGATTGCCTCGAGTGTTTTAGTCATCGTGCGCACCCATGATTGGTGCTCTCCCCAACTTATGGTGCACGCGTGTACTATGTTCTTCAGCGTAACCTGAATCTCGAGGTGCTAGCTATTTAATGCGTCTGCCTCCGCGGGCTTGCGATTTTATGCCCCCTCTTTTTAGCTAACATCTCAATACCAGAATCCATTTCTAACCACTATCTGTACTATTTGCGCGGATTGCACTCCAAGCATCACCGCAACACGATGGCAGGCTTCGCGTTCGCAAACACGCCGGACCATGTCCCAGGCGATGAACATCTCCCAGCAGAATTTACGATAAAAGCCTCACCAGACACAGACATATGGGCTAAACCGCCGTCCACCAAACGGTTCAATGCTCCCATCTTCTACAAGTCCATGCCATTGGACACGTTTAAGCGGGCCCGAGTAGCTATTTCGGCCAACTGGAGCCAGAAATACGACCAGGGTGGTCTCATTATTGTTCTGAACGGAAATGACGGCGAGCGCAAATGGGTGAAGACTGGCATCGAGTTCACCCATGACAAACCTCATCTGAGTACTGTGGCCAAGGACCGCTGGGCAGACTGGAGTCTGCTTCCAGTTCCATCAGGCTGCGGAGGTGCGACGCTAGAAATCGCCAGAGAGCCGGACGATAGCTTGTGGGTGTGGCTTGTTGAAGGGATACAAAAGTCGCCAATTAGAGAGATCACCTGGGCCTTTGCGGACAATGTCAATGACTTTTGGGTTGGCGTTTATGCGGCGAGGCCGTCGAGCGAGGGCGGGGATTTGATTGTCAGTTTTTCTTCAGTGGTAATTGAGGTGACGGATCCGGCTAGCAAATAGCTGCTCTGGGGTTGGTGTTGATATTGCAGTGCCACTGGTTGATATGAGCGGTGGTGCTGTCTGGCAAGCTAGGCTGTGTGTACTGGACCAGACCGTAGCAGTATCTCTGGCATGCGGATATGAATTTGTGTACCCGTACGAAGTAGCAGACTGTTTTACAGAAGCGGATATCAGGCCTCTTGATATCCGTATATGCAGGCCGAAAGTGCTATGTACTTGCATATTCTAAGCTGGAGCTCCCTATCTGTAGACTACACTGCACTCATTCTCAATTTCAGATCCGCTGTCCTTATGGAGGGTTCTGAACTTATGAGGTTGAGGTCGCCAACATCGCACTTGCGATCATCGGCTATGCTATTTTGGATCTGAGCCGGACTATGCATCCCACGTTACGTGGTGCTAGGTGCGCGGTTCTCGGGAATAAGTACAGAGTACGGAGTAGGGAAGAAAGGAGCGTGTATATCGCTGATGCTTTTATTCATTCTTATTAGTAGAAAGCAAAAAAAGTTGAACATAACTCTTACTATACATTACTGAGTCTCCCACGAAACCGGATGTTGGATGGAGAAGTGGAGTCGGGATCTGAGGGGAAGGGCATCTTAACTCCGCCTGGGCGGCTTCCGCGGCAGCGGTGGACAATGACTATTATTATCGCTTGTAAAAGCCTGAAAGTATGAAATAGAATCTGGTTTTGGGTATTTACTTGCACTGTCCGAGAATGCGATGCGTTGAGAGACGTCGGAACGCGTTGACTCATACCTATCCGATTCCTACGTAACGTATCCTTGACCGCTGCAGGACTCTCGCGGGATCATACGAGTCGAGGCCATGGAAGTGGATAATTTGGTCCGCGGTCACGAATAAGCGACTTAATCGAGGCTGATCTTGGGCATTACCGTAGGTAGATAGCGCGGGAAATGCCGTCCTGAATCGCGATGCTAGTCATGCGCTGTGGAATGGATATTTATGATGAGTGTTGACTGTTCTGCAAGGGATTGGGCAGGACCTCGACCTCAGCGCCCGTAGTCTGCCTTATTCTAGTCGTCTACCTTGTCTATAGGTATTGCCGGAGAATAATCTTGGGGGCGAGACGGCGCAACAACTGAAGCCACTTTGGAATCGAGTAGATGAATTAGTATTTTTAGAGTCGCCTATCAATCTCTCCTCACCACACCAGCTGATTTGGATCATCTTATCTGATGGTTCCGTGCAGGGCCCCTAGGAGTCCGAGCCACACTAGCGGTCTTAGTTCGGCGCCCATGCACATTGCACGCTCCATGAACTGCGGAATGTCTTGCGGGAGTGCGTCACACAAGGAATCCCAGCAAATCAAGTCAGACCCAGAAGGGAAGAGAAAATATTTGTGAATCATAGACTCGAGTTCGGGCGGTAGTACGGAGTAGTCGAGGGTCCAATTCACCGATCACGTGTAGCTAGGGGCAGTGGCCTTACGGAGCACTGCTAACTTGGGCTCTGATGGCCGTGCCGTAGTCCGCACACTCCCGCTTTCTCCACTGCATCGACCGTTCAACTCTCTGTTGCCACGCCTGACCACCGCCCTGAGCACGACCACCGCCAACCACCGTACCGGTATGCGAACTGCGCCCTGCATTCCCCTCGACAGTCAATGCGACAATAATAACGCCCCGGCCAGAATCGCAATTGCAATCCACGTGCGTACGCGATGATAACCCGTTGAAATGCCCATGATTGAAAGCAAGTTCCTTGACTCTTCCGACCTGCTGAAGCGGGCCCCGCTGCGTATTTCTTCACCTCCAGCGGTTGGCTGATTTCTGATATATTCGGCCCAAGTCAGCCTCGCATCAAGCTCATAGGCTAATCCCGGCATCACCTTGCATAGGTGCTTGACGATCGTGGGGCCTGGTCGAACGCTGCGAGTTCAAGCACACAGGAATCTATAGGACAGGGAGGCCTTTGGGCCCTCGCGAGCCTGCGATCAGCTCTACGTTGTGTCTACTATATTACAACCGTGGTCGCGCATCCATGTGTTCTCGGCAATCGAAAATACGCGATCAGCTTGAGTATCTCGTTGCGTGTCCTCCGTCCGACGCGGGCATTGCTTTTTCTTCGCCCTCCTCATCCCACTAAGATACCCCTTTTCGTTGGCTAGTATATTTCTTTTTTTCCTCATCAGGTGGATCTGGCTGGCTCAGATCTCGGATTAACAGCCTGCACTGCCGCCGAGGATCTTACACTGTCGGTCTTTCCATCTCGTTTGCTCGACCTTGTTGCCCCCCGACCTTCCGCTCACATCTCCTTCTCAAGCCGACGATCCCCCGACTTTCTGCCTCAATAAATGACAATACTCGCTTCACTTTATGCTGGCATATCTTCATCATTCTCAGTTTCCTCGAGATGCCCCTACTTGAACCCGGAGCAACCGCATATGGCACGTTCGACGACATGAGACGAGACACAGAGGAAGAGGGAGAGCGCCTCCTCACTAATGACGGATATGTGAGCGACGATGGTGGTAGCGCGGTAACGTCCGTTGATTCGGTCCAAGAGGGTGTGCGGAAAATTGAAGCAATCAACATGACATGGACAACCCGATCCCTGGTCATAGCTTATATCAGGTGAGTCTACCCACCACGGAAGCCATCGCTGGTTAGATGGGACTAAGCTAACTTTGGTATCAAGCATCTTTCTTATGGCCTTCTGCACTTCCCTGGAGGGCCAAACCATCATGTCACTCTCCGCCTATGCGACCAGTGCATTCAGCAAGCATTCCTTGATATCAACTGTTCTTGTTGTTCAGAACGTTGTCAATGGTGAGTCGTCTGAAATCCCTATTGACACTGACTAATTAATGTAGCTGTGATAAAGCCTCCAATGGCTAAGATAGCCGACGTCTTTGGCCGCTTTGAAGCATTTTGTGTCAGCATCCTGATATATGTTCTCGGCTATATTCAGATGGCCGCATCGACGAATGTTCAGACCTATGCCTCCGCCCAGATCTTCTACGCTGCCGGATCCACGGGTTTACAAATCCTGCAACAAGTCTTCATCGCCGACAGCAGCAGTCTTCTCAATAGGGCACTTCTAGCCCTTCTTCCGGAACTGCCGTTTCTGGTTACAGTTTGGATCGGCCCCACGATTGCCGACGCGGTGCTCGAGAACAGCTCGTGGCGCTGGGGCTATGGAATGTGGTCGATTATATTGCCGGCTTCGTTTCTACCGCTAGCTCTCTCATTACTGCTGAACCAGCGGAAGGCCAAAAGACTGAACCTAATCAAAGAACGGCCTCAACACCGACGTGGATTTGTCGCAACAGTCCGTCGCACGTGGTATGACCTTGATATCTTCGGATTGACTCTGCTTTCTGCGGCAGTGACTTTGATTCTTGTTCCTCTTACCCTCGCCGCAAATACCAAGAATGGGTGGAAGAGCAACAGCATTGTCGCGATGATCGCGGTAGGCATTGTTTGTCTCTTGCTTCTGCCCTTCTGGGAGACTTCGAAGAAGCTTGCGCCCAAGCCTCTTTTGTCCTTGCATCTCCTCAAGCAGCGCACAGCTCTTGCGGGTTGCTGTTTGGCATTTTTCTACTTTAGTATGACTACCCCATCTCATATGTGCAGTACTAACAAAATAGTGGCATTCTACTTCTCGGTTCAGCCATATCTCTATTCCTACTTGCAAGTCGTTCAGGGATATGACGTTGCCACGGCTGGCCGTGTCACGCAGACATTTGCATTTACATCAACGATTGCTGCATTTGGGGTCTCGATTCTAATAAAGTATACTCGTCGCTACCGTGTATATGTGACTATTGGTTGCGTGATATACATGACTGGCTTGCTGCTGATGCTACTGTACCGCAAGGAAGGTAGTTCGCCGCTACAAGTTCTCGGAACACAGGTTATTGTGGGTATGGGAGGCGGGCTTCTCAATGTTCCCGTACAGCTTGGTGTTCAAGCATCCGCCAGCCACCAGGAAGTTGCTGCCGCTACGGCCATGTTTCTTACATCCATGGAGATGGGGGGTGCCGTCGGTGCTGCTATCTCTGGGGCCGTTTGGACCCATAACATCCCGCGCAAGCTCAACCTTTACCTCCCCGATGAATACAAGTCTGAAGCTGGCGCAATTTTCGGCAAGCTGACCAAGGCCTTGTCTTATGAAATGGGAACGCCGGTCAGATCTGCCATCAATCGGTCTTACCAGGAGACAATGAACAAGTTGCTAGTGTTGGCTCTCCTAGCCACGCTACCTTTGATTCCGCTGAGCCTTCTCATGTCGAACTATAGGTTGGATAAGGTAAGTCCGCTGCTTATCCTCAAACACACACATCGGATGTGGCGACGTTAGGCTAACTCGATCAGATGAGCGAATCACCTGATCATCAAGGGTCTTCGCGAAGAAATGAATCCGAGTCAGGAGAACGGTCAAAACGAACGTAGAGAGCGATGGAGACCGTTGTTCGTTTCTCTAGTTGATCTCCTTGGTTTGCCTTTTCACCCCACCACAATACTCGATAACGCGCTGGCTATCTTACTTTCGGCATGTGGACAAATCCAAGTGCCACGACGGAGCCGCGTGACCCAATATGTGAATACAGTTGCATGTGGAACATGCAATATTAGGAAGAGGCTCCAGCAGCCTACCAATACCGCTTCGAATTACGGCCACGACCGAAGCACGGAAGCATGCACATACATCTCAGTCTCCAGTGTTACCCTACATTCTGTTACGAAAAGCATTGACCGGCGCATTGGTTTCTTTCTATACTACGATCTCAACTATCATGGATGATGACAACCCTATCTCTATCTTTTATGCAAGCATATTTATCTATACAAAATGTTCATAGATATAAAATCACGAATAGAGCAGATACAGCGTGAGACAGGCCAGTTTTTGAACACTCTGGTTTACTTCGTACTCTCGGGACACGGTCGAAGGAACGGGGGCCTGCCATATCACACCATATTGACATTCATGAAACCCAGTGAGAGTAAGACATGGCTGGGACAATTCTGGGGCACGACGTGACAGGAATGCGACGCGAAAGGCCCTTGGCTACTGGGTAGGTCACTAACAGGATGTATCTTTAGGACTTGGTATTATCATGGCTGCCTTCTCGGCGCGTAGACGAGCGACTCGCAGGGCATTTCAGACAAGTGAATAGCTGCGACCGCTCGGACTGAATACTATTGGAGGAAAGAGAGTATGATGACTACTATTGGAGGAATGATGAAAATGAATCCTGACTGTGGCCTTTGACCTCCTACTGCAGAAGTTCGAGGGCACTGCTTTGTTTCGCGCCCCTCATCCGACTTTCATTCCTCCTTCCCACTTCTGCCTCTCCATCGTCTCCTTCTCATTCCACTTCCTCTGATCAGAGGGTTCTCAATTCTACATTTGGCCTATACTTAGGCTTTGAATCGCCATTCTGTGATAGTTCCTTCGTTGCTGGTCCCGCGGCTCTCCGTCCTCCCACATCTGCCACTAGCCTACCCTATCGAAACTCTTCAGCAACAGAGTGTTAGGGAACTATCTTCAAGCCGATATCCAGTTTGGAGCGTGGTCTAGTCCCTGGTGAGTTGTCGCAGACTCGCAGTCGTGGCAGCGAATTGTCATCGGCATTGCTCTTTCAGCAAATTTATCATTTCATCTTAATTTCAATCGAGCCGTTGCCCAGAACGTGTGAGAATCGACTGGCTGCAATGATTTTGTCTGCCAGCCCTTTGTCTACATCCTGATCGTCACCAATCTTCGAGTTTTCTGGAAGGCGCAGGATTCTGAGTTAATCTGCGGCCCATGAGAGAAAACCGAGCTACTGCTACTCCGGATCGTTTGATTGTGATAACAAACGGATGAACGAAAAAAGGCCCGGCCAGAGACTAGGCTAACCGTGCGTTCCAGCAGCTTTCAACTGGCAATAATCATCTTCTCCGCCTCGACCCTCCCACATTGGCTGGCCCTTCGTTCTTTCACCACCGACAGCATCACACCGCACCCCAACCTCTATTCCTCCTAGCGATTCTTCCTCATTGATATCACTTCGCTCCCCTATCTGGAGTTCTGAACCTCCAACCTTCCATCCATCTCCGGCCCGCCTCACTCCTCCAGTCCTCCGCTCGATCTACCTCCCCTCCCCATTCACCGCTCCTGTCTCCTATCCTGCCATCTCGGGTCTAGACAGCCTCGAACGGTCCTCTCAATTCTTCTCGCCAGAGCATCAGATTCGGTCAGATATTGAAAATGGTTGTAGCTACTATCAAGTACGTCCTACTTCTCTTTGTTCCAAGCTCCCCGCCGTATGCGGTTCCCTTCTCCGGAGCCGCTGCCAATTCTCCACCCCTTTTTGAGGCGTATCGACCGCCCTCTCTTCTTATCAGCATTTTGCTAACTCCGCGCTTTTCCCCTTCAACAGGTGTGTCGTGGTCGGTGATGGTGCTGTCGGAAAGACCTGTCTCCTGATCTCATACACAACGAACAAGTTTCCTTCAGAATATGTGCCTACCGTCTTCGATAACTATGCGGTGACTGTCATGTAAGTGGCATTTTTTCGACGCTGCAATCCTTACAAGCCTACACTTCTTTTGGTTGCGATAAAGAATATCCAAGTACTGCAAATAAGCCAACCTTACTGATTGCGCGTTTGAAATAGGATCGGCGACGAGCCCTACACTCTGGGATTGTTTGATACCGCCGGTCAAGAAGATTACGACCGACTTCGACCCCTTTCATACCCACAGACAGATGTGTTCCTTGTCTGTTTCTCCGTAACCTCCCCCGCATCTTTCGAGAACGTGCGCGAGAAGTGGTTCCCCGAAGTTCACCACCACTGCCCTGGCGTTCCATGCCTCATTGTCGGAACGCAAGTCGATCTCCGGGATGATCCCGCTGTTCGCGACAAGTTGGCCCGGCAAAAGATGCAACCGATCCGCAAGGAAGATGGTGATCGCATGGCCAAGGACTTGGGTGCTGTGAAATACGTTGAATGCTCGGCGTTGACCCAATACAAGCTCAAAGATGTTTTTGACGAGGTGCGTCCTGCTCTAAGATTATCTTTGGACGCCTGATTGATTAATTTCCGTATCTAGGCCATTGTCGCTGCGCTCGAGCCTGCCCCCAAGAAGAGGTCGAGGTGCGTTCTGCTATAAATAAATTCCACATATCGTGGAGCCGGCCAGTACCTGTTATAGTGAAGAATTGGTCCCTCGTGTACAACCCTTGTGGCTTTCGCATGTGTCGCTTGATGCTCAGGACGACTGAGAGGGGTTGAGATGCTTGGTTCAGAACACTCAGTGACTTGCGATTATACGAACACTTTCCTCTACGGTTTCCTTTACAGAGTCTCGTTGCTGTCCGTGGATGGAGTTCTGCATAATGGTTATGTAGGGTTAGCCCGTTCGCTGTCTGCCACTCACGGGCCCATTATCCATACACTTCTGAACGCTGCCATGAAAAGACTATACGAACCAGCAGCCTCTCTCCCACCAGCTGGTTACTTGGCCTCCATATTCAGTTCCATACCCTATTATCGCCTATTGTTCCTATGACATCTAGCCTTATCAGTTACCACACCGATTCCCCCGCGCGCTCCTTCTGTTCAATGCGGCCCTTCCATTCCCTGTCTATTTTCACTCCTTTTCATAACAGCTCTCATCGTCTAAACTTGGCGTTGGAAGTCGAGGCGTCCTGTTTTGGTTGGCTCTGGTTCAATATGTTCTTTTTATGCGCTCTCAATTTCAAGTTGCTGTCATGCCTGACGCATTTTTTGTGCCATTTTAGCATCCCCGGTTTCGTTGAGTCGTGGACTACATAGCACAGATATATCCAATATGAAGATATATTCTTGATTCATACCGTGCCTGTTTCTCAAGTAGGATTTTCATGGTCTAGGATTGTGGAAGCTAATTGTGGAACCTAACTTTATCTTGCCTGTATGAATGTTTCATTATCTCATCTACATGTCTCATGTCTCATTTATAGTTCGTCTTTGGGCACGGATTCAGGCTCCGCCTCCTCGGTCTCAAGTTCCACCTCAACCACAACCTCTGGAGCAGACTCCTCAGCAACAGTCTCCTTACGTCCGTACCATCCACCCAGATCCTTACCAGCACCGTTCTTGACCATGCTAGTGATGATCTCGTAAGCAACCTGCGCGGCAGCCAGAGCAGTCGTCTCGCCCTTGTTGTCGTAGCTCGGCGAGACCTCGACAATATCCGCACCCACAATGTTCAATTTCTCGATACCGCGCAGGATGCGAATGAACTCGCGGGTTGTCCAGCCACCGGGCTCGGGCGTTCCAGTACCAGGCGCAGTAGAGGGGTCAAGCACGTCAATGTCAACGGACAGGTACACTGGCTGCTCCAAGTCAAGCCCAATCCGCTCCATGATCTTGTTAACGATACCCATAGGCCCACCAAGCTCATCAATGTCGTCCGCGTGGATCCGCATGAATCCCTGCTCCGGTGTGCCTGGCGCCGTATAGTCGCTATCATCGATACCAGTAAGCCTCGTCCTCAGACCAGCATGCGCCGAGGTCGAATTGCAGATAAGACCCTCGCGACTGGCCTTGTGAAAGAAACTGCCGTGGTTGAACGCGGACTGCTCGGACTGCCAGTACGCCGAGTAGCGCACGGGGTTCCAGGTGTCGAGGTGCGCGTCAAAGTGCAGGACCGTAATAGGCTTCTGGTAGATCTGGTACAGGGCGCGGAGGGCCGGCAGCGCAACGCTGTGGTCGCCGCCCAGCGTGACGAGCTTGCTCTTTCCGGCGGAGATTCCCTTGCTGCCAAACTCGGATGACGCAGGGGTGACGGGGCTACGGGTGCCGAGTTCCAGGAAGGCCTCGTACATTTGGCGCTCGGCAAGCCCGTTGTCAAAGGGAGTGATTGGGATGTCGCCGCAGTCTTTGATTGTCGCCCAAGAGCTGTATGGGTTGATTCCGGCGCGGGTGTTGTAGGATGTCCCGGCCATCTGGCGAGCGCTTGCGGCGCGAATTGCGCGCGGACCGAAGCGGGCCCCTATGGATGCGTTAACATGAGCTCTTCATGTTAACGATAGACTATACCTGGTCGGTAGCTGACTGCGGTGTCGAATGGCGCACCGATGACGGCGATGTCATACTTCTCGTCCGGCTCGACAAGGCATTTGACGGGCTTCAAGTGCGCAAAACTCGCGTGTCCGGAGAAAGACCACTACAGGGGCCTGTTAGCATATACAGCCCTACTTACATAGATCGACTGCTCACCTCCTGGTTCCATTTCGCCAATAGCTCCTCCCGCACCTCTTGGGGAACAGCCTCATCGTCATGATGAGAACAGGACAGCGCCGAGCCAGCCAACGCCAGCAATCCAGCCCAGGTCAGCTTCATTTTGGACGTGCAATATAAAGACTCCAGCAAAGAAAAAGAAAAGAGGTCCGGAAAAGACCTTATATATGGAAAGCAGTGGAGGACTCATATTAATGGTAAGGTTGGTAATGGTAAGGTTGGTAAGGTTGGTAAAGTTGGTAATGCAATCTCTTATCGATAGCAGGCCAGCTGTTGATTGGTCCGATTGCCACCATGCTTGCTGCCTGGATGCCTGGCTGCCCTGACGTCGTCCAGAGTTTCCTCTTCGGGTCGTCCTGGTGCCTTTTGCCGCAGTATCACCGAGCTCAGGTTCAGCTTGAGCATCGTCTTCGGCTAGATATTTGCCGCTGTATCACATCCGTGCTTGCTGTTGGAGATCGAGCTTACATTTCGCTTTGGTCCCGACCTAGTTACGGAGTACTTGTTCTATCTACACTCGCCGTTGATAAAAAGGTTTTCAAAGAAGAGATGCTATGCGGCGTGTTGTCGTCACGGGACTTGGTGCGGTGACACCCCTAGGCGTAGGTGAGTTACAACTTATACCATTGCTTTTGATAAACCACCGTTATCTGTCTGCCCTGCTATCATCGCTTCGCCCGAAGTCAAAGAGAAGAACACCAGCGCCATCCCATGGTGAATCGCAATTCTTCAGCCTTCTCCCAGCATCTTCTCCAACAGTCCCCACTTCTCGAAGAGGAAGGTCTGTGACAGCTTCCAAACAAGGTAGCTAGACACGATACAGTGCTGTACAGAGCACTTATCCAAGATTCCTTGCAACTTCTCCGCGCATGGCTCGGGAGTCGGCTGTGGCTGGCTAGTTGGCTAGCTGATTGCATATTCTTATTTTGGCATTGTTCATTGGTTCTTCTATACTTATGCCGTGGCCAGTGCTAAACTACGTACCCAAACCACAGGGGTCCGTCAAACTTGGAATCGGCTGCTAAATGGCGAGTGCGGGATTTACAATATCCGGTTCCGCGATAAAAAGTTCGAGGAATTGCCATGTCAGATTGCTGCTGTCGTCCCGGAGGGCCCTCGCGAGCTGGGAAGATGGGATTCATCTGAGTGGCTGATGAACGATGTAAGCTTATTTTCAAAGCTACTGCTGGGCTTAATGTGAGAAGCTAACCCCACTGTGATAGGAAAAGCGCAAGATGGCGTTATTCGCCCAGTATGCGATGACTGCTTCGGAAGAGGCTCTGGAGGATGCAGGGTGGAAGCCGACAGCTGCAGGTCAGCTAGAGGCTACCGGAGTCTGTCTAGGATCTGGGATCGGCAATTTCGCTGAGATCTACGACGCCTCTGTACTTTACAGCAGAAAAGGCTACAAGAAAGTGTCTCCTTTGTTTGTGCCGAAGTTGTTGATCAATCTGGGGGCCGGCCATGTATCTATGAAGTATGGGTTCATGGGCCCTAACCACTCAGCAACCACCGCATGTACGACAGGTGCCCATTCTATTGGTGATGCTGCTCGGTTCATCGCCTTTGGAGATGCAGATGTGATGCTTGCTGGCGGGGCGGAATCGTGCATTCACCCGCTTGCAATTGGAGGCTTTGCAAGGGCGCGCAGTCTGGCGACGGCTTATAATGGCCGGCCTATGGTGGCCTCGCGACCATTTGACGCAGACCGTAACGGCTTCGTGGTTGGCGAGGGTGCTGGAATGATGGTTCTGGAGGTATCTCGTCCAAGAATCACTACAGCAGACGATGAAGCTGACTTTTTTGCCGCAGGAACTAGAGCACGCCAAGGCGCGAGGTGCTCGTATATATGCAGAGTTGAAAGGATACGGCTGTTCAGGCGACGCTTACCACATGACAGCCCCTAGGGAGAAAGGCGAAGGCGCGCTACTAGCCATGAGAAAAGCCCTGAAGAACGCCCGTCTCGAGCCCTCCACTGTCGACTACGTCAATGCCCACGCAACCTCGACTGTGATCGGCGATGCAGCTGAAAACGCCGCAATCAAGACTCTCCTCCTTGGCCCGGGGGGGAAGCAGCGAGCGGCAGATGTGAATGTCAGCAGTACCAAGGGAGCCATAGGGCATCTACTTGGAGGAGCCGGTGCCGTCGAGGCTCTGTTTACCGTTCTGGCTATCCACAATGTCAGTACCAGTCCTGTGATTATGTCCGAGTCGCTAACCGCCCTCTAGAATGTCATGCCCCCTACCATCAATTTGGATCGCCTGGATGAGGGTTTTGACTGTAATTACGCGGCAAACCAGGCCCAAGAACGTCGTATTGACGTGGCGCTGACGAACAGCTTTGGATTCGGAGGGACAAATAGCAGTCTTTGTTTCTCAAAGCACGGTTTATAGGTGTATAGCATGTATATAGGTATAGTTGGTTGCTTGTACAATATTAGACATGTATCATAGCACAGTATTGAAATGCTTCTATCCTGTTGAGGAAAATCGCAATAGCCTATGGCGCCAATGGACCTTGTCTCTGGTCTCGAGCACGGGGCCGCTGGTTGTAACCTCGATGTCGTGCGAGATGCCTTAGCTTCAACCTCGAACTTCCTTGTTTATATCCAACCCACCACCCATAAAACCACAACAACATAAGTCGAAATGGGAACAAACTCTTCTATACTCTACGAAAACCCCAGCTCCACCGTCTTCCTTGTCGACATCCCCACATCCATTGCACTAGCACAGGACTTCTCACCACAGTCAAACTCCGGCACATCCAATAACACAGAACCTGACTCAATCACATCATTATACAAGAAAACAGTCAAAAGGCGACATATCATATCATCAACCCCACTGAAGCAACCATACGCGGTTTCAAACGAGCCAAAATCGGAAACCGCGCGCACAAAAGTCCTTGAGCAGACCCCGCAGTCAGAAAAGGATATCCACGGAGCTGTCTGTCTTCTGGCGTCTAATGCTCTGAGTGAGATCAAGCATTATTATCCGAAAGATTCGGAATGGTGTCTTCCTCGGTACCTTCTCGAAGACGAAGATGGTAAGGAGTCTGGAGAAGATTCCAAACAGAATGAGAAGGCGCGCTCTAAGTGGCTAGATGAAATCCGGGATGGAAAGAGAGCACGCGGGAAGAAACGGCGACAGGATGAGCATCCTGATGCCTCTGATGGGAAGGAACAGGGTGACCCTCAGTTCTTCGATATCCAAGTCCCTTCACGCCAGCTGTCGGCAGATGAAAATGATCAATTTCAACGCCAGCCTCCTCTGATCCTAGCACCCGGCAGAAATCGGTTCGAAGACGAAAGCAAGATATGCAACACCTTGGTGAAGAATACGTCTTCAGATACAACGACCATCGAGCTACGAGACCCGTTTGCAATCAAGTCGCTCAGACGATTCAGTTTCGATTCTAAGCAGGCGCACAAACGAGGACATGTACGAGAGCATGTGTTTATCATTCCGCCACTGTCAAAATTCATCCTATGCAATCTACCACTATCAGATGAGCTAGATTACGCAAATCCAACTCCAATCCCGGACCTTGACCCAGACCAAAAGTTCAACTTGATCGTCCTCGATCCGCCATGGGCAAACAGGTCTGTTCGGCGCAGCGGCCACTATCAGACGCAGACGTACCTTGATAATGAGATGCTTATGGGATATATCTCCTCTGTGTTTGCGGCACATTCTCATCCAGGTCCGCCTCCGCTGCCTGGCGACACTCTAGACCGTGACAAATTTAAGTCTAACCTCTCAATCGCCGCAATATGGACTACCAACTCCGCTAAATCGAGGGCTATAGCGTACGGCTCTCTCATTGAGTCAGGTTTTTCTATCTGCGAGGAATGGGTGTGGATCAAGACTACTGTTGAGGGAGAGCCTGTGACGTCGATTGAAGGGCTCTGGCGGAAGCCGTATGAAATTCTTGTCATCGGGCAAAAAGGGCGAGGTCTAGCTTCCGGTTCCAAGGATAGTGCTAGTGCTGGTGGCGCTGGCGTTGTGAGAAGAGTAATTGCCGCTGTTCCGGATGTTCACTCGCGAAAGCCGAACCTCAAAGAGCTGTTTGAAAAGGTCTTTTTCTCTTCTGACTCAGAGAATGGTTCTGGTACTGAAGCCGTTAACGGCCCTGGGAATAAGCCCGTAGAGTATTCAGCGCTCGAGGTATTTGCGAGGAACCTGACCGCTGGATGGTGGGCTTGTGGGAATGAGGTTCTAAAGTTCAATTCAGAGAGTTGGTGGGTGGAAGCCGACAGCTGCAGGCATGCACCTGTCAAGTCATGAAATATAAATATTAATGTACCACCCTGGCCTCGGCGTCAGAAAGTCAATCAAAGACAGCCCCCAAGCTAACAAGACTAAATCTCAAGTCCGGGTTCCCGCCCTTGGCCTCAATATCCAAGAACCTCCTGACACCCAACTCCAAAGCCCGCTCACTCAACGCATCCTCATCAGGCCCAAGAACGCCCCGCTCCAGCGGCCCCTTTCTCCGTCCATCCAGCTCCCACAGCCTCCCATCACCACCCTTGACAAACGCCACAAAGTGCAAGTCCACATCATCCTCAGCCGTAGGCGCCTTGGTATCTCCCAACTTCGCCGCATCCGCATGCGCACTTTCCAACGCCTTACTCTCATACAACAGATCAGCGCGCTTGATTGGATCCAGCCCCTCCGCCTCCTTCAGCAGCGCTTCCAAATCCGAGCCGGGCACAATATGCTCCCTGGCCTCGCCGTTCGACACTGCATGTAAGAGGCCAATCAGCCCACAGGCATTGCGGATCGTCTGCTTGAACCACATGACAGGCTCATTTGGTCCCGAGCCGCTGTATTCAGGGAGAGAACTGTCTTCGGCGATGCGGCTGGATTCGTAGGTTTTTGAGACGGGGAACACGAGGAGGAGGGCTTGTGAGGGGCGCGGGACGAGCGCGAGGAGGTCCGGCTCGTCGAGGGAGAATACGTCTGTGAAGCCTAGCGACGGGGGGAGGCCAAGTTGATGGACGAGGTGGGACATTACTTCGGGGTTGTTTTCTGATGCCAGGGTTAGTTGGTGGAACTGGGATTGGGTGCGTGTGACGTACCGAGGGGCACGAAGGCCTTGTTGCTCTTGGGGACGTCTGGGTCTGACATGATGGCGTTCTTGACTTGGACTGGAGGGCGAGACTTGGTTTTGGAAAGGTTCTTGACTTGGACTGTAGCAAGTGCTGTCATGTAGCATGTGGCGAGTGGTGAGGGGAGAAAAAGACTGCGGGGTTGGATCCGTGACTCCGCGTTTAGGGTGGGGACAACTTGTACAGGACAACGCGAAACTACATTCGTTTATAACTGAAAAAGAATCTAAGAAGTTCATTATTCATCATTCATAAGATCTACTTTATTTCCCAGCAGTTTTCTCGCCGCGCTTCAAAGGCGCATAGATATCCGTCCACAGCTCGCTCGCCTCGCCCAAATAGTAGGCCAAGCTGACGTCTGCCATGCTCGCCTCTTCGTCTCCAGAGAGAGTCTCAAGCTGGGAAATGAGATTCTCGAGTCCAAATGCCTTCCCGGTAGCCTGTGTCGCGCCAGCCTCAAGCATGACATTGACAACGTGGATGTGGAAATGATAGTAGGTCGGTTGATCTGAAGCATGTCAGCACCCGGTATTTGGCAGCAGCAGAGGAAGCAAATACTCACAATGCACATAAAGTTTCAGTTGATCCTCCTCAAGGCCCGGATACATCTTTACGGTGCCCTCGAGCACCCTCTTCCTCAAATACTTCAACCAAGGCACGTGCTTCTTCTTCAGATCCCTCAAACTCCAGATATCGCGCCGTTGCACCAGCGCCAATAGATGTAGCGAGCCGAGCGTCTTTCTATCCCAGTTCAAGTCAGGCAGCACCAAGAACGCATTCTCGGCTCCATGTCCGTCATCTCGCAGCAGAACATCCTCCTGTTCGGTGCGTCCCTCAAGGATATTGAACACCCAGTTCAGTCGTCCCTCCTCTCTCTTCGCCTGCATGTAAGGCCGTACATAATCCCGGTAGATCTCCGGCGTCTCGTTTACCATGCGCAGAACCTGATCCGAGTACTTCTTAATGTGTTGTTCCGTGCACGGCCAGATAACGTTGAGCTTAAGATCGTGCGATGGGTGCCCGTCGGCATCTATGCCCGAGGACGCTAGGTACCATCGGTAGATGTCGTTATCGCCAAGGTTGTTTACGCGTGTGATTGACGAGTGGAAGGCCTTTAGGACGGCGAGGGACTCGGTTGCGAATGCAGTTCGTTCAGCAGTGAGAATACCTTGTTGGCCGTCTATAGATCCCAGGAGAACGATGCGGCGGCCATTCTGGTCTGAAAATTGGTGTGTTAGTTGCTCAGCTTCGAACCGATCTCTTCCGGGTGCTAGGATGCGGGGAAGGGCACACCTTGTTTGAGGAGCTTAGTAACCTCAAATTTTGAGATTAGTGCTTCGGGTGCAACTTTATTGCTATTGTTAGCCTCCATAACAAGGAATTGGGTGTAGAGTAGTGCGATGAAAAGTTGAAAGCTCGAAATCTTGTCGCCTAGGGCACTAAATTATGTAGGTACTGGGGCGGTCAGCTTATCTATATCGGCCGTGGGCCCAACAAAAGCATGAGTGTAGATCTTCTGGCATCGAACTGCATTCCAATGGGTATTCTGAAATATATACAATGCCTGAAGATCATAACAGGCGGTCCGGGAGTGAAAAGTCGGATCGAACCCATAAGCCCGGTTATGAAATTGGGGGCTGGAGGTCTCCCGGCGTCGAACGTTGGGTTGACAGGTGCAACGGTAGTGAAAACTATAAAGTCCATGTACCGAAGTCCCCTTCTAGCGCCACTGTTCACGCGCTTCCTGCTGGTTTGCTTCCTCGGCGGCCGGAAGTGGGATTGACTTAATCTGCTTGAGCCTGTACTCAGATACCGAATCTTGCTGCGTCAAGCGGACTTCTTTTCGTCCCCATCAACAGTATGCATCTGGACCTATGATCAGCTTGAAGATCAACATGAGAAGTTTTACAACCTACCACCCCAGCAAACTTCACCCACTCTTCCACCCCCTTGACGAATGAATCATCCGCGGCGGGGATCATTTCGTGTCCCCAGACCATATAATCGCCAAAGGTAGCCTGTTTCTCCAGCACCTTGATCGGCTCATCGCGTTCGCCTTCCGCGCTTACGGTCTCACTGCCTATAGTCGTTGGCATCTCGCGGTCTGTGTGCGTTACCACAACCCCTGTCAATTAGTTAGCAAAAGACCCTGCTCTATTGGGAAATCTATATGGGCACCTCACCCTCATATCCCTCGGGTAAATGCACGCGCCTCCCTCGTAATTTCCGGCCCCGGAAGTATGCGGTCTGAAGATTGTTGTCTGGTAATTAATAAGTAAATAATATTTATAACAGCGGAGCGCATGCTCACCTTCCGGATCTGCTTTCGGCGTCCAGTATCGGTTCAGCGATTCAACAGCACCATCGTGGTGGATACGACAGGGAAGGATGTTAGGTATGCACTTGTCGGTGGACTCCTTGTCCTTTGATTCGGAGCTTTTATGCTGGGGTTGAATGGCGAACATTGTGGATGGAATGGTGGCAAAATAAACAAGACGCAATAACAGACTCAATGCGCAACTGTATTCGGATGACTGGGGTTGCGATTTGGATGGTTCGGGTGATTTCGTAGATGTCAAGTCGGTTGTCGCAGAGACGCGACGCGCACCGCGTAAAGTGGGAGCGGAGCGGAGAACGGCTTTCGGAGTCTGGGCGGAAGAATGAGTCTACTGCACAGCACAGGTACTGAACTACTACCCACCACGGAAGCCAAGTTTCGACGTAGGTTTCTATTGATATATGTACTGCAATACAAAAGCGTTTATACGCCTACCTACTTCAAGGATCAAAAATTTGGCGGCAGTGTTTCGTACATTGGTTTGATGCAAGCTCAAAATGGGGTATATTTAGATAACTCATCTCACCTCTTGCGCGTCTTCTTCTTCTTCTTTTTCTTTTTCTTCTCATCCCCTCCATTTTCTTTGCTCTCCGACACTACTCGGACTGGCCATTTCTTCAGATGTTCTCGTTCAAACTCATCCTTATCCCGCCGGTACAGCAGCATTGTGGCCTTCGCATCCTCCACACTAGAATGGGCGCCAGATTGTATGTCCAACCCGAGGAACTCCGACGCTAGGATCTTCAATCGAGGAGATCCCCCACCGGCGATTTTGCGGTACGGGGGGTGCTTGCTGGTGTCTCTAATGTCGCGCTTGGGATGACTGAGAAGAAGTGCATCTAAATCATTCCGGAGAGCGTGTCCAACCAGTATCCGACCTTCAAGAATCTCCGCGACCTCTTTCTGCACTTGCTCTAATGACCGAGCTTCCACCATGTGCTTCGGAAGTATGCCGCTGACGTGTGACCGCCAATCTGTGACCATCTCTTTAGGTCGCACATATGAATCGTATACTTGGTCGCCGTTGTAGTTCACGATACTGATCCGGGCAAGGGCAGAGTCGTCATCTGGGTTTGGGCCGATTCCAACCATCTCGCAATCCATCGCAATGTATTTGCCTATCTCAACGCTATAAGAAGTTAGTTTCATTTTCAGAGAGAGAAGTTAGTTTCATTTTCAGAGAGCATCGGAATACTGACGTTGGAGAGCGACCTTCGTTTTCTTTCGAAACTACCAGAGTGGGACTCTGGGCAGCACTAGTATCGCCACCTGTAGCCCCCTGAGACATTCTTTTCCGTTTCTTCAAGGTCCGTATAGTTTGTGGAGTCCCTTTTGCCTTTCCTGCTTCTGCGGCGGTTTTCCGTTTCTTCACTAGATCATTCTGGGTTTCGCGATCGGACCGTTTGCGCTTTGGTGCGGGGACAGTGGAGACGTCCTTCTTCAAAGTCTCCTGGAGCTTTTTCCAATTGCTGGAGAGAGCTTTGAGTTCCATTCCAATGTTGTTTGGGTGTTATCGCATGGTGCTTGGTGAACGGAGAAGAAAAAGAGAAGAAATAATGCTGCGGGCCAACTCCGCGCTAAAATCCGGTTGGTCCCCGCTGACCCACAGATATACAACTGGAGGCTCGGAGTTCTCGAACGTCGTGCAAATAGTCCTCGGTCTATATTACCACCCATGTTGGTATGCAGATTTCTACTGTGTCTATCATAGGTTGAATGCAGACTCAGATACATGCGCTCGAAATGTGTCATTACTTTTTACCCAATCCGCCCATAAGATATGATATTCGGTGAAGTATTTAGGGCAATGGCGATTATAACCCAGGCACCTTGAAGTCTTTGTAGGCCCATTTCTCAGTGACTTCTCTCTTGGCCTTTCTCGGTTGCGATACGGGCTTGCGCGACTCGAGCTTGCCCTGAACGATCAACGTCCGGAACCTATCGTCGAGAAGATTCCCTTCTGGCTTCAGCAGACGCAGCGAATCTTGCAGCTCGTCTGGGAGGACCACCTCGGTTGGCTTCTCAGGGGCCCTGGTATAATTAGCGATGAGGTCCGGGGGTATATTGGGTGAGACGTACCTTAGTCTCCCTAGGGGTTTTCGGCGCAGAGTAGTGTCATCGCCCTCATCGGACGAATCGTCAGCGTCACTGTCCTTCACCTGACGCTCCAGTGCCTGTTGCTCAGAACGCTCTGTATTGGCCTTGAACTGGGCAAGTTGTTCCTCCTTCTTCTGCTTCTGTGCCTCCCACTTGGCTTGCCTTTCAGCCTCCTTCCTTCGCTTGATTTTGTTCCTTTGTGTTTTCGTTTTCCTTTCCGGGCGCTTCTTGTTTAGCCATTCCGGCTTCTCGTACTCGCTCTCAAAGCCCTCCCATGCACTCTCGTCATCTGACTTTGCCTCACCATCATCATTTTTGGCCTCAGCGATCAGACGCTGCCGCTCTTCTTCCTTGCGTTCTTCCTCCAATCGCTTCTTCTCCTCTTCGACGGCTTTTTGACCTTGCTCCTGCAACAGCTGATCCCAGTCTTCGAACGTCGGGTTGTAACTTGTACCAGCGGCGGGCTTTCCTACGGCAGGAACAGCCTTTCCATTTGCAGCGAGTGAAATGGGAGCTTGCTTTATGGTGACTGGGGCCACTTTCTGCTTAGGCTTCTCCAAATAGTCGAACTGAGGATCGTCATACGGCGTCGGGTCTGCCTCATCTGCCCACGGGTCGAAAAATCCACTATCGCTGGACTTCCCAAGCGGGTTGGCCTCCTTAGCCACCTGTTTCAAGCGTTGCCATTCCTTACGGCTGACCCAGTCGCTCTTGTGCTTTTTCGTTTTTGGCTCAATGACACCATCAGTAACCTTGGAGTTTGCACGTTTTCGAGTGTCGACTGCATTGATGGCGGATCTTTGCGCGAGGATCTCATCGGATTTGAGAAGCTTCTTGTGCTGTTTGCGGTATGCGTCGCGAGCCTCCGAGGAGCCCTTTTTGTCGATAACGAATAGTTCTTCGGATGGTTTCTCTGCTAGAACACCGCTGGAATCAAATAGTTAGAAATCGCGCAGCGACATTTCAGCGGATTTGCGGGTACCCTTTGATTTCTTCATCCTTCAACAGGCGGAGGCCTTCTTGAACCTCCGAGACATCCACATTTTTTCTCCAAGCCTTCTTGCCTTTCCTAGAAGGTTGGCTGTATTGTTGAGGTGCCTGTAATGAAGTAGACATTCTGATAAAATCTCAATCAGAGACTCAATGAGAGATCGAGAAACCGCGCTTGTCTTGAATCCCCATGAACTTTTTTTGCTAAAATTTCGGGACCGCCTCGGCGGGGACGGTCAACGGTGCTAAGCCGGATCGGGTCTAGTACCCATCGCGGACTTCAGAACTTCATGATTCAATGTCCCCGTTGTTCAACTCCGCGCGACTGTCTTCGACCGGCCGGCTCGCATTTCTCAGTTGCGGGTATTCGTCTTAACCTTAACACATAATACTCAAGCTGTGATCTGATCCGACCCCAGCTTCGATCCGTAGCAACCATGCCGGTCGTCAAAGGAGGCGTTTGGTAAGTCCAAGTCGCGAAGCAAGCACTTTTGAGCTCCGGCTAACTCAGTACTAGGACGAACATTGAGGACGAAGTTCTTCGAGCTGCGGTAAGCTGATATCTGCGGAGCTTACACTCGAAGGTAACTTTTGCGCAAGCGACATCACTAACATTTCGCTGTTCCTCTAGGTCTCGAAGTACGGTCTCAATCAGTGGGCGCGTGTATCTTCGCTACTAGCAAGGAAGACTCCGAAACAATGTAAAGCGCGATGGGTTGAATGGCTCGACCCTGGAATCAGGAAGGTGGAATGGTCGCGGGAAGAGGATGAGAAGTTGTTGCATCTGGCCAAGTTGATGCCGACACAATGGCGAACGATTGCACCGATCGTGGGTCGAACAGCAACCCAATGCTTAGAGCGATACCAGAAGCTTCTGGATGAGGCAGAAGCCCGTGAGAACGACGAGCTCGGGTTAGGAGGTCCTGGTACAGAAGCTTCTGCCCCCAGTGCAGACGACGTCAGACGCCTGCGGTATGTGCTTAGATTCATTTGTTGAGGTCTAGGTAATACTAACTTCCTCTAGACCTGGCGAACTTGACCCCGATCCGGAATCAAAGCCCGCCCGCCCAGATACTATTGATCTTGATGAAGATGAAAAGGAGATGCTGAGCGAGGCGCGGGCCCGTCTGGCAAACACACAGGGTAAAAAGGCAAAGCGCAAGGCTAGAGAACGACAACTTGAGGAATCGCGACGACTTGCCGTCCTCCAAAAACGCCGTGAGCTGAAAAATGCCGGCATCAACATCAAGGTCGTTACTCGAAAACAGGGCGAGATGGATTACAATGCGGATATTCCATTCGAAAAGCCAGCAGCACCTGGATTCTACGACACCGCGGAGGAAGAATTGCGCAATGAAAGACAGCGAGAAATGTTTGACCCCCGGAAACAGCAGCTAGCGAACAAGCGCAAAGGAGATCAAGACGAAGATGCAGAACGGAAGAAGAGGAAGAACGATAAGAACAGTAACTCTGCCGCTTTTGCGGCTGCTGCTCGAGCAGGCCAGATGCAAAAGATTCGTGAGGCAGAACAAAGCAGCAAACGGAGAGCCCTTGTCCTTCCCAGTCCTCAGGTCAGCGAAAGCGAAATGGAAGATATTATCAAAATGGGGATGGCAGGAGATAAAGCCAGCAAGATGGTTGGGGATGAAGAAGGGACCAGAGGCTTACTAGGGAATTACTCCGCCATGGTCGGAGGGACACCCATCCGAACGCCTAGAGCACCCCCAGAGGAAGATCACATTGCAAACGAAATTCGCAACATCAGAGCCCTCACGGAAACTCAGTCTTCACTGCTGGGCGGAGAAAATACGCCACTACATGAGGGAGGGTCTTCTACTGGTTTCGACGGCATTGCACCCCGCCGTCAACAGATCGTCACGCCAAACCCCATGGCCACTCCCTTCCGGCAAGGTAACCCAGTAGGTGCAACGCCCGTGCCGGGAGGTGCTGGCCCTGGTGCCACTCCCCTCCGAACGCCTCGTGATCACTTCTCATTGAATAAAGAGATTGGTGGTGGGCAGCTGATTGGGAGCACGCCTAGGGAGATAAAGATGCAGGAGAACCTTGCACGGCAAAGCATCCGCAGCAGGCTTGCGGCGCTTCCCAGGCCGAAGGAAACTGAATGGGAACTAGAAGAGCTGCCGTCTGAAACAGCTGAACCAGCCGCGATGGCACAGTATTCCGAGGAAGACTCGGCTGTTCGAGATGCACGGGAAAGGGAAGCTCGGGAGCGAGCGGCTCAGGCTGAACACAGACGCCAGACACAGGTGTACCAACGCGCTCTGCCTCGGCCTGTTGTGCTCGATATCGATGCACTAATGGAGCGGGCGTCCCATGTCACAGATCCAAATACCGGTCTGATAGCTAGAGAGGCTGCTCTGTTGATCGCCAACGATGCGCGCAAGTTCCCTGTTCCCGGTGCCAAGGTCGAAGGCAAGCCTCGCAAGTTGGAGGTGCTCGATGACCAGTGGTTGGAAGAAGCCCGTGCCGCAATTGCGGCCGAGGTTTCCTCCGGCAAGCTGGAAGAGTGGTCGAATGAGTTTGATACTCAGTGGTCATCAAGCCGTCAGAACGCTCTGCCTGGTCTTTCCAACTATGCCGACGACGATGAGGAAGACGTGTATCAGCAAGAACAGCGAATGATTGGCGTCTTCGACAATGTGCAGGCCTCATTACTCGCTACCGCTGAACAGGGTAATAAGCTGGAGAAAAAGTTGGCCTTGCACTACGGTGGATATCAAAACCGGGCGAAGATGCTCCGGACCAAGATTACGGAGGCCCATACAGCCTTGGAGAGATCGAAGGATGAACTGGACGCTTTCCGCACACTCCAGATTTCGGAAGAAGCTGCGATCTTCAGGAGGCTGGAGAAACTACGAGAAGATGTGGCCTTCGTCATGCGGAGAGAAAGAGAAGCCCAGGAGCAGTATCGATCCAGGAAGGAAGAACTGGACGAGCTGGTTGCGGGCGCCGGAGGCATGGTAAATGGCTGGCATTGAATGTGAGGCTTGGGAGAAAGGTTGTACAAAGTTCTTTACACAATGTATTTCATTATTGACATGATTTGCTTACTGTCAGTAAGATTTATGTCGTTCGTTAACCTTTCTACACGCTAGCCTCTTCTTGTAGACCACTCGTAGATACCTAGGCAGGCCGACCAGGGAACCCAATGCGGACGAGGCGAAATGTGCATGCAAAGGCGGTCTCTCCCGCCCCTTCCAACACTCAATCCTCCATCAATCGCCTCAAGAGCCCTCTTGGATTTTGATCGCTGAAATCAACCAACACAGCGATATTATCTCTATTTTACACCCAGATAGGACGGTAATTGCTTGCTGAACACTATGGGTGGCAGAGATGAAGCCGCCGGGACGCCGGACCCCGTCGAAAAGGGATTCGCCACCCTCAACACCATCAGGTAAGTTGCGCAGCATGAAATAAATCTTTCTGAGGGTATATTCAACGTACACGTACCCAGTTTCACCGGTCGCATATGCTAAATAAGACGCTAGGATCGGTGTAAAGGCCATGGTCCACAAGGTGCGTTGTGCATTCCCTCTTTTTACGGTTGCATTGACGCGTCATCACGTGAATATCAAGTGTACAAAATGGCTGACAGCATTATAGGACGGGGAACTGAGAAAAGCAGAGATCTTGTCAATAAAGCAGCGCAAAGATGGGCTTGCTTTCTAGTGAGTTCAACTTTGGATTATTTTAAACATACCATTAGCTAACTATGCATACAGCGTTCATTATGTTGACTTCAATAAACGTCTCGACGGTATGTATGCGAGCGATGTGTCAAGGACATTATGCTAATGAAATCCTTCAGAGTGGGTTGCTGCTTCCAGGCTTGACTTGTCCCAAGAGGTCGAATGGCCTCAGCCGGAGAAGCCGGAAAAGAAGAAAACCGGGCCTGCCAACAAGGCTCCTAGCAAGAACAAACGCGTGAGAGCTGGCAGTCGTGATGTCTCGGCCACTCCAGACCTTCTCACTGGCAAAAATATCAATGTGGGCAAAGCCCAGCGGCCATCGAAAGCAGGCGGCAAGGAGAATCGTGGTGACGAGACTCCTGTGAACCTGTCTATGTTGGGATTGGAAGCGGTGTCTGCGGACGGCACACCCCAAGCTGACTCTGAGGATATTGATATGATGGACGCTAGCTTTGTTGATGCCAAGGAGATAAAGGAGGAGGAGAAGGCCTTGGGCTTAATGTCGCGGGAGGAGGAGATTGAAAAACTACGTACCAGTGGCAGTATGACACAAAACCCGACTGAAGTCCATCGAGTGCGGAATTTGGACCGGCTCCAGATGGGCAAGCACGATATTGAGCCGTGGTACTTCTCTCCCTATCCTGCCTCTTTTTCTGATGCAGAAGTGGTATACATTGATGAGTTCTGCCTGAGCTACTTCGACGACAAACGCGCCTTCGAGCGACACCGCTCTAAGTGTACCCTCACGCATCCTCCTGGCAACGAGATCTATCGAGACGATAACATCTCATTCTTCGAAGTTGACGGCCGCCGACAACGAACATGGTGCCGCAACCTCTGTCTGCTCAGCAAACTTTTTCTTGACCACAAGACTCTGTACTACGATGTCGACCCCTTCCTCTTCTATTGCATGTGCACTCGAGATGAAACCGGTTGTCACCTCGTGGGCTACTTCTCCAAAGAGAAAGAGTCCGGCGAGGGCTATAATCTGGCTTGTATTCTCACACTGCCCCAATACCAGCGGCGCGGTTACGGAAGACTTCTCATCTCTTTCAGCTACGAGCTGAGCAAGCGCGAAGGAAAGGTCGGTTCTCCTGAGAAGCCACTCAGTGATCTTGGGTTGCTGGGTTACCGACAATACTGGCGCGAAACACTCGTCGAGATTCTCTTGGATTCTGGACGCGAAACGGTCAGCGAGAACGAGCTCGCTGTGTTGACGTCTATGACTGAAAAGGACGTACACGAGACATTGGTGACCTTTAAAATGCTCAGATATAATGTAAGTTCCATTTCCACATTACTTTTGATCAATAATAGAAGAAGCAACTAACAGCCATGCAGAAAGGACAATGGATTATCGTGCTTACAGACGAGGTTATTGAAGAGCGCAACAAGCGCTTGGAGAAAGAAAAGGCGAAGGGGTCTCGCAAGATTGACCCGGCAAGACTTCAGTGGAAGCCTCCTGTTTTCACTGCTTCCAGCCGAACATGGAATTGGTAAACAAAGCGCGCTTACACTCTTTTTGCCTGCTTACTGGGGTTTTTCAGGCAGCAGTATTAGCCGTCTTTCTGCACATTTTTTTCTATTTCAGCATTAGCAAGGAGGGGCGTTCGAGAGCGATATACCTGGAGTTTTGGGTTAGGGATGAATATTAATATCAGCAATAATTACAACCTAACAACATTTGACCAACTCAGGTTATTTTATTCAGCAAGCATACGATGGACAGGTGGTATCCGCACGGTTGTTGTTAACCTTACTTGCCCGCCACTAGGCGATAGGTTGCTATATGTAGCCCTATGGGACGCACTGCGAAGGAGACAATGTCGGTGACTGGAATGTACCATTTTTCAAGCTAGATAGATAGTACTTACTTCTGACGATGTTCTTGCTTCCTCACTAAAGGAAGCGAAGGACGAGAATAAACATGGATAACCTGTATATAACCCAGCCAACAACCAGTCAAGGAAGGCAGTGGGAAGAGGAACGGCATTCGTAGCGCACAGCAAAGTCAACTCGGATGGTTTGAGCTCAGCATTAAGAAATTTTGCACTTCATCCAGGCTCGGGTTAAGATATCAGAGCGTGGTCATACATCACGGGCGATGGAATGGCTACTTTCAAAATGAGTACAGGAGAAGAGTAAGTAGAATGAGTAAAGAGATGAAGAGAGAAAGTTGTAGGGAATATTGAGAAAGGACAACACTAAAGAACATATGCTAGAGAACCCGAATGAATCCCATCTGTTTTCCCTGCAGGCGTAGCTCATTTCAAACACTCAATGCAAAAAGACCCGAAACCTGGAGAAGATGCTAAAATTGCAGCTCAGGGGAGAAGGGTGAAAGGAGGGTAGCTCAAGAGCCTGTCTACTTGTGTATAGAACGAGACCTTGAGTTGAGAGTAACCCGTTCAACTGTTTTTATTGAGTTGAACGCGGCTGTCGCTGCGTCTGACTGTTCCCATTTGTTTGCTGTGAAGCAGCCTTCTTGAAGTTTGAGCCACTGGTCCCATCGCGTGGTTTGATGTTCTTACGTGGCTTAAATGTAGACTGTCCGCGCGACCGAGGATTGGAATGGGAACCTGGTTTCCGCGGCGCGGCTACGGTCTTTGCTTCGACCGCACCAGGAGGTCGAATTATGATCTGGTAGACCGGCGAAGCATCTTTATCACAGAAAGGTTCAACGCTAAGGACTTGCATCGTTTTCAAAACTTTAGCACGTAGCCGGGCTTGAGATGGTGCCGGTGCAGCTCGCCAAGCGGCAGGAGGAGCCATCGTGGGAACTCGGACAACTGGCAGGGAGCCAACTTCACGGTCCTCAAACATTTCCTCCGCTTCCTCGACTTGTCTTGCAGTCAATTCGCCGTCTCCGAGTTGGGTTTCCCCATTGTAAGGGAGCGAAACTGAGACTGCTGCGACATGCAGCTGCACATCGAGCGGCTCCTTTGAGGCGGACGAAACCGCCAGAGCATTCCTTTTCTCCGGCGCTGTTTTCTTACCGAAGAGGGTGTTAATTCTCTCCTGCCAATTTGTAGCGGTTGAAGCGGGACCAGGGCGTATATTAGAAGCAACCATGGAGGCAAAAGTGGGTGGCGGAGGCGGCGGCACGACCACCTTTGGAGGAAGTTTGACGATTGGCTTTGGTGCAGGAAGATGCACTAGAGGCCTATTCGAGTCGCCAAAGTAGACTGGATGAGTCGAGATCTCTTCAGGCGGGGGTGGTGAAGGGCTTCGGAAGAAGTCCATCTCTTCATACGCCGGTTTCCTGTTTTCCATGGCCTGTGGGAAGAACCGCGAGCTGCGAGTAGGAAAGCTTACAAGAGGGCGTGCATGCGGTTCCACGAAAGGAAGAGGGCCAACGGGGTGTTCAAGACTGGTCAAGGGGTTCGATAGTGGAGGATTTCCCTCTGTCGATCTCGAGACACCGACAATTTGCCTCTGTCCAGCCTGGTCTCCAGAACGTACTTGTCGCCAGGTTTCGTTGAATGTGATTTGAAGTGAGGGCTGACTTTCACGAGCATTCATCTCACTGCGCAACTTCTCGTTTTCCTCAGCCTCGCGTTTCGTGGCAACTGCGTGGAAATCATTCCATGCAGCGGTACGTGTATCATTCTGCCAATGGGGGTGCTGCGCTCTGGGAGGACCAATGGGCCCTGGACGAGCAATTGGGCTTAAGGTGTCATAGGAAGCATGTCTAGCTTCAGGCGAGGGTAGAGGGGATATCGTTGTACTCTCCTGGGCGGATCGCGTCGCTGTGGGAAATGGTTGTGTGCTCGGAGGGAGGGATGAGTGGTCCAAACCGAGAGGATTTCGTAGAGCCAAGTCCCGTGCTGGAAAATTCCCCACCAGAGTTTGGTCGAAGATGCCATTCCCTAACGTTTTGTCGTTGGTGAAAGGCTTCCACGGATTCGTGATAGGAGGCGCAGGGCCGACAAGCTTCTTGTTCGCTGTCCAAGGTGCGTAGTTGGGTACATTCATCCCACCCATCCACTGGGCGTTCTCTTCGTCGACTCTTTGCTCAGCAGGTATATCTTCGACTGGCCCTGTCGGCCCATGTGACGGTTGGAGTCCGTTTGTTGTAACAGCATCTGCTTTGGCTTCCCGGCTTGGGGAGGAGGGACGTCTAGCGCTAGTTACTGTGACAGGCTTATCTTGGTTTCTTTCTCTCTCAATGAGTTTCTTCACGGTATCAGGGTGATGGACTTTCATCATGCCATATTGTTTGGGTGCCCCGGTAGGTTCTGGCACTGGGGGTTTCGGTGGTGATAGAGCAGGACCACTAGTTATCGACTCAACCTTACTGACCTCTGGAGATCCCTTATTCTTTGCCTTTGGTTTCTCGGGCGGCGGGCCCAATGCCTCGAGCTTCTGTCGTATCCTCTCACGTTTCGCAGCTTCCTCTTTCTCCTCTTGCTCTAGTCTTCGCTGCCGGGCCTCCAAACGCTTCTCCTTCATGATCCTTTCTTGCATGGCAACGGGGTCCTCCTGCGGTGGTTGCGGTACTCTAGGCTGTCCATCAGCAGTAGAAGCCTGGTTTACCCCAGCAGCGACACTTGGAACTCTTTCAGAGGCAACAATCGAGTCGCGTGGAGGCCAAGAAGGGCCAGCCCCGTGGCGCTTTGGGGAGACATCCCGTAATTGGGGCTCAATCGGATGATGTTCGCGTGCTTGAAATGGTGGCTCAGCCATTCCATTTGCCAGGGAGCCACGCCTGGCTTCAAATGGCTTCTGTACCAAATCAGGTCGGCCAATCGACATCCGCCGACCGAAACTTCCACTTCCGCCGCTGACATTTGACGATGTACGGCGACGAGTCCAGTGACCACCGTCTTGACCGCTCGTCCTGTGGGTCTGGAACGCAGCAGAAGGCTCTGCTGGCCCAGCGTGCTCACCTGGCGCCGTGGGTCGTTGCAACACGGATGGTGTGCGAAAGCTCTGCTCATTTCGATAGTTGCCGCCTTTCCTCGGCTCGGGAACAGGCTCGTAACGTCCCGATCTGGAGTTATAGAGCTCCCGTGTTCCCGGCTGCGTTTCCTTCCACGAACGATTGAAGTCATCTGCAGCAATCTCTTTGGGAGCCACAGGCGCACTAAAGCCGTCGTTGGGCTTTTCCCTAAGAGGAGGCCGTGTTACGGGTTGAACTTGAACCGGAGGTATGACCGGAGAGGCTTTTTCGATGGGCGGAATCGGGGCCCAAGGTGACTTGGCGGGAGGAGCCGGGCTCGTAGAAGACGTCGGCAATTTGTCATTGTTGGGGCCCTTAGCAGAAATACCAGCAGTTCTCGCTTGCCTCTCCGCACTAGCTCCCAGCCTAAGTACTGTAGGGTTTGGTCCTACAGAAGTGACGGACTTGGCAATGTATTTTGAGGGTTCCTTGATCGAAGGGGTTTGTTCCACTGGCGGAAGCCCTTCCTTGCTCTCAAACGTTGCTTTTGTCGTGGTCGTTTGTGTAGCAGTCGGGACAGGCTCAGGGTTAGCTGCTTCGGCCTTCAAGTCGGTCTTGGTTCCATCGTTCCATTCAATGGTTTCCGGAGCCCAGTCATCTTCATCGTCATCAATATCAGCCCATTTAGATTCTGTTCCCCCGCCATCCTCTTGAATCCTCGAAGTCATATGAATTCCATATTGTTGCTTCAACTCTTCGTCAGTGAGATGTTTTGGGGGCGTCTGTTGGACCGCTGTAAGAATACAAAGTTAGACTAGCAACTATTCATCTCGGCGGTGCCTTACGTCGATTTCTATTCCAAACCTGACTGGGATCGGGTCCTCCACCGAGCCTAGCGCCGCTTGTGCCCGTCTTCGATATGGAGTGCAAACTGCTTGTTGTCTTTGCGACTAAACGAGGCCGCGGATTCTGTAACGGCGTGCCCAAAGGAGTCCCTGAGGACAAAGGTGCTATCACATGTTATGAGTCCCATATCTTCTCAGAACAGGTGATACTGTACATACTCTTTTCCGGAACTTTAGTCACCGGGGGTGTACCCGGTGCTTTGGGGACAGAGAATTTGGCAAACGAGACCGGCTTGAATGTAGCTGGCCGTTTGGTTGACCCAGCACGACTGTTGACTCTGCTTTCTGTTCGACTGGCATCGGATTCCGAGCCGCCTAAAGAGGCCGAGTCTTCCCCACCATCCGATGTAGATGTCACCCCATTTATTTCAAGTACCTTTGCTGCCACCAAGCCTGGACCTTGCTTTAACGCATCCTGCGTCGTGGTAAGTCGAGGCTCCGGCGTCTGACCTAGAACACTCACAGCCGTAACCTGGTCTCCGCCATTCTCCTTCTCGCTGCTTTCTGTGGGTATTTGCGTGCGCATTTTCTGATCTTTTGATTCAACTTTCGATTTCGTCTCGGCTGATGTTGTAGCGATAGTGTTTATCTCCCCTTCGTCCCCTCCAGCAGTGTTCTTGTCGGTGGTGCTCGCAGGAACGTCGGAAAGCGAAGGATCGCCGCCCGACAGGGTTAGATTTACCACATCGTGGCCGTTCTGCTCTGCCATAACAATTCTCGAGTCTGTAGGGACAACGAGTTGCGACATCGTTAGACATGTGTTCTGAAGCTGTAAATAACGAAACGTGTGGCGACCGGGCTTCTGATAACAGAGGTAGGATATAGGAAGGATTCGGAGAATACCTATTGTTAGGGATCAAGAATCGCCACGGTTGAACTGTGAGCTCAGCTATTTGAGCCGTGAAAAGCTCCGAACGACCAAGAGGGTGGATGATGAAGAGGCTAGCGGAGCGCGAGAAACAGGGGTCGAGGTAAACGGCCGGCTGAGAGAGCTCTGAGGACAAAGGCAACAGCCCACAGTATCCCGAAAGGGAGTTCACGATAGAGTGGCTCGTCTCTGAGTTGATGGGGATCGGATGATGGCCTGCGGTCATGGATGATGGGTGACGGCTCAGGTTCCCAAGACTAGGGTGGCTGTTTTCGGTTAGCGTAGGAGGCGCCGCAAACTGTAGCAAACCCTGTGGCTGGACTGGGGAGCCGCGGAGTCGTTGACGTCGAGGGGCCAAGATCAATAACTCGCCATTCTGGAGTTAGTTATGCCGCTCAACTTGAAGTTTCAATAAGTGTAAAGCCCCCAACTACAGTCTCTTTGAGCGGAACGATTGGTGGTGCTCTTCTTCCACCCCAACCTACAGAATCTCCATATGCAACCGCCCGGCATTCCGAATCCAACTGTACAGATCCCGAGTACAAGTGGCACAGGAGAATACATTAAATACGCTTTGTACAATTGAGAAGGTATGAAGCTAATGTCACAAGAGGTTGGAATTGCCAATAACACAGCTGTTCTCTTCTACGAAGGCCTCAGCTTTAAGCCCACGATATATACACAAATCCCCCACTTCCATCACCTAGTCGAGATGTATTTAGTGAGGGTGGTTCTTGTGGTGACCTGTTACCATGTTAGATGTATGTTCCATGGTGAATACAGATATATAGGGTCCATACGCAGGTGGAAGTAGTACTCCATGCTGTAACCGAGGATGAGAATGCCACCGATAGCGTGGGCAAGGGCTGGAAGAAGCACCCATGTCAGCGAGAATGCGAAATGCAGTATATGAAGGTCACTCACGGGCAGCAGAAGGCTTGTCACCGAAGTAGCGAGCCGAGTAGCGGCCGATGAGGCCGGTGGGCTTGGTCTCAGGAGCAGAGCCACGGGGGAGCTTGGCGTAGAAGTTGACGACGCGGTCCATGCGGGCGGCATCCTTAGCAGCACCGATTGCCTTTGCCGATGTTAGTGATCGATTATGCCCAAAGATATCATGAAGCTCATTTTGTCATTCAGATCGAACGACCGTCACAGAATGGAATGGACAATGCAATAAATGTAAGGGGTCTCACGTTGGGAGAAGCAATCTAAAACGGTCAAGAATCAGTAACTATATCTCCATGAAGTTATTTTGCATTTGCTTTTGAGGTTTCCTACCTTGGGAGGGATCAAGGTCGAGAGACCTCGGCGGGCGATGTAGCTCATCTTTGCGCGGTCTGATAGCGGACCATTAGCGATCCAAACGTGCGCCAAATGTAGATTAACATATCCGCGTGCGATGTACACATTGGTTGACTTACCTTGACGTGAGATAAAGGATCAAGAGAAGGGTGAGCAACAGAAGATGGTAGGAAGTGCCTGAGAAAGCGGGTTGTCGGAAGAGAACGTAGGGAGCCGCACACGCTAAACCTAATCAGGCTTTGCCTTCAGACCGGCAAGGTCGCAATACCTCACCTCGCCATTTCACACTCGTCCTCGTCGCCCCATTCCAACCACAACAGGCGCAATCGACACAATGTCTTTCATGCGGGCTGGAAACCTTGCCTGCTCTCGGGCGGGCAGGCTTATGACATACCGCAACACGCGTATGCTTTCAGCAACTGCTTTGCGAGCTGAGTCGTCGGTCAAGCCCAGCAGCAGCTCTTCTGACGCGCCGACGACCCCTCTCTCCGAAAGCACTCTGATCCAAAAGGAGACCCCTGCGGAGGCAATGACTCGTCACCAGCCCGATTACGATGCTACTATCGACCACGGCACCTCGTACGAAACCCCCTTTGCTCCTCTGGGCATGATGACTGACACAGTACCAGCAAATTCTCCCCTGTGCCTAAGCGTGTCATGGATGGAAGCGAACCCGGCGAGACGGTTCCTGCTGCCGTTCTCTCTGGTGCCCCTACCGACCTCCAGGCCCGCACTGTCAGGTATGAAACAAGCTTAGCGGCTTCCCGATGCAGCTGCTAACACATCGGCAAGGATCTTCCGACCTTCGAAGCCAGCTACGCAGTCCGGAGAATGGCACTCTCACCACTGGAGGATGGATTGGGACATTTTGCAGAAGGGCCACCGATGGGAGAACCCCCTGATGGGCTGGCAATCTTCCGCGGATGCCATGCAGGGCACACACATCAACTTCAAGTCGAAGGAAGACGCCATCCTATTTGCGCAGAAGCAGGGCTACGAATACTTTGTCCAGGAGCCCAATGAGCGAAAGTTTGTTCCCAAGGCTTATGCGAACAATTTCGTCCACGAGCCCAAGAAGCTCAAGCATATCAGAACCAAATAAACCGCCCTTCTCAGGTTGTTGTGTATGTATATAAGTGTTTGTTGCCCTCTGCATGCTTTCAGAATCAAAGTGGGTCTGATATCTTTTATGCGCAGTAAATGCCGACATTCAGATAACTGCGGCTTAAGCAATGGCTTTAATTAGGGTAACTTGGAAGTGATGATGCCTTGTCCGAGCTAACTATGTTCTGCGCTTCTCGAAAGGCGTTGAAGTAGGCCCCAACTATGGCTACAATACTTGGGCCTCTAGGTTCTTTGAAATTGAGTAAGGCTCAGATAGTGCCATTTGGGCGTGCTATGTGGTATATATGCATTTCTTTTATGCTTGACGATATATGGCGCACGAATACCTGACAATGTTTGAGCACTGTTGACAGAACGATCTCAGCCAGGTTCAAGGGTCAAAATAGCCCTAAAACAGAGGACATTGGGAGGCTAGACTGTTTTTGTCAGGCATCATTGCAATATATAAGCTTGCAAGGCCTATACATGGCGCATTTGAAGCCTGCAACGGAGGGTAGATAGTCATAGTAAGCCGCGAACAAGTTGCAATAGTGTCCGCTATAACTGGTCATGATTATCCTCCTAAGATTTTCTTACCCCTTCAGTACTATGCTGAAGGTCGAGCCAGCACCTTGTTTCCTGTTGCAAGTACAGCTATGCAAATAATAGTAGGCATACTCATAGCAATATTCACAAGGTATTCCTTGAACAAATAGTCCTTAGGAGAGCCAAACTAAGAGCAAACAAACTTAGCAGCCTGAACAGCCAAGGACAAAAGATCAGATATCGTCCGACCCGGATCATTTGCAACAAAAGCAGGCCTAGCCGCAGACTTGGGCCCCGCCACCCCGCCAAAAATTTATTATCTACGCAGATAAGATCGAAAAATTATACCACCCCTCACGACTCAGTCTACTTCGCTTTCCTGACCACCTTTTATCTCTCTCTTCATCAAACACGCAAAAATGACGACAGACAGCCTAGAAAGCCCGGATACCACTGTCCAAACCCTCCGCACAGTTCTCACTTCCGAGACTGAGCCGCTCGCTCGCCGATTCCGCGCTCTGTTCTCGCTGAAGCATCTCGCATGCCTGCAGCCGCCCACCGAGAAGACACTGCCCGCAATTCAGGCCATCGCTGCTGGTTTCGTGTCCCCATCGGCATTACTCAAACATGAGCTCGCGTACTGTCTCGGCCAGACGCGGAACACAGATGCCTTACCGTTTCTGCTTGAGGTGGTGAAGGATAAACAAGAGGATTCAATGTGTCGCCATGAAGCTGCGGAGGCGCTGGGTGCCCTGGGCTACGAGAGCAGTCTGAAGGTCCTGAAGGAGATTCGGGATAGCAAGGATGAGGTGGATGTCGTTCGCGAGACTTGCGACATTGCCGTGGATAGGATTCTGTGGGAACAATCAGAGGCTAGGAAGGCCGAGAAGTTGAAGCCTAGGTATGTTATTACCAGTTTTGGGCAGTCTGGTTGCATTTCTATTCCCATTCTAACAAGAACTTGTTATAGCGACTTCACCTCCATTGACCCCGCTCCGCCTATGCCCTTGACCGCGAAAGAGCCTTCGATTCCCGACCTAGAGAAAACACTCCTAGATACAAGTCTGCCATTATTCGAAAGATACCGTGCCATGTTCGGCTTGCGTGATCTCGCCTCACCCCCCGATCTCCCTACCGCCCAGCAAGCTGTTGAATCACTAGCAAAGGGCATGAAGGACCCATCTGCTCTATTCCGTCACGAGATCGCATTCGTCTTTGGCCAGCTCTGTCATCCCGCGTCAGTTCCGAGCCTGACAGAAACACTTAGCGACTTGAGTGAAGCTGGTATGGTGCGACACGAAGCTGCAGAGGCTCTTGGTAGTCTAGGTGACGTCGAGGGCGTGGAAGACACTCTGAAGAAGTTCTTAAACGACCCGGAGAAGGTTGTGAGAGACAGCATAATTGTGGCACTTGATATGGCGGAGTTTGAGAAGAATGGGGAGGTCGAATACGCGTTGATTCCTGATTCTGGAGAGCTTGCTGCAGTGCCTGCTGCTTGATTGACACGGCGGTGGTTTAATGTGACTGTCAAAAATGGCGGATTCTTGTTAGATGCGTAGATAAACCATCTATTAATGAAAAATAGATATCCTGGGTATTAATTGTTCGTGGTTTCCCTGGGCGCAAAATTAGCCAATGTGAATAGGAGTTCAGAAGGGAGAGCTCGTACTTGTAACCGCAAACACAGGTGTAAAACACGGTACTTCCTTCGTCTGCACTGCGCAGTTGTACTGTAGTGTAGTACATCTCCTTCCTCCCACACTTGGGGCAGTCCTTCTCTGTCAAGGCTTCTGTTCTCTTGTCCGCGGCCGTCAACGTCTGGATCGCAGACCGCTTCGCGCGTAATGTCGAAGGGAAAGAACTCGGTTTCGACTCGGAAACAATTGTTTTCGGTACGGTATCTGAAAGAATCATATCAGTATATACTCTCTAACGCATCATCCTCTCGCGCCTCGGAGACTCACCCTTGTTGCGGGCTCCGCAGACGTCACAAACCAGGATCCTCGTTGGATCTCCAACGGAGCCTTCAAGTAGAGAACCGCAGTCCGTGCAGAAAACCAGGGATCCAATTGTAGACATATTGAGTGACGATTGATAAGCAATGTTTCTCTTATACCCGCTTGCTTCTGATCGCTTTTTCTTCACTTTTTTCCGCTCGGGAAGATTTGCGGACGCACGGGCCCATTGATAGGGTGGACAAGAACTGTAAATTGGCGCGCTAATCTGGGCGGTCAGACGAGGCGGCAGCCGCAAGATAATAGTCGCGGTGCCTGACATTAATTATTCACGCGAACATCGGCTTGTTGACCAGTCATATTTGCAGTGCCTTTGGAAATGAGCGTCTGACGGGGTGGGAATCTCGGTCTTATGACTGACAGCCATGAGTGAAGCATGTCGGTCCCGCTTCCAGTCAAACTTCCCTTTCTTCATCCGATCTGCAGTTCTCTTTAAGGGACCACTGCTGCCATGGACCCCAACTGGCGTCCGGCCGTTCAGGTCGTCATAAATAGCCATGCCCATACACAAGCGGGAGTAGCTAGGGGGCAGACGCAGCGTCGGGAGAGACCATTAGCCGTGGAAGAGGCGCTGCAATACTCCCCCATGTACAGCGCCCCGGTATTCGGTTTAGGTGAGTTGGGACGAGAGTTGGAGTCTTGTACATCGGGCTAAAGCTTTTATCCTCTTCAGACTGCATTCTACGCCCGGATGTCGGCCGACCTCCTGCTACGACCTCAATCAATCATATCCTTCAGTCCGGCCGCAGTGCGCTGAACGATCTCAACGACGATATCCGATCAGGACGTCACGAATCAAGCCGCTTAGAGACCTCTCGAGAATATCTACAACATTTACTGGACGGCGAGCAATTGACAGAATTGTGAGCGAGCTTCCTCCATATGCATTGGAATGATGCTAACATCATACCTTAACTTTCAAGTAAATTTAAACTTCCGACAGGAAACCGGAACCCCCCACCGTCACTGAATACGCCCCGCGAACCTGTTCCCAGCAGCAACCGCCTTGGGCCCTTTGCCAGAATGATGTTGGACTCTACGGATATCGCTTATCGATGTGCGATCACTCTACCCTTCTTTTACACCATGTGCGGCTTGAGCTTACAGGTTATAGATCCTACACCATCAGATACGGATATTGGAACCCCGCTGAAGAAATCCAAATCCAAACCTCCGAAGAACCATAAACTGGCTCCCAGTACTCCCAACCAGCCTACCCAGCCCGCGAGTCAGCTCTCCGTCGTGATACCGGTAAAGCCTTTGCCGAACGCCGATCATGTATACATTGCTCCGAAGAAGAGGAACCAGAGCGCTAGTGGAGATGACAACCTAACGTCTATTCGCCTAAGAGCTCAGAAGGAGGAAGCGGATGCTGCTCTAGTCAGGCTGCAGGATATTCTTCATGAGATCTTCGAATCAGAAGACCAATTCGACCCAGGGATATCCGATACAGCTCCAGATAGGCCGAGCATGGTCTTAACTTCGCTCCAGTCGCTGGAAGTTAGTGGCCCGGTACTATCTGCGGATGCCCATGCGCGTCTTCAAAAGGCTATGAAGAAGGTAGTGAGCTTCAATAGGCTCCAAGACATCCCTTCAGATCACCTCACACGCATACAGAAGCTCTGCGAAAGGTCTATAATTGCTGCACAGGCGCCTGATTTGAGACTAGAAGATGCATCGGACGAATCGGCAGCTCAGGACTGGTTGAAGAAGTTGGACGATATGCAAAACGCCCTCCTTGCGATCAACACTCTTTTACAAACCATGTCTGGCTCGCAGACGGAAAGGGACCTTTGTCAGGAGGATCTGATTGAAGCAATTCCAAATCTCCTCAATCAGGTCTTCGACCACTGTATTATACCAGCTGTTGAAGCTCGTCCCGGAGGAAAAGATGGGAAATTTTTCGAGCTCTGTTCTCTCCAAAAACGTGCCATTGGAAGCGTGATACAGCAGAGTAAAAAGGTCATGAGCCTTTTTGCTGGCTTTTTGGCGCGGATCGATGTCTCAGAAGGAGCTATCACCGCAACCGAGTTCTTCGCCGCGAAACTGATCTTCGTTGAGAACTCGCACACCGAAAAGGATTCCGCCGTGGGTAGTCAGAAATATGAATCTGTTCGGCGAGGGGCTATGGATGTTCTCGCAAAGATATTCTCGAAATATCCATCTCAGCGCGCCTTCATCCTCGACGAGATCCTAGTCTCCCTAGAAAAGCTTCCATCCACCCGGCAAAGTGCCAGACAGTTCAAGCTTGCCGACGGCAAGAATATCCAACTGCTAACTGCGCTGGTCATGCAGCTTGTGCAGACCACTGCCTTAGACACTCCTTCTCCTAGGTCAACGAAGACTAAGCGTAAGGCTGTGAAATCTGAAGACGAGGGCGATGAATCTGAAGAGGGCGACGAGTCTGTGGATGACGACGATGATAAGTCCGACATATCATTAGCGCGTTTGGCTGTGAAGGTCAATAATCTATACGATAATGCTCTGCGAAGCGCTCAGTATATCATCAAATTCATTGTCCAACGAGCAATGACGTCCACGAAGACTGGTGATCAACCATACCGCAATATTCTTGACCTCTTCACTGAAGACTTGATCGGAGTCCTAGGCTCTACGGACTGGCCTGCTGCAGAATTGCTCCTTCGTATCATGGCATCTCATATGGTTAGCATTGCAGACCTTGACAAAAGCCCCGCCACAGCAAAGAGCATGGCTTTAGAGCTACTGGGTTGGATGGGCTCCGCTATCTCTGATCTGGCTTCCACTGCCCATCATCTTCTTCCGGCCATGGAGGAGTCCGAAACTGAGCTTACAGACTCTTTAAAGCAGTTGTTCGAGGATTACTCGAATCGTGCTCTACATCCTCAAGATCTCGTGGTTCCCAAAGGCCCTTACCGAGTGACCCTCGAGTATTTCCTCAACGATAACAACTCGAACAGTTGGCAACTTGCCAGTGCCCGAGGTTTCTTTCTCACGCAGTGGGCAAAGGCTTTTTGCTCTGTCTACTACAATTCCGAGGACAATGATGAGGTTACGTACGATGATGAAACTGAGGAGGCAGTACATCTCTTTGCGAAGATTTTCTCTGATTCGCGGTGGCTAGAGACAAACAGGTACCTGCTAAAACCACAATCTGTTGTTTACGCGATCTAACTATGCTCTCAGAACTTTCGACAAAGTTTCCACTGCTCAGGGAAAATTCGCCTATATTTTAACAGTCCTGAACTCAAGCTTCTGCAAAGCTTTTGATACAATCTTGAAAGTGCTTCTCAACTCAATCACGAGTGACCAAGCCAAAGTCCGAAGTCGCAGTCTGAAGAGTGTGATCTATATGCTTGAAAAAGACCCTAGTCTTCTTGATAGAGATGCCTCAGTCATGCGCGTGATTCTTCGGTGTGCAGCAGATGCTTCGCCCATGGTCCGCGACTCTGCATTATCGTTGATCGCCAGATGCATTGTCTTGAAGCCGAACCTGGAGGAAGACGGATGTAGAGCCATTCTAGCCTGTGCTGGCGATGCAGCAGCAGGGGTTCGAAAGCGCTGCATTGGGTTGATGAAAGATATCTACCTCAAAACGTCACGCGTTGAATTGAAGCTGGCTATCTTGGATAGCTTTCTCCAGCGCACTGTTGACCTTGAAGAGGGTGTGGCAGCATTGGCGCGTCAGACATTTGAGGAAATCTGGCTCACTCCGTTCTATGATATGACAGACTCTGCTCAAGATGCCCCCAAACTGAAGGTTGGGCTTGCTGAAAGAGTCACACTCTTCGTCCACTTGGTGCAAAGAAGCGATACGGCTCTAGAAGCATTGGGTTCATGCCTAGGAAAGCTGCTATCTGAACCTTCCAAGTCAGCCACTTCGAATTTCAGAGTGTGCAAGGCTATGGTTGCCACTATGTTTGAGAAATTGATCGAGGGCAGCGATTCAAGGAAGGAATTCCAACAGGCTTTACTGCAAACAATGACGGTTTTTGCGAAGGTGAACCCGAAACTTCTTCGCCCAGGTCAGTTGGACGCCCTTCATCCTTATATTGGAAATCTTGCCACAGCGGAGGACCTGTTCCTGTTCCGTTCTGTGGTCATCATCTATCGGTGTGTTCTACCATACCTGTCGAACTCACATACCACGCTCTTGAAGGATGTTCAAAATGACCTTTTCAAGAGCGTGGCTAAACTCGCGCGGGCGGAGCTCAACGAAGTCATGGCTTGTCTCTGGACTATCAACGGTGTTCTGCAGAATACGGACCGCCTCGTGAAACTCACGATCTCCGTCCTGAAGCCGATACAGCAATATAGAAGTATTGACCTCTCTAGCAGCAACAATGCTGTAGTTCTCGCGAGGTCGAAAAGCTATATCCGAATTGCTGGCTGTGTCGGGCGACATTGTGACCTTGAGAAATACGAACCTCACTTCAAGAACGCGTTCCCAGCTTGGAAAGGCGGTTCCGTAGCTGGTCTAATGGTCGACTCAATCATCCCTTTTACCGTGTCAAAGCAACCACTTGAGGTGCGTATAATGGCTCTGGAAAGCTTGGGCTCTATTTGCCAATCATGGCCTGCGCATTTTGGTCGAGAAGAATCAAGACGTGTCCTTGCGGCTGTGTTTGCGGAAGATAACCCCAGTCTGCAAAACATCGTGTTGAAGTCCTTCGCGGATTTCTTCGCAATGCACGAAGGCAAGGCAGAGAAGTCCATAGTTCCCGCCTCCGAGGCCGCAGACCAGCAAAATACAACTAGGTTAGGCGGGTCATTGAAAGCGAGCGACAACGACGGGGCTGCTGCGTTGATTGCCCAGCATTTTTTGAAGAATATGCTTCGGGTCGCGCAATCTCGACAGGACTCCTACGGCTTGACCGCCATTGAACTGATCGCTAGTATCAATAGGCAAGGTCTAGTGCATCCAAAAGAGTGCGCAGGGGTTCTGGTCTCTTTGGAGACATCTACCGTCCCGGCCATAGCCAAGGTTGCGTACGAGACGCATAAGATGCTTCATCAGCAGTATGAATCCATGTTCGAGAGGGAATACATGCGTGCAGTCCAGGAGGCCTTCTACTATCAACGTGATGTCGTTGGCGATTCAGCTGGCGCCAAGGCTCGACCATATGTTGCCAAGCTAGCACCTCTATTTGACATTGTCAAAATCAGCAACAGTCGGTACCAAAAGAAATTCCTTTCCAATCTGTGCTCCAAGGTGAATTTTGAATTAAAGAAACTCGATTCTAGCGGCAACCCACCGGAGCACCTTCTGCTTGCTCGCTTTATCTCTCAGAACTTGGCGTTCTTTGATTATAACCAGCTTGCTGAACTCGTGGCGACTATCGGCTCCATTGAACGCGTTGTCTCAGCGACAGGAACAATTGTAGCTCACACAATTGAGTCCGAGATATTCCCGCCCAAACAGGAAGCTCCGCCGGGAGACTGTATGTCCACGGCTATGCCAACGGATGCTACCAGCAATCTGCCATTGCAGAATATCAACGCAGCAACCTTGCGACATCTTACAGTTGCAGCTGCATCACTGTCTATGTTATGGGAGGCACGAACACACCTTCGACGCTTATATGGGGTCGCGGCTCACATCCGAAACAACGCAAAGGCCGCTGCGAAGGAGCTTAACAAGTCCGCCACGAAGGTGCAGGGTATCAATGGCGATAGGTTCTGGGAGGCCATCGCCCGAAACATGTCGTCCCTAGATAGTCAGCAAAGCATGATCGAGAAATGCCGTGAATTCGCCACCTTACTTTCCATTGACGAGGAGTTCAAGATTGGAGACGACGAAGACGCCGAAGGAGACGGTCTTGACGCACCTGCCGAGGCTGATGACCCTGGCGCAAACTGGGTTGCTGGTCAACGTCCTACCAAACGCAAGGGCTCCATGTCAAGTCAAAATCCGCCGAAACGACCCCGAGGCCGAAAGTCTGGGTCCGCAAAGAAGCGAAACAGCGCGAGTGCAACACCGGATGGAGATGCGGACTGGGAGTAGGCGAGACCTACATACATTATTGTATTTTGGTTGTTTTCTACAATGGTATTTAGACGGTGCATATCGGACAAGCGGAAAACGGCGTTCGAGGAGACAGACAGGGCTTGCATTCGACATTTCCTTCTTATCATGGCGTGGGATTGCCTTGCCTTCAGCGTTATGTGGCCCAGTGCCGTCGTTCTGGTATCTTTGCTGGGTTGTTTATATCCACTAGTGATCTCTTAATTCATATTTATACCCAAGTCACTTAGTTTTATGGTCCTTCTGCAGTTCTCTGTATACCCTCCCCTCAGGTGCTCACGGATCTTCGGCTCATTGATAGGCGAAAAGTGGATCTATCGTGAAGCGCTACAGTTGAACTCGTGGAGTCTATACCGAGACGCTGGATCAAGTATGGTTGCTTTTGCGGAATGGAAACCGGGAGCTCTGCAGTGGGTTTTTATATTCATGCAGAAGCAAATTGAGATCAGTCCATGCCGGATGCCGGTCACCCTTCTGGCAGACCTTGGGTAAATTCACGTAATCGGCGATTTGGCCTCCTAAGGACTAACGGCTTCAGGCTAGTATAGCAATACCTAAGGTGGGCCGGCCAGAATGCTTGGGGTCTTGGACAGCGGCAGAATGACGTTACGCCTCAAGGAACTGGAACCGCTCTAACCGTCTGCCAGAACTCTTGACAGCTCGTGCCTTAACATCTCAACTTTCTCTTCCTCACTCCTTTCATTGCTACTCAATCTCCGTCTCACCTTTGATCTTGGGACGTTGACCGTCACCAACGCTCGGCCACGTCGTTCCCTCTTTACATTCTGCGTTAGCCATGAGCGCTGCGCTACGAGCGGGTCGTCCGGACGCCCTCGTGCTGAGAAGAATCGGACTTCTTTCCAGAAGATTGAACGCCTCAAACTCGTCAATATCTAGATTAACTGTCGGACGATCGGCATATCACACTCCCCGCAAACCTGTACCACAATGCCTCGCTTCGCGTGCCTTCTTCAACCCTCAATATACGGTCCGACACAATTCCACCGCAACAACAAAAGAGGATGGAATTGCCCGGAAATTCAGAATTAAGAACATAATAGTCACGACCTTTGCATACTGCGGCTTCTTCATTGTCATGAGCAGTGCGGCTGTGGTGGCCTTCTTTATCTACGATGCGACTACGTACCGCGAGACCTCAAGCGCTGAGGCCATCCCGGTCTCGGAATTGGCTCTCAATCCCCGTCGCGGAGGACCCAAGAACTTACCAATTGCAGAAGTCCTGATCGGTGATGATGATTCCGAGGCAATGCAGGCTCAGAAGGATAAGCCCAGGCTGGTAATCCTAGGTACAGGTTGGGGTAGTATCGCGCTACTCAAAGAGCTTAATCCTGATGATTACCATGTCACCGTGGTATCTCCGACAAACTATTTCCTGTTTACTCCTATGCTTCCATCTGCCACTGTCGGCACGCTTGGCTTGAGGTCACTGGTCGAACCCGTCCGTCGAATTGTTCAGCGAGTTCATGGGCACTTCCTCAAGGGTGAGGCTGTTGATGTTGAGTTCTCGGAGAAGCTGGTCGAGATCACACAGATCAATAACAAAGGGGAGGAGGAGCAGTTTTACCTCCCGTATGACAAGCTTATCATTGGCGTTGGTAAGGGCTATGAATCCCGAATGTCGTGCGACATGTTGTGCTAAATCAGCTACTCTGCTCAGGTTGCATTACGAACCCTCATGGTGTGAAGGGTCTTAACAACTGCCATTTCTTGAAGACCATCGATGATGCCCGCCGGATCAAGAACCAAGTGCTAGATAACATGGAACTAGCTTGTTTACCAACCACTACTGATGAAGAGCGCAAACGTCTGCTGTCCTTTGTTGTCTGCGGCGGGGGCCCAACTGGTGTCGAATTCGCGTCGGAGCTCTTCGACCTCCTCAATGAGGATTTGCTATACTCATTCCCCAAGATCCTGAGAAACGAGATCTCCGTCCATATCATCCAAAGCCGCAGTCACATCCTAAACACATATGACGAGGCTCTTTCAAAATTCGCAGAGGTGAGCAGTTGGTTCCGTTCAAACATTTCAAGTATTTTAGCTTATGAAGATAGTCTCGGTTTGCGCGAGATGACGTTGATGTCTTGACAAACGCTAGAGTAAAGGAAGTTCGCGAGGACAGAGTCGTGTTTACCCAGGTTGAAGATGGCAAGACAGTAACCAAAGAGATTCCAATGGGCTTTTGTCTTTGGTCAACTGGTGTTGGTAAGCGACACCTGGCGTCTCATTTATGCAAGTCTGCTAATCAGCATACCAGCCCGTGCGGATCTCTGCACAAAGCTCGCCGAAAAGCTCGACTCCCAGAACAATAAGCACGCCCTAGAAACTGATTCCCACCTCCGTCTCATTGGTGCTCCCCTCGGCGACGTATACGCCATAGGAGACTGCGCCACCGTTCAAAACAAGATCGCCGACCACATCCTCTCCTTCCTCCGTACTATCGCCTGGGAAAAGGGCAAAGATCCCCAGAAGGTTCACCTCACCTTCCGCGAATGGCGTGACGTTGCCGCCCGCGTTAAAAAGCGCTTCCCCCAGGCCTCCAACCACCTTCGCCGCCTTGACAGACTCTTCGAGCAATACGACAAAGATCACTCCGGCACCCTAGACTTCGAAGAACTCTCCGAACTTCTGCATCAAATCGATACTAAACTCACTTCTCTCCCTGCCACCGCCCAACGCGCAAACCAACAGGGCCAATACCTCGGCCGCAAACTCACCAAAATCGCAGCTGCCATGCCAGGCTTGCAGGCTAACCAGATCGACTACGGTGACATGGATGAGGCTGTCTACAAGGCTTTCAACTACAGACACCTCGGTAGCTTGGCGTACATCAGCAACGCCGCTATCTTCGACTTTGGCGGTTATAACTTTGGTGGTGGTGTTCTGGCTATGTATCTCTGGCGCAGCGTCTACTTCGCTGAGAGCGTTAGTCTGCGGACGCGGGTAATGCTTGCTATGGACTGGGCTAAAAGGGCTCTCTTTGGCAGAGGTATGTTTTATTCCTTTCCGTTCAATTGTTTCTTGGCTACACCCGCATCATTAGCTAACGTTTTATGAATGCATTAGACCTCATGAGCTTCTAATATATAACCTTCGGGCTTAGATACGAAGCGGAAAGCATGACGAATTGTTTCCATTTTCTGGCATCACCTATCGTATATATCTCCTGGGAGCATCTACTTCTTGAGACGCATAGTTGGATGGTGTCCTTACCATGTTAGATTGGCTAGAGATGATTGATCTACGCGGTGTGGGATACTGTATCGAGCATTTGGGGATATGGCTGGCATTTATAGATTTCCCAGAATTTTTGAAAACAATATAATATTTATTCCCCTTCTTCCATGAGATGTAATGATATATCTCATATGGTCTTGGTTCGGCTTGTTAATTGTGGATGATGTATGTGTAGTTGGTAGTGGTTGGAGTGGTAAAGTATATATCTATCGATGATGGTGGACGGTGATGTTTTTGAGTCTCTCCGACCTATCGCTTCCCCTCGCTCATCGCCACAGCATTCATTGCGTTCAACATGTAGACTAGGTTTACGTAGGACCAAGGGAATCCAGTAACCACATGAAAACAACGTACACAAGACGTATCGTGTAGGAAGTGCGTAGTATCAATTACTGGCAGCGACGGGTAGGGATACAATCATATAACCATGCGACATGACTAGTTGCGGACCACGAGAGTGGCGAGACAGAATTGGAGAGAATTTTCAAGTCAAGGTGATGAAGATTATGTTCTGGCGAACTGATGAACGGCCAAGGTCGGCATCGTCATCGACATCGCTTCCAAACGCTGAGGCTTAAACACAGCATGCAGGCAGTGGAGAGTATCGCGATATTGACATGATACATATTATCCATGACAGGTCCAGCCGGTCATGAGATCATCGGATCAACGTCTCCGTTGTTGGTCATTACAGTGTCGTTAGAGGCGCCATTCTGAGGGTTCGCCGTGGTGTCCCGAGCAGAATTACTATTGCTGGATTCCCCGAGTCCAAGATCCAGCTTGTCGGGGATATCCTTCTTAGCCTCTCGGGCTTTTTGCTCCGCCCAGGCGTATAACCTAGCGAAGTCGCACAATAGAGCTTCTGTACGAGCGCCTTGGTCTTGCAGGATAGCTGCGTTGACCTTAGCATATATATCCCTACGTAGATCGGAATGAAGAAGAGGTGCTAGTGACGGGGTTAGGTTTTCCTTGGGGAAGATGAGAAGCGCAAGAGTCTTCTCAAGGTCTTCAAGGAACTGGGGGTTTGTTGGTGCCCGAGGAGCGAGCTGCGAGGTAGCAAACTCGAGGGCTGGTGTGATGTCTCCATCGGGGTTAAGCGAGCAGGAGCGAATCAATTCCACAAGCTGCAAGCGTAGGAGCGCAAAATGAAGCGACGGGTTTTCATCTAAAATCTGCATTGAGCAGTCAGCACAAAGTCAAGTAAAGTAATGACATGAGCAAAGGCAATATTGTCGTAGTTGATCATACTGAGGACTGAAGATGTTTGTTTATCAACAAAACCCAGAAGGGTGTTCTGAGTGGTGCATGAAACTTGGTCTAATCATAACAAGAGGGCATGGTGATGGCAAAAACAATGGTGTAGTGTGGTCCTTACCTGAGGATTGAGCTCATTGATCTTCTCAATAGCAGACTGAATATTCCCCGAATAGATGGCCGTGCGAATTCCAACCCGTTCCTGGATTGACTCGACGTCCACTTGCTGGATGTTGGCTTCGAGTGCAAATTTTTGCGCAGCAGCTGGATAGCCGTTGGTGACGAGGTAGTCCATAACCAATCTGTTCATGTCACTTTTGAGATGTCAGCAATTGAACCGGCGTCAATGCTTTTCGAGTCAAAGACATGGAGGGCAAGATATCAGAAACACAAGTTATTATGTTCTCCTCAAGGATTTTGTTTCAGAGAGATTCCCAACTTGAATAAGAAAACATCATGAGAGGGCGGGACGGTTGAGGGAGAAGGTAACGTACGTCTTGGACGGCTTGACCTCGTCGACTTTGCGCTCGAAGTGGTGCCATGTTGGCGTTGATGTTGAAGAAGTGGGAGACACCTGCTACCCGTGTTAAAAACCGGCAAACACGGATGCACCAGACGCCGAGAGGCATACGTAATTAGTAGCAGACATGATCGCACGGTGGGTGAGGGATTGCTGGGACTATCATGTGCCCTGGAACTGAATCATAGGGCGCCTGTGAAGATGGAAAGCTTCGCAGTCGGGAGCCATGAGTTTGCTGAGGATAAGAAAGGAAGAAGAAAAAGAGCAAGCGGAAGAAGAAAGGAAAAGCAAGACGAAGAGGACCTTGTCACGTGGGGATCCATCAGCAAGCGAAGGTCACGCCCCGGCGCTAGTCCTGATTGGCTCAAGCGTTTCTTGCATGCCCTGATGCAGCGAGTTCAACTGGAGTTCTGGCCTGGGAAGAGATATGAGGATGTATTAGTGAACAATTAGCGGCTGTCAGTAGCCAGGATACACTGCCAAAAAGAAAAGTTTAAGAAAGGCATCGCGTGTCAAGACTCGAGAGCAGCACTCGAGCTGAAGAACGAAAAGCCGCTAAACCAAACTTGGACGATATACCGCTTAAAATGTTTTAGCCTCATCGCACTGTCAAGTCACCGAGTGACATGGATCTCTGCACTTGCAGCCTTATCGGATCGACTTTCACTGGATCGACCCCTGTTGCCTACTCAAATCCTGATCTCTTGCTTCCGTGTGATCTCCTAGATTCCCAGGAACAGTAGGCAACATGGAGTCGATCGGGCCAGTCTACTCTGCTGCCACCAAGTCGGACAGGTGCTACTCTCCGCCATGGGCGGACTTGAGCATTATCGGAATTGCTGGCAGTTCCGGCTCTGGAAAGACTTCGGTAGCCATGGAGATTGTGAAGTCGTTGAACTTGCCCTGGGTGGTCATTCTTGTAATGGTACCATGCTCGAACATCTCCAACTAGAAATGGATCCCGATATACCAATTGATTTATGAGGTCTAACACTTTGCAGGATTCATTCTACAAGACATTGAACCCGGAGCAACATGCCAAAGCTCATGCAAACGAGTTTGATTTTGACAGCCCAGACTCCATTGATTTCGACGTCCTGGTGCAGTGTCTTAGAGATCTTAAACGAGGGTATAGTAGCCAAATCTCCCCGACTCGTACCGCTCAATCCGTGTCTATAACCGATGTGCTCTTCTTGTGGCTGACATTTCCGGCTGCCTGAAAGAAAGAAGGTAGACATTCCTGTTTATTCGTTTGTCGAGCATCAGCGACAAGCCCATACTACCCCCCTCTACTCTCCCCATGTCTTGATCCTCGAGGGCATTCTCGCGTTACATGATCCCAGAATCATGGAGCTCCTAGATGTCAAAGTATGCCCCCTTTTCTTGACTGGGAGGCCATCATTGAGCTTACGTTTATTTCAAGATCTTCGTAGAAGCGGACATGGATGTCTGTTTAGGCCGTAGAGGTGAGTATCTCCAGTTCGAAGACGGCCAGCTTTCTGACAGAGCCTATCCAGTCCTCCGCGACGTCAAGGAAAGGGGCCGTGATATCGATGGAATCATCAAGCAATGGTTCAATTTTGTGAAGCCTTCATACAAGAAGTTTGTTGAGCCTCAAAGATCAGTATCCGGTGAGCATAATCTCTTCGTTAATCTGATATTCTCAGGGATCCCATACTAATCGAAACCTTAGATATCATCATTCCTCGAGGCATCGAAAACAAGACAGCGATTGGTAAGAATCCTCTTCTTTTTTGGGTGCTGTCAAGCTCACTAGTAAGGAATGGTGGTACAACATATTCAACGTACGCTGGAAGAAAAGTCCGAAAAGCACAGTGCAACTCTCCAAGAGCTCCGGCGCATCGCGTCCGAGGAACAGCTGTCGCCTAATGTCGTCATGATGCCGCAGACGCCTCAATCTACTGGCATCAATACTATCCTTCAGAACCCTGACACGGAGCAGGTCGACTTCGTGTTCTACTTCGATAGGCTGGCTGCTCTGCTGATTGAAAAGTAAGCCCTAAAATCTACCCCAGGCAGGTCGGCAGAATCTGGCTAACAGATATAGGGCACTCGACTTCACATCGTACACACCCAAGGAGGTAGAAACTCCTAAGAATACTTTCTACAATGGCTTGAACCAGGAAGGCATTGTATCAGCCGTTGCTATCCTGCGCGGAGGCTCATGCCTAGAGACCGCCTTGAAACGGACGATCCCTGACTGTGTCACCGGCCGTGTGCTTATTCGAACAAACGAGGCTAATGAGGAGCCTCAACTGCATTATCTCAAGCTGCCTCCTGGCATCGAGCAGCACTCGACTGTCATGCTCCTGGATTCTCAGATGTCAAGTGGAGGAGCTGCCTTGATGGCCGTCCGTGTGCTGATTGACCACGGCGTGGCGGAAGAGAAGATTATCTTCGTAACGTGTGCGGCTGTTCAGTCAGGTGTCAAGCGGTTGGGCGCCGTATACCCACACGTGAAGGTCATTGTTGGACGGATCGAAGAGGAGAGCGAACCTCGATGGATGGAGAACAGATATTTCGGATGCTGAGTCTGTACATAGACGACTGGATATATACATAGAACGCTCGTAAATACCAGGAATTTAGTGAGACGCAAGCATCTTCTTTCAGATAGTTCAGACAGAATATGCTTGTCCGGGTGGTACTAATTGATGTCCGGAGCGGAACGCACGGACCACCTCCGACGCCGAAGATTCTGTGGTTCCGCCGCCCAAAAAATTATCAAGCCTCGAACTTTTCCTTCAAAGACCAGGATTTTCAACCCTGAACTACTCATTATTGATTCTCGCCGATATTTCCAGGTATCTGCGCATTCTTTCGCCCTTTATAGTCTTGGGATTTACCAGCCAGCGCACCCATCCATGTCAGACCGCAAGAAAAGCAAGAAGGGCAGCGGAGGGAAACGAGCCGCCGCCGGCCCAGTCATCAGTACGTACCACATCAGCCCGAATCGAACAGAGGAGATAGAAGGGCTAGTAGCTAACTCTACTCATTTTATTATAGCCGATCCCCGATTCGCAAATATCCAAACAGACCCTCGCTACCGCCTTCCCAGTAAACGACACACCCACGTAAAGCTCGATAAACGATTCGCGCATATCCTGCACGACAAAGAATTCTCGAGAAATGCCGCTGTTGACAGATACGGCCGAAAGCTAGCGCGCGATGACACAAAGAAGCACCTGGAACGATTCTACCGCCTGGGCGATGACGAGGGCGAGGAAGATGATGACGACGAAGAAGAGGAGGACGACAAACTTAGCATTGATGATGACGAGGTCTTGAGAGAATTGAAAAAAGCTGACAGCAAAGCTGCCGGGTATGATCCCGCGCGCGATGGAGGCTTCTCTGAGTCGTCCTCCGAAGAGGAGACTGATGATGAGGACGAGGATGAAGATGAAGAGGAGGAAGCTCTGGGGGGCGAGGAGCTAGATTTCCCCGATAAGCAGAGGGAGGATGTGCCGATCGGAGAGGTGACGAATCGCATTGCAGTGGTTAATTTGGACTGGGATAATATCCGGGCTGAGGATCTGATGGCCGTGTTCTCAAGCTTTACGCCGGCCGGTGGGAAAGTGACGAAGGTTGTTGTCTACCCGAGCGAATTTGGAAAGGAGCGGATGGAGAAGGAGGAGACTGAGGGACCACCCAGAGAGATTTTCGCTACTCAAGACGAGGATGAGGATGACGAGGAAAGCGACGAGGAAGAGGAAGAGCTCGATTCCGATGAGGAGGAGGAAAAGATCAAGAAGTCTATTTTGAAGGAGGATCAGGGAGAGGAGTTCAACACTACACAACTTCGGAAGTATCAGTTGGAGCGACTACGCTACTATTATGCCATCCTGACATTCTCTTCGAAGGAAGCTGCGAAGCATGTTTACGACAACGTTGATGGCGCAGAGTATTTGACCAGTGCTAACTTTTTCGACCTTCGTTTCGTGCCTGACGATACGGACTTCTCCGATGACCAGCCACGAGACGAGTGCGAGCGTATTCCGGACGGATACCAGCCAAATGACTTCGTTACAGACGCCCTCCAACACAGCAAGGTTAAGCTGACCTGGGATGCGGACGACAAATCACGCAAGGAAGCCCAGGCACGGGCGTTCCGAGGCAGCCGCAAGGACATTGACGAGAATGACTTGAAAGCCTACCTAGCGAGTGACAGCTCTGACGATGAAGAGGAGGGAGGCGTCGATATCATTGATGGCACAAAGGGTGAAGGCTCCAAGACGTCAGCGAAGGAGGAAGAGAGGAAACGCATGCGAGCGCTTCTCGGTTTGAGTGCGGAGCCGGCTCCGACCTCCAAGTCCGATGGCCCTGTTGGTGAAATGGAGGTCACTTTCACATCTGGTTTGGCAGGTGAGCCCAACCGCGACACAATCTTTGAGAACGAGCCCGAGGAGACGAGCGTTGAGAAATACCTGCGCAAGGAGCGCGAGAGGAAGAAGCGACGAAAGGATAAAATGAAGGGCAACAAGGGCGACGAGGCTGATGGCGACAAGAAGGAGGACGCTGGCGAAGCAAAGGCACAGGAAGACGAAGAAGACCTGGGCTTCAACGATCCATTCTTCCTTGATCCTTCCGACAAGGCTGCCACTGCTGCTCGCCGCAAGGAGGAGAAACGCAAGAAGCGAACAGAGCGTGCAGCTGAGGAAGCAGCCGCCGCAGCCAAACGGGCAGAGTTAGAACTGCTGATGATGGACGACGAAGATGCCAAGTCTGGAATGAGGCACTTTGATATGAATGAGATTGCCAAGGCTGAGAAGCAGGCCCGCAAGAAGAAGGGCAAGAGCAAGAGAAAGGAAGAGGCAGCTCAGGCTGTCCCTGACAACTTTGAAATGGACGTCAGTGATCCTCGATTCTCGCGCCTCTTCCAGAACCACGAATTTGCGATCGATCCTACCAACTCCCGGTTCAAGGCGACGTCGGGCATGAAAGCCCTGCTCGAGGAGGGCCGTAAACGACGTAGGGACAGGGATGAGCGTGGCGATGAGGAGGACCTCAGTCGTGATTCGAAGAAGCAGAAGCAGCGGTCTAAGAAGAGCGCCTCAGCGGGAGATGGCACGGATGATTTGAAAACATTAGTGGAAAAGGTGAAGCGGAAGACGAAGGCTTGATAACACTACCCGTTGTACATGTAAAGATCTATTACTTCTACGCCACGTCGAGGGCGGATTTTTTGGGCGTATACCATCCAACCAACGTGTTTCACAAACAACATTTGCTAACCTATAGATCAATGTTTGTCGCTACGTAGAAAAAAGGCCCAAGCTCTAGATTTTCTTCTTTCTGTCCCTTATTTGCCGCATTCCCCGTCTGTTCATCAACCTTTCCGACCGCAACGTCAATACATGATGCAATGCCAAAATAGCTTTGACATGGAAATCCAAATCCCGGCCGAGATGCCATGCGCCATCCATGTCCGTACATGCAGTAGTAAGGTTGGTTGTGCAACGCTCCTGGTCATTTGCATCTGATCTGACAGTGATAAAGGTCCCTGATCTGCCAATCGGTGTCTGGAGGCTCACCGAGACAAAGCAATTTGTGGTGATTTCATCTTCTGACCTTGATGGAGGCTGCATGTATATCCTTTGATAGAGGCAGCCCAAGGTGGCATCCGCTCACCGCCCTTTCGGCAGCTTCACCATTCCGAAGGGCCCAACCACTTTCTCCATCCACTCCTCCACTCTGGTCCTCTTCCCCTCCTCCACTTCTCTTCTGCCTTCCATTCATCTCACGGTGTGGTGGCGGTCTTCAATTCCTCTTTCCTGCTGTTCCTGAATCTACATCGAACCGGCTTCTCGTTGCTACTACGGTAATACCAGACGGCGACGTCGACTAGATACGATACAGAACCCTCGGGTCGAGGGATCTCGAGAATGGTCTGCCTGAGGTAGGCTGAGTTATGGGGAACTACAGTTCAGCGTAGACTGGCTGTAGTGATTTGGATTTGATCCGTGGGTGTGCTTCTGACCATCTGGGGACGTTGTTCAACCGGCCAATTCATTGTGTTGACCTCAAATTGTCCGCTTCGGCTTCTTGTTTTTTGTCTCTCCTTATATTCATCTTGTTTTCTGTTCTATCAGCCCTTGAGCTGCTCCATCACTCGTCATAATGCTGGGCCGACTGTTGAACACCGCAGCGTCGACTTTGAACCCGTCGGCATATTCTTCCAAACCTACCCCTCAGCTTGAATCGGTTACCGAAGAAGAGCATACATCCGGTCTTTTATTTCCCGATGCAAGTGTTCTTCGACGCTCGAATACGCATGCCTTTCCTCTACAAACCGCTTTCAATTCTCCCAATGCCTCCGCAGCTGGTGCTTACGATGACCGCGGGGGTGTAGAGCTGGACCCTCAGAAGGACTTTCGGGTTGTGATCGCCCAGAACTCTCTCGGTGATAGAGAGCCATGCATTCTCCTCGATACCAGGACTGATACGGCAGAACCGCCTTCTCCCGGACTTGGATTGGAGCCTCAGGTGCTTGATAATCCCGGCCATCGGCATGCTCGCACTATGTCGTCTCTCTCCCGCGGGCGGCGGGGTTATCTGTCCCAATCATCGTTGATAGAGCAGAGCCCGCTTGCAGCTGCGGCTGAGATGCGCAGAACGTCGCCAACTTCGTCTGTGTTTGCCCGCGCTCGCGGTCGTAGCTCAACAATGGCCTTTACTGGAGGACCTCAGGAGCCCACCCACTCGCGCCAACCGACGGATATGAACGATGCGGGGCTTCTGAATTGCATTTTTGGCAGCAGTGCTTTTAGCTATCGAGGCTCTTCCACAAAGATGCATATCATTTCTGGTGATGATGATTCGGCAGCGGCCGGGAACGCGTCACCTTCAACCCGGAACTCTTTTACAAGATCGTACACGACAGGCAGCTCCTCGGGTCTTGCGGGTAATAACCGTATTGATCACAAGCCTCGCTCCAAAGTCACAGTTCTCTTGACAAGGATGTTCAGTGTTAATCTGCCTGAGGCGGGTGACACATCCGATGGGCATGATTACGCTTCTTCGTTGATCCAAGAATCTCTCCCTGAGACTGGCTATCCATTTCCCGACGTCACGAAGCGCAAGAAGATTAAGGAGAAGAAAACCCCAATGTATGCAGTCGCCATCACCATCCAAATTCCCGTGTTGTCACGAAATGCGGCACGGCCAGTCTCTCGATTTAGCACTCAAGGCCAAGACTCACCAAAGCCCGGGATGTCATGCTCCTTGGACTCTGATTACCGCTGGCGCTGTGGATTCTTCGATGAGAGTCTTGCCTCTGCGCCTGCTAGCTTGGATGAGCGGATCGACATGTTGGTGGACCACTGGGACGTCATCAACCGCACGCTGTCGCATCTCGAAAGATTATCGCGAAGGGAGATTCTCTTTTTGTTGAAGAGGGTCGACTCTACTGGAATGCACCCAAAGCCTGCAAAACCCCCCAATATGCAGCGGACAAACCAGACTTTTCTTCACCTACCGGCAAATGTCCTGGCGCTCAATTCGAAGCTGAAAGCTGAGGCTTCTCGGAGTGCCCGCCGTATCAGCACTGCACTGCATATCCCGAATGTCATAACAGGGCAAAGCCGTTGGGGTGTATGGCGCGAGGAGGGCCGTTCTATTGTGCGTAATCTTGGAGATAAAGAGCACAGCTTTTTCTTCCTTGTCCTGATCACCGCTTTCTTGGGAAACCACACGGAGTGGCTGAATGCCTTGGGTCCGGACTGGTACCGGCGACGACACTATCTGCAGCAAAAAGCGCAGCAGGATGCAGAACCTGCCCTTCCCTATAGGACGGTGGTCGTCTCCCCTGACAAGATGACTGCTCGGCGGCTTATTTTCCTTCTATCGGCGTTTCTCCCACCGAAGCAGCGCTTCGAACCGCTTCCTTCTCCACTTCGCCCGGGCACTGCTGCATCAACTCGTGCTGTTTCTCAAAGCCCACCTAGCGTACCTGTTTTGCGACAGGAGCCATTACGCAGAGCCATAGAGCGTCGCTCACGTGCACAACGGTTGAACCTTGCTGATAGAGATCACAACCGATCTGTCAGTGCTTCATCGAATGAGACGGCCCACCGATCAACGGACGATGCCGAACACGATTTTAGCATATATCGCAGAAGCTCAGATGCTCGCTCGGTCAGAACTGTCGGAATCCCAATGCATCCAAAGGATGCGCGCAACAAGAACACCAGCACAGCGACGACCTCAACCGCAAACCCTGGTGGCGCAATTCCAGTTCCCCATTTTACTTCCCAAGGACGTCAACCATCTGATCAGCCTTTTGGAGAAGGAGTAGACAGTTTGGCGTCCGAGACTTTGTTGAAGAATCTGCAAAGAAGCGAAAGTTCAACGACCAGCGTCAATAGCAGTGTTCCCACGTCTGGAGGCCGTTGGGGCAGTCTCTTCAGCGGTCTCTGGAGCTCCCGCCACGAGTCGTCCACTGACTATAGTAGTTCTGGCCGGACACCTGAGCACCGTCAACGTTCCGCCTCGGTCTATAATGTCCCGCCGAAACGGAACGCTCCGACGCTTGATCAGATGGTTGAAGAGGCTTCCAGCCAAGTGCCTCATCAGATCGCCAGTAGCGCGACCATCTCTATTCCACAACCCCCAGACGCTCAGCGTAAATTTGAAGAGGAGACACAGGACCTATCTTCCGCAGCAGACCATCCTAAGAGAACGTCGCTCAAACTAGCCGTGCGAGAAGAGGATGGAATTGTGGACGTTGAGCTCCCGTTGCCTGGGTTTGTCTCTCTGTCATCGTCGGGTGAGTCTACTATGGCATCGCCGAAAAAAACTCGCACGTCGATAACTAGCCTTGATGGATTTGGATCCACTTATAGCAGTGGCTCGGGCTTCCACCATCAGTCGAAAGATAACGACGGTCCCAACATCAATGTCGCTGGGTGGTTGAAGAACTTTCATGATGACTTCGTGCTCCAAGGAGTGCGACCTTATTCGAGCCTAGAATCAGACATCAGGCGTGCAATGCAATCCGAGCCCACTCCGAGCAACGCCGTGGCGCTGGATACTGATGGTTCAGAGAAGTGGGTGGATGTTGCCACGACCTTGATTGCAGACGTGCGCACCTTTACAGTAAAGCGGCTGCGCCTCAAGCGTCGGGCTATTGGCGGCGACTCTGTGAAGTCACCAATGTCGCCTCAAGGGACATCTACTCCGGGCACTCCACGCCACGTACCAGGCGGCTCCATGTCTACCTCTCAGATCAGCGGCTACTTCTCATCTGTTATGAGTCCCGCGATGTCCTCTCCTAGACCTCGTTTCGATGGGTACAATATCGGCGAAGTTGAGGAAAAATTTGTGGAGGAACCCGTTATGGATTTGGACGGTACCCTTGTTGACGCTCTTGAACGCGTGCTTGCACAAAGCGGTTCATCCTCTATGGCACCTACTCGAGCACCGTCTCCATCGCGCTCTCGCAAGGAAAACGACAGACCTGCGGAGCATATGGCCGTCAGAGACGATGTTCCTTCTCTTGAAGCTCCCCGTACCGAATGTCGCCGCCTAGTTTTGGGAGCACTGGAAGAAGTAGTCCGCAGCGTGACCGCCGAGCATTGCCGCGAGGATGATAGCGAGCTTAACCCGGCGGATAGAGAACGCAAACGCACGATGACCGGTGCCGATAACACGCTGAGAGAGGGAGTTCGAAAGTGGCTCCTTGATGTCGAGGAAGCCTGGTAGGCTCTTATAACCAGCAACAAATATGTTTTCCACTTGGAATTTCGATCTCACGCTTTAACCATTTAATTTCAAAACCCGCCGCGGTTTGTTCTTGACATCAACCGAAGACTTCGATTTGTCGGTCTCGATTAGGCGGTTTCTCTTCCTGTTTTGATTATGATACCCATGTGTTGAGTCCTTTGGCTTCGCTTCATCATAGCTTCTGCATGATACGATACGTTAACGGCCTTGAATGCACCCAATTTACTTACTCTCAGAATATCAGACAATGTCAGATATCTATTTGTCTTCACTCTACTCCGTAGTGTAATGATGCTCGCGACCCTGTTTCTCCGTTCCTGCAGATAATCTGCCGAACCCTGTGGGCTACGAGCACAACGGCAAACATTTGAGCGGACAATTGTAAGCCCAGTTTGTATAGAGCTGGAACTCTAAATAACTGGTCTTCAGCCCACCACAGCACGGCGTTAAGTAGTCCTACAGGTCCTGGCGTTGGCCTTATCCCTCGCGCTCGGAATATGGAGCGGGCACCCCTTTCGGCGCCTTTGGATTGGACTTTAGGGTTACGGCGCAGTTAGTGGCATAGCAAAGCAAGACTAGGTGGACTAACGCCGATTTTCATATCACCAGTGTGATGGGCAGCGGATGTCTTCTCTTACTCAGTTTTCCATCTCACTTTCACTGTTTCATGTTTCCTTTCTTTGCTTTGGCTCCCCGTTTATATTTGTCTTTCTTCAGACGAAGAGGCTGGATGCTTATTAGGCTTGCCACCCATTATATATGTCAGGTGTAGCTACTTAACAGAATCAACAAACCTAGCTTGACCAAACAATCTGCGTACTGGAGTTTACGAAATACATTTGATCAAGTTCCCAACGCTACCTAATTCCCAACCCAGTTAACCTCGACGCTGCCCTCATCATCCCCACCAAACCTTGCAACGACACCATCCCCGTTCTCCGCAGAGACACTCAAGACCTTCAAAACCTCATGCGTCGTCTCGGGATCCACAATCTCAACCTCCACCTTACCAATCGTTCCATTAACAAGAACCTCCAACCCATCCAGCGGATCACCCTCCGGCTTCTCAAGCTTGTAGTTGACGGGCGTCACGGAGCCAGGTCGAACCAGGATCGGGAGCGTCTCGAATCCGTGTGTCTCGGTATACCACCGTCCAGACTCGTAGGTTTTGCTGTGGTCGAACCAGGATATCCACTTTCCTTTTCCTGCTTCGTCTTCAGGGGTGCGGGGGACATAGAATGTCACGGTCCCTTCATCCGAAAATACAGGTGCAACGAGTAAGTTGGAGCCAAACATATACTGCGTGTCGAGCGGGTACGTGTTCAGATCGTCTGGGAACTCCACGAACATAGGCCTCATCAGAGGTGTGCCTGTTCTGTACCCGTTCAACGCTTCGGCGAGGAGATAGGGCGTGAGAGCGATCTTTCTCTTCACGCAGTCCTTTAGGACATCGGAGCAGTCTTCGCCGTAAATCCAGGGGACACGGAATGATGAGCTCCCGTGTAGTCTCGAGTGAGAGGAAAGCAACCCGAATTGCACCCACCGCTTATACAGCGCCGGCGGGGGTGTCCCCTCGAACCCGCCGATGTCACTTGCCCAGAAGATATACCCTGCTAGTCCTAGACTCAGGCCGCCGCGCAGGGACTCGGCCATCGCTTCGTAGGTGGACTCGCAGTCGCCGCCCCAGTGGACGGGGTATTTCTGTCCACCGACGGAGGTGGATCGTGCGAAGAGGAGGCTGTTGGATGGACCGGAGATAGACGTCATGGTCTCGTAGACGATTTTATTGTAAAGGAGGGCGTAGTAGTTGTGCATACGAGCTGGATCGGAGCCATCGTGGTACTTGATACCCCGGACCGGGATGCGCTCCGCAAAGTCCGTTTTGAAGGTGTCGATTCCCAAGTCCATCAGACGCTTCAGGTGTGAGGTGTACCACGTCGCCGCAGCGGGGTTCGTGAAATCGACCACCGCCATGCCAGCCTGCCAGAGGTCCCATTGCCAGACGGAGCCGTCGGTCCGCTTGATGAAGTATCCTTCGCGCTTACCCTCCTCAAACAGCGGCGACGCTTGCCCGACGTACGGGTTAATCCAGATGCTGAGTTTCAGGCCTCGCTCTTTCAGACGCGTCAGGTAGCCTGCTGCATCGGGGAACATGTCTGCGTCGAATTGGAAGTCGCACCATTGATAAGATTTCATCCAGAAACAGTCGAAGTGGAAGACCGAGAGCGGGAGGTTGCGCTCTTTGAAGCCGTCCAGGAAGCCGGTAACAGTTTGTTCAGAGTAGTTTGTTGTGAAGCCTGCGGTGGATATTAGTATAGAGAAGGATAGGTAGGGTTGAATGGGTACATACTAGTCGTAAGCCATAACCCATAACTCCAAGCAGGAACCAACGCAGGCCTCCCCGTAAGATCTGTCCATCTCTTCAAAATCTCCTTAGGGTTCTTCCCCTCGATAACAAAGTACTCCAGCTCCTCGCCCTCAACAGAAACGTTGACCCTGGTCGTACGCTCAGACTGTAGCTCCAGACTAACCTTGCCAGCATGGTTGATGAAAACCCCATACCCATTCGAGCTGACATAGAACGGGATATTCTTGTATGCAAGCTCAGACGAGGTTCCACCATCTTCGTTCCAGATATTCACGCTCTGTCCGTTTTTAACGAAGGGGCCGAACCGTTCGCCTAATCCATATAATTTCTCGCCAACGCTCAGATCCAGCTCGGCGAGCGTGTACCCTTGTCGCTCGTAGAAGATGCCATCGCTGAACTGGGATTTGGAGGTAGTGGAATCGCCGACGTACCCGATTGAGCGGAATGAGTGGCCGGTCAGTTTCTTCCTCTTGGTCTGGTCATTCGCACTGGAGGTGGTAAATGTGAAACCGAGCTCGTTGGGCGCGGTATTGATGTCAAGCTCTAGCGGTCCGCTGGTATACTTCAGGCTCTTTCCCTGCTCGTGTGTTATCTCGGCATGGCCTGAGGAGGTGCTGAGTTCGTAGTGAGGGCCGTTGTCTAGGCCGCCGGCCCTGTGAGACACTTAATATCTGCCAATAAAACACAGAGCTGAAATGCACATACCAATGGACAAGTTTGACTCCGATAATTCCCTCCAATGGGGAAGTAACCCGGGCGGAGACGGTAGCTGTCAAGACGTCAATAACGAACTACTTCCTCTCAATACCAGCTGCGGAACCCACGCGAATTCAGTGTATCTCCTCGGTGGCGCTGGAACTTGTTTAGCAACAGGTCTACTGTGTCCTTATCGACATTCAATCGTTCGACGTTGCTCATCCAGTCAATCCGGATGCCCTCCTGTAGGTATGACACTAGTATTAGCTTTTTGCTCATCAGTAGGATAGAGAATGAGCTTCTTACCCGCAGGAGCCACATGCCCTCCGTGAACTTCATTTTGAATCCAAGGCTCTGTTCAATGTGCAAGAAAATCTATGGTCCTGTAGAGCAGGAGAATGCCCAAGCCAGAAAAGCAAGCAGGACGACCGCGGGGGTATATCTACCCCTAGAAATCCTCATCCGCAAAGGGCAAGACTCCGTCTTGCATGACCAATTCCACTTTCCAGCTTGGCTGGATCTGGGCGTTTGTTTCGTCCTCATCTGGGCTGATTACTCGGGGCGCAGAGGCGGGGTTGGCAAGCTTGCTCCGATGAGGGGTGCATAGTTATTCGGGGCGACTTGCTGGGTGATCCGTCTGTGGTAGAAGAAGCAATGTGATTGAAGCAAAATACCCTTGTCGGATATCTCCACGAATCGCTGACTCGGAATGATGCTGGAAGGATGCAGGTGGGGTGATGTGAAGGGAAGGCTGGGGTTGAAGCGAGGGCCGTTTTGGCTAAATCGAGTCGGGATAAACTCCGGCTTGCTCGGCTAAATGGGAGCATCCTTGATTGTCATCATATAGTTCATTAAAATATAGTATAGCTACTTATATTCATATCACGAGGAAGGAAACGCAGCACTGTATGCGAACAATCACGTCCCACTCATATTCAGCGGTCTTAGCCCTCCACTCCTCGGACTCCCTCTGGAAACTGAACTCTCCTCGCGCTGGCGACTCCTCGGATCAATCAGCGGCAAACCACCACCCGCACTCGTGCTCGCAGCACGGTTCCTGGTCTCCGGTCGCACTGGTGTTCCCGGCGGCGGCGAGATATGGTGCCCAATAACCGGCGCCGGCAATTCCAGCGATGGAATAGATGAATCGATACACGACGCCGTAGTAGGCGCTGCCTTTGCCGAAATCGGGTAGATGAAAGTCTCACTGTACAGCTGCCCCAGCCTGATAGGGTCGTTGCAGAACTCCTCGAGCCCGTGCAGGACGTGCTCGGGGGCGCGGTAGAGGTTCGCCGAGTCCAAAGCCGAGTGAGCCATTGGGCTTGCGGGGCCGGCTATGTCGTGGATTGGACGCACGAGCGGGGAGAGACGCGGGGAGAGACGGTCACGTTCAATAGTTCCCATGGGATCGTAGCCTGCGCGACGATGGTCGCGGTCTCGGGTACTGTTGAGGGGGACGGCGCGGGTACTGACGAGGCGGTTGGCTAGGACGAGGAACTCGCCTTCGTCTGTTATCTGGACGAGGAGAGCACCTGATTGATGGATGTATTGGGAGTACCGATAGTCCGGTCTTCCCCAAGAGTAGCCGACTTCAACGTCCGGTGGAAAGGCAGAGCGGGCTTCGAAGTCCAGAACAAAGTCAAACTTTTTCAAGATGAGCTTTTGGAAGTAATGCGGGTCCGGAGGGTCTTGCTGCGAGAATGAAGCCGCATTGAACGCCGCGGAACTGGGACCTTTGGGAGGAGGGACTTTGAGCTTAACCCTATATGGCCGGCGGAATGGCTGCGTCTGGTCAATGGCGCTGGCCTCGGCAATGGGCACTTGGACGAGCTTGAGCCCGAACTTCTCAGCCGTCGCGGCCCATGACTGCACGGTATCCTCAATGAGCTTGGGCGTCGTGTTCATCCAGCTTAGCTCGATATGGAAGCAGTTGTCAGGGTTATGCAAGCGGTCATAGTGAAGATCTATCACCTCCGGTCGGTTCGAGCGCTTGCGAGGGTCGACATCATACTTCAGCGTCTTCGACAGCATAACAGACGCCTTACTCTTTGACCTTGACGGAGTGGTTGGAGTCTGAGGAGCAGCCTGGTCAACGCTTGCTGACCGCGAGTGCGTGTTCATAGGAGAATCCCTCCAGTTGTCCGTCGTTGCAGGCGTTGAAGGGATCGACTTATCCGGCCTGATCTGGGAGAACCAGCTATTCCTTGATTCCGGCCGAGGATTGCGGTACTCGGTCGAGATCTGGTAGAAGTAGTTGCCGTCCCTGAATTTATGCCGCTGTTCCACGTGCTGGAACAAACCAAGCCCCCACAGCTTATTCCCAAACTCGACGGCTTCTTCACGGGTCTCGATATCCCTGAAGTTCTGACACAGCCAAGTGGTGAACTCGGACCCAATAAAACAGTTATAATGCAGCCTCCAGTGCCATCTGCGGTCCATCATTCTTACACCTTTCTCGCCCTGAACAATATGAGCCAGAGCATTCAAGCTGATACTTGATCGCTCCAGCAGTTCCGACTCTGGCAGCAGCTGTGCTGGATGGCTTTCGAGCCCCGGATCTGCAAGGAGATTCAACTCTGCGGCAACCACCTCCGACGGATTCCTGGTCTGGTATAGAATATTCAGCGGGTTCTGGTCTCTGTACTTGCTGGACGTCTCGATCCTCTTCTCCTCAGGTGGCACGTATTTATGACGTTGCCAGGTAAGGGTAAGCTGATTGATACCCAGCAAATGGATCTCTTCTTCGTTGTCTTCATTGACAGGCTTCATATGTCGTCTGGATTGGACATGTAGACGCACCGGGATCAGGACGAACCGCACACGCCAGAAATGGAGCTGTTGCGCTGGATTGAAGAGATAATCCCGGTGTCCAGCGATATAGTTGTCAGCGTAATTCCAGTTGTACTCTTCTGCGGATGAACGCATGGTTATGTGCTTCACAACGTATTCGGGACTCAGGATGGTTCGCATCGCCGGGGAATACACAGTATCTAGTCCACTCTTCTTTTCCGAAGCCAGGTCTGATAGGCTACGATGCATAAACCTGGTGACCTCAATCTCGTTTCCACCAGTACAAACAAGGCGGTGGATGGAATGCCCCTTGGATAGAAAAACCGTCGCACCGTCCATCTCGAGCGTCTCGGTATCAAATACATTAGGTGACTTCAGGGTGTGTCGCCCAGACGCCTCGACTACGTTGTTTCCAATGACAATCTGGAACCCATGGGAAAGACGCAATGAGATCATTTCCCGCATCAGAAGACCGGTTGACTTCGGCGCCTCGATGCCTTCCGCATCGTCATTCGGAAACACTCGGTATGGCGTTTGCAAATAATCAGACGCCAGCTCGCTGGCTGTGGGAAACTCTTCCGTGGTCAGCGGCAAGATAGCAGGCGACTTCAAGCTCTTCCACTTAACAACCGCAACATGAGGCGGTCTCGGATACGCGTGCTGCCAGCGGCCAAACCAGGTAGTATCGCGCGAGACTTCTCGAGGCGTGTTACAAGGGTTGACGGAACGAACCCACGGAGCGAGCAGCCTGCTCTGAGAGTTCTTGGCAGACGATTCTCGCATCCCAGGGCTAGTCACCTCAAATCTAGGAATCGACTTTCGACGGGGATGCTCGTGGCCGGCTTTCTCGGCGAGAGGCAGCTCAGCGCCGTTCGTTTCGAAAGATTCTGTCACCGAGCGCGCCGGCTGGTCTGGGTCGTCGGCCGACGTCTTCAGCGGTACTCTGATAGATATTGGCCGCGAAGGTGTGATTGTGGGACTCTTAGGTTGCTTTGGTGGTGTGCTTGGCGCGGGAGATGCTTCAATAACCGTCGCTGTTGAAGCGGAATCGGATGCCGCACTTAAAGAGTCGATACTCTTTGATTCTCGAAGTGACCCTGTACTCCTCTGCATAGCTGGAGTCGGCACCCCAGTAGCATGCTCTACGTTCACTTCCGTGCTAGCCAGAGCTCTCGGTGGAGCAACCCCTAGTCCTCTTAGCGCAAAGCTGATTGTCCTCGAGATCCGCGGCATTTTCGTCTTGGAGGGCGCTTTCAGAGCAGGCTTTCTAGGCGAGACCGCTTTGGCAGCGGGATTCTTTGAGGTCGTCTCCTTCAGAGTCCTCTCCTTGCGCGGCCATTCATTTGGATTGTTTTCATGTTCTCTCAGATGCGTTATCGACCTTGCGGAAAGCCGGTCATGCGTGCCGGACACCTGCACTTCAGGCTCACTCGGGCGTTTCGGCTTAATTTGTCTGCGACCATGATTTCGTTTGGATAAGGGACGGAAAACATTATCGTCATATCTATCCATCCAAGCTGCAGTGGCAGACGCGGTTTGCGACTTGGATAGCATCGCCTCTTTGGGATTGCCCATATTTCCTAAGAATGACCCCGGCCGTAAACTGTCACTTAGTTGATGGTTGAAAGGCGAGTTGCGTCGGAAAGACGCTTTGGACGGCACGAGGGCCGAGTTCAACCTCCTGGAAGTACTTTGGCTTTCCGAGAGATACGGTATGGAGATATTCGACTGCTCACTCTCCATTACACCACCCATCTGTATCTCATACATGCGCACCCGCGGTGTGAATAGCTTTGACTTTTTGCTCACGGTAAACGGAATAGGGGCATTCGGGTCCTTCTTCAGGATGCGCCGGGACTCCCTGTACGTCTCGGGATTCCAGTACGAGATATCAAGCCAATGTGGTATACCATAACTCCAGTCATTCGCACGGGCCCAAGGCCCGCGATGCGCGCTTGTTGGAGGTGTGCTTGAGATAGTCGATTTAGGAGAAAAATGCGTGCGGCTGGTCAAGCTCGCAAAGGAGTGGCGCATCTCTGGTGAATAACCTCCGCCTTGAATATCGGCCCCGTATGAAGAACTGGGCCGTCCTCCTCGACTTGGCTCGCGATATTTAAACAAAGGCACGGAGTGAAGTGGCATTGGACTCAGACAGACTAGATCTATAGCGATTCCGCGGTTTGTGAGCGCTTCCGTGGTAGAAGCCAACGATTCGTATGAAACCTCGAAAACACCGCTGCCCGGCGTGATGACGATGATGGACGTGCCGGTATGAACCATGTCGCGGTCGATATGGTCGAACGAAAGGTGCGATGAAGCAAGATGGACTGCCTCTAAGATATTGCCGCGAAGGGCAGTGCTAGGACGCCCCCCAATAGTCGCGTTCATAGTGGTACTAGCGCCTGTGACTGGATCTTCTGGCATCTTCAATATTGAGACATCGCGCAAGAACGTCCTGAAGTCCTTCTTCAGTTCATCTAGGATCGTCGTCCAGTGTCCACTAGCCATATCATTGACCACAACGCGATAAAAGTCCCTAGTGGGAACATGGTTAGGGCCTGACGTATTCTTTAGGCTCTCCGAGTTCAGTGTCGACGAGAGTCCCGTTATCGAAGCATCGTACTCCACCCGAGTAAACAGGACAATCGTGACCAAATGCCTTGCATCCGCATTCGCCCATCGCTTGAACAACTCCGGCAAGAACCCATTGATCACCCTGCTGAAGAGGATATCGCCAGTCCCTTCCGAGTCAAAATCCCACATCTCCCTCGACATCTGAATGAACAAAACATATTTCGCCGCCTCACTTCGGAAAACAGGTATCGTCTGCGGCGAAAAGAAGCCCGAAAGAACCTTCTTCCCCCTGATAAAAATATTCTTGACAGTCGCCTTGATGCTCCCCATAAACACAATCTTCTGCCCCTTGTAGACAATTTTGCCCCCCAACTCCGACATAACAAGCCTCCACATATCAGAACGCACCAGGAACTGATCACGGAACGAAATGTCCACATGAGACGCCGCACACTGCGCCTGGTCAACGATAGAAATATACACGGTACTCCTATTCTTGAACCCGAAGATATTCGCAACACTGCTAGTAACAGACAACTCAAGCTTCGGATGCCTATTCCGAACCTCCTGCGGCAGCAGCTTCGCAACAAACAAGCACCGCGTCTGAAGCGGCGTCTTGAACTTCGACATGGCATGCGACCGACTCGCCGAGCCCGTCTCAACATGCGAGTGTCCAAGTCCATGGCCATGGCCATGCGCATGCACGTCGCGCATCGACCTCGACCTCATATCCGGCTTGACCGCCAGATTCAGCGAATGCGCCTGCGAGCTGCCCGAGCTATCGCCCACAGCCCTGGCCGGCAAAATCTCAATGAGATCCCCATCGCGCACGCCCGTGTCCGCGAACGCAGCCTGGTTGAACAGGATCTCCTCCTTGGAGAATGTCTCGTCATGTACCCAGAGCGAGCACTGTCGGCGGTCTAGGCCCGTTGACGAGAACCCGATTGTCTTGCCGTCTGAGCTGGATGGGTGGTCGCTGAGCTGGGCGTCATTGTGCAGGTTGGCTGTGTCCACGGAGACAGAGACGGATCGGGACGAGACGGAGTCCAGACTTGCGGCACTGACCTGGCGGAGGTGCGAGCGTCTCATGGACCCCCGCATAGACATGGTTCAGCTTTCAGGGGGTGGACTTGCATTGCTTATGGCATTGGCGCTGGATCTGGATTCCTGGATCGTCCGGGGTATATGATGTCCACTGGATGGACCTGGGGTCGCGAACGTTGAAGTCGGAATCGAGTCCGTGCATCCATTCGGAGTAAGTTCCTTATCGCATGCCCACGTGATAGAGAGCAGCCTTATCGCACGTGATCCATACTATACAGGATTCGTCCAATAATAGCGCGTCAAACGCTCCGGAGCTCTTCTTAAATAGACCCTTGGCCAGTATAGTGGTGTAGTCTTTACTCCAATGGGTTATATGATAGGCTCTTAAGAAATATAGTAGTATCGTAGTGCTAAGAATCTTAGCCTCATATCATCTTTTGTGCTGACTTCGCTACACACTCCCACGGGGCATTTAATTGGACAAGACCCAAAGTTGCTTACCATGGGCAAAGGACAGTTAATGCCGTTGCGATACACAGAGGCATCTATATTGCTTCAAAAAAAGGATTCGCCATCATATGGAATCTTGAAAGTCTATGTAAGTTCTCGGGATTGCGCTACGAAGCCTACCATGGTAAAAATGTTAGCTACGACCGTCCGTCAACTCAGTTGATAAGCGTAAGATACCTCCAACTCCATACTCCATCCTCGGGTATACAGAGTAACTCTCCTTTTGAAGCTAAGATAAAGATTACCCAGTCCTTTGACAACAGCGCATTGACGACAGTGCATTGGCGTTTTCCAATGGAGAGGCTGTGTGCAGTCAACATGTAATGGCCAGGAGGACCCAATACTCCGCGGATCATCGTGCGCATTCTCAGCGCGCTATCGATCATTCGTTTCGAAAGAAACCGAGGATGATCCAGTAGGTTGCGAGGTTGCCAGTGCCAAGGGCCTTGCGCTTATTCTTTACCAGGGTGATGCATGCTTATCGATATTGCCCAATAAAATTGATCCGGATACTGGTTCCTGTCACCCTCAATTGGCTGCAAAGCGCAAAGCCTTCTGGGCGGCGAGCGGGCCTGAGACAGGTGATTGAAAATCGTGACCTGCAAGAGGTAAAATCATGATTCAAGTCGATTAGCCCTTCGGGCCAAGCAGCTAGACTCCATATTGCTATTCATACTCGATTTGACCCTGTGAAATCAATGATTGATGGAATACAAAGCCGTTATTGCTGGAAATGGCAGCTATGACAGCAAAAGATCAACTGCGTGGAGTTTGTACAGCCTGAAACCATGCGCAGAGCTTTGGGTAAAGGAGTTGATCGGAAGCGAGTACCGGCGAATAGGCAGCCCTTTCGGTCAGCACGACCCACATGCTGGGCTTCGGTTATTATGGCAGGAGACGCCTCTGTTTTTTTTTCTCTTCGGAGGACCAAGCAGTAATTGGTTGTTCGGCCGACAGCCTATACCGGTTGAGGCTGGGTCTATTCACGAGCGCTATCATTCATTGCATCACTAGTGCTGTGCACCCGTCGGTCCCTGAGACGTGTCAACCACAGTGCAAAACAACTACCGGTGTTGCTGATTGCTCCGGTGTCCACCGGTGAAGTGTCTACTGTACGCAAGCAGATTCCAGAAGAGGCGACCGGGGTAGGGATGCGGGGCGCGGTGGGCGATTGTTTGGGGTCGGTGCAGCCTGTACCGTCATTTAGAGCACTGGGGCCTTGATACAGAGGTGGGTGGATGAAGACTGACAATGTTTTGAATATATTGAACTCCACCAATGCACCAATCCTTAATCATGTGCGGGAGGTTGATGGGTGGAAGATTGAGAGAGATACATAGCTGGATAGAGGATAACCACTGAGGAATTATGTCCCGGAACCTTAGTGTGTCAGCCCTGATTTGATTTCATCGCATTCTCAATTTCACGGTGGGACAACAGGTCCTGGATCGCGGCCCAAGCTCGTTGTGCTGACGGGTCCTTGACGGCCAAGACAGAAAGCCAGCCAGCCGCCTTAGAAATGTTGTCAACAGTCCTCGAGTCCTGAATAGTATTCGTTTTCGCTTTGATGAGGAGGCTAATGAGAAGGACCGTGATGGCTTGCATGATATAATGCACGATACACCACCAAGGAGACATCCGATATACCCAAGCGAGGTCTAGGCTATCAGGGAGGAGCTCCAACATTAGACTAGCCATGTCGATACAATTTCCGGTCACCGTGGTGCAGAAGGTCTCGCTTTGAATATCCCATGGGACCTGCGAAAGGATGCGGCTAAGGCATGGTTGGGTGATAAGTATCTTGGTGCTATAATAGGAAAAGGCAAGACTGAGCCTTTCTCTTTCACAGGCCGAGGTTCCCTGGAGAAAATGGAATTCAGCGGGAAGTTTAGCGAGCCAACTGTCCGCTCTGCTGTTCAACGCGGAGATGACCATTTCAATTGAGCGCCATGATTTACGCCCTGCTCCTGGGGCATATAAAGCGTCGATGCACCTTCGCATGATTAACCCCAGCTCGACGAAGTAGAGGAAATGCAATGAAACGTTCGGTGTGAGAATACGGGCAGCAGCGGACGCAATTCGGTCACTTTGCTTACCAGGGCTGGGAGACTGCCGCCTGGTCGACTCAGGTATCAGTGCTCTTTCTGCCGATTGTGCCGAGGATCGCGACACCAGATTACGCATAAAAACCGTTCGCGCCTCATGGTCTGAGATCAACTGTTCAACTTCGCCGCGCGAAAATTCTTCTTCAACAAATGGTACTGGGAGAGGGGTGGTACAGGCATCTTCGGTGCTGCTTAGGAGACGCCCAGTCATCACGCACAGCAACACATGGAGTGCGTAAACAGCCCACCAGACCCTGTAACGAGTCTCTCTCGAGCTGTATAGTATGATATTGCTCTCGTTGCGAAGATTCAACCCCATTGTGACAGCTGATTGTATCGAGATCCCGGACAACCTCCAAGACCTTTAATGAAATGTTAGCTCTTGTGCATTCCACGATCAAAGCAAAATGTTTCGGGCAAGATTCGCCAACTGACCTATTGGCCTGGCCCACCGTCATGAGATAGAAAGCGCTCAAACCTTCAACCTGTACCTGTTGGAGATTTGGGTGGTGTAGCAAGGTAACATCGCCCATACTGAGCTTCCACGCTCGAGAGAAGTAGATGGTATGGTCGTGGGCATTGGCCTCCGTATCCTTCGCGGAATCGTGAACGTACTTCGTAGCAATGGCGAATATCAGATTGAGGATCGCCAACCACCGTTTCCCGGGTCGGACAGAGGGGGTAGAATAGAAAGATTTGTATTGACCCAAGAAAGTGGCCCTGCTGACGATTGGAAAACACGGATGCACAATGTGAAAATAGCTTTCGACTAGACGGTCAGCAACCGCGGGAAGTGGTCGTTGAAACAAGTCAACTTCGTCGAGGACGGCTACTTCGGCATCGTCGAGAAAGTAGTTCACCGTGGTGACATAATTGCGATCCAGGCCTTTGCCTAGCGGACCATGCTCAAAATGGTGGAGGATCTTTTTGAGCCTATACATCCACGCGATCTCTGAATGCTCTCCCACAAAGCCCATGGCTTGTATTTTCTCATCACGGTTGAAATCTTCATCGGTAAAGTCGATCGCGCCTATCGCAGATCCCGGATCAGTGCTGAAAAGAGGAGAGGGGAGTTCTGATGGCAAATGGTTCGGGGGTTGGTCGTTGTCGTATTGCTGTTATGAGATAATCGTTGAGTAAAGTTGAAAAATGGACGCTGATTACGGGGAGTGCGTTTGAAAATCGATTGCGAAGGAATGGCGCTTACATCGCTCAGAATCTGTTCAACATATTGAGCGGACAGAGAGTCCAGATTTGGATAGATGTTTTGCAGCAAATTTTCGAAGGATTCGACCCGCGCAGTGAGGTCACTTAGTCGCCTATTTCACGCCGTCAGATTCCAACGTCTTGTCACCCCAAACGATTCCAGCTAAGCCTCGCACCTAGCCAACTTCTCCCGCTTTCGATCGCCGTACGAGCATTGGACCCCCGATTCCTGACATCGCTGACATGATGGACGTTGCCCGCTGCATTTCACTTTTTGCTCACGGCAATTTTCGCAGGCTCGACTGACTCGCCCTCTGGTCGAGACCGCGGTTGAGCTCACTGACCGCGGAATCGCGACCTTGCTGTTCTGAGAGTGCTCCGGAGGGACGACAACGGAAGCGCTCGAAATTTCACCTTGGTTGGATGTCGCCTCGGACGGACCTTGAGGCGCAAAGGAATTTTGCGGAAAAGGAGGCGCTATCCAGCCATAAATCGGTTCATTTTCTGGAAACTGTGACGACGGGGTGGGTGAAAAAGGGAAGGGATCACTCATTATCAGAGAGGAAGCGGAGGAGCTACCTAGAACGATGCCTATATGCCCTTTCGTCCAACTCCAACTAGACTACAAGCAGCAACGAACAGGAGGGGCGATCTCGAAGGCGAGGTTGTTGTGCGGCGTGCCTCAAATGAATCCTCAGGCAAGGACACGCAGTCGAGAGCCCCTCACCAGGCTGGACGCATTCGTGTAGGTGAGCTGAGGATTGCTGCGCTGTGGTAGGTCGGAATGACATGCCGGTTGCGTGGATGCCGTGAGCGGGCGGAAATCGCGCCCCTCGCCAATCATCCCAATTTCTGACTTTATAGCAAGCACGGGAGCACCCATGGGTCACAATAAACAGGCTCCCGCTCCCACTATGGGACTCTGGTATTCCTCTTTTCGAGAGGCCGAGAGACCACGCGCCCGGGCGGACTGACGTAATAGACCTGACTGTCGGCAAGCAAGCTGAACAGAAACCGACATCATTCGGCATTCCGCAGACGCTATTTGCAGGTTGTTATAGCAGTTGAGCAGGCTAGATGTGGCTTGGGGTCCGAGCTGTGAGCCTCAGGGTCCGGGTTGCTCTTCAGCGATCGTGTGAGATGCTCGTGGCATCAGGAGCCGGAGAATTCAGCCGGAAGGTCGGGACAAACTATGCATTAATCTGAATCCATCGTCGCCATCTGAGTCTGCAACGACACTCCAATGTCGCATTAATTCAGAGTGATGGGTAATTGATCCCTGCGGAAACATTTGAGACGCTGCGTGACTCTGGGACAGCAACGACCTAGCTCGAGCGACCCACTGGACGTCAGGCAACTGGCTCTAGAGGAAGGTATCAAGTTAGCATGACAATTAAAACATCATGACGAATAATCGCGAACCCAATGGTGTGCTAGCTTCTTGATGCTGTGCTTTCCCACTCTTCTAAATTTCGGATGCTGATGACGAACAGGGGTCGAGACCAGGTTTCTGGAAAAAGGGCAGCTATCACGATAAGTCAGATTAGGCAGGTACAATTGGAATAATGCTTACTTCTGCTTGAAGCGAGATACACCAGAGAGCCTTCCCCCAGAACCGGAGAGGTTGCAGCGGATCATGAATGAAATGGCATAAACGGCGGGCGGAACGGAACAGAGTTTGAAGACGAGAAAACGACCTGCGAAGTACTCTCTCAAAGAGTTATTGGTTTGGACTGGCCCTAGGTTTGAACTTCAAAGAAGTTCATGCGGACATATTTGCTCTGTCTATTGGCGGTTCCATTTGTAAATCTGCTGGTTCTCCGCTGGTCTAAGCAGAGTGATCGAGAAGCTGTCATCGGGTTTGAACATCGGCGAGGTATCAGTCGGTGTGACATCACAACAATCGCCATGAACAGCTGATAATTCTGCGTTTCCAGACTCGATACGCAAACTGCAAATACGGCCGCGCAAACAAGGATATCAATGAACACCAAAAACCCTGTCGAGAGATTCCCACGCCATGGTTCTGAGATGAATCCGGAAGATCGGCATCCACTGAAACGTTTGGTGCTCGCTGCTCTGCTCGACTCGTTCGGCCCACAACGCGAGGAGAAGGGAGAACGATTGATCCTGTGCCTCAATTTTGTTCTACCCGGCAGATGAATTCTCAATGTCGACTGGGTGGACGTGCTTCTTACCGAGAGCTGCAAGCCTGATCAGCTTCAGCTTGTAAGCCACGAGCCCACGATCCCGTCTTCCATGAAGTTTGTGGTTTCGGCTATCTCATGCCCCTTCAATATTGGGAACATGCAGCTAGAATAAAGCGAGATCCTGACGTCCGGAAGAAACGTCCGTCTGAGCGGTGTCTGTCTTATCGCGCTGTAGCGACCCGTTCGGTTGAGGCTCGATCGAGGCGAGCGATTGAGCTTTGACAACTAAACATCGGCCGGTTTTAGCGATGGATCTCAATGGCTATGGGCGATATAGCTTGGGAGACTGACCTGAGTTTGATGCATTTGTCACTCGTGTCTCAAGTCGTGCAACCGGTCGCCTGGCCATCGGGAAGCGGGAGTATGAGATTTCCCAGGAGAGGACAAGGCGGAAACGGGTCGGTGAGAGCAGAGCTGACAGGATTTCGTTGACAGAGAATTAGTTCACGGATCAAGAGATCGACGACTGTAGTGGACTCGAGACCAGAAGGAAGGAATGGAAAAGGGTTCCGAGGAGGGGCGGAGTGCAGGAGCAAGCTTCAGCTAGCCCATGATCAGTTAGCTGGTGGGTTGCTTGATGCTTCGATCTGTTTCGCCACCCAAGACCCCGTACTCTCGCCACTGGTGCATAACCTTATTCGAGCGCATCCTGGTACATGCGGTAGGTATATCCAGCAGCAAGAGGACCTGGTTCATTCCGGGCTCTCTACCAGGTCCTTATCAATTTTCATCGATTATATATACCATACACATGTGAGCACTGGCGTTAGCCTGCGACCTGCCCATCCTATCCCATACGACCAGCTAGCCATAAAAACGAGTGAGCAACATGCCAGCCCACCTGTGCTCCAAAAGACCCAACCGGGAACCACACAATCCCGCTCAGTATCACCTATCTCTCGCGCCATCCAATGAGCAGTACTCCGTACTGCGCCAGCTTTTTCCAATATCCCGCAGAGCAATGCGCCCCTCGTGAGTCGTCACACATTCCCTCGGGCTCTACCTTCGTATCGACTCGAAGCGGAATGCCCGGTTCGGGGCCCCAAAGCATTCGGGCTTTAAGCCCAGCTCAATCCAATCAAATCAGCTTCTAAGCGGACTGGCGTCACACCACGTAGATAGATCATGAGCACCTCAGCACACCGTCCCACAGTCCACACATTGAAGATTACGAAATATATCCTTAGATACCCAGTAGCGACCGCCACTGCCGCCGGCCTCTCAAGGACGAAACTAGCTGAATGTTTGTCAGAGCTACTGAGTACTGTAGTAAGCATCGTGGACCTGCTATTCAGGCGCGTACCACCGACCTCTCAGATCATGAACAAGAAAAGGTGCGAGATGTCAGATATATTGTCCGCAAGGCCAAGGGTTCCGACGCAGCTATCTTAGAAGGGATGGATGAACGATCAACCTCGATGCCTGGGATTGCTGTACGAGCCTGTTCTATGGGTGTAGCTCGGCTGTAGCAGTGGTAGTCTGATCCTCATCACTTAGAAACCCACTCTGTTCACCATTCGCAGAATTTAAATCATAGATCCGCGTCCCGAGCATGTCGCTTGAACTGGTTGAAGAATAGCTTGACTGTAGCCAGCCAAGGATATTATACAGGGGCATCCCTGGTCTAGAGACATGTATTCCTTATAGTCGCGGTAGGCGGCTGGGATTATTAGGGCGATGAGCGCTGTGTTGAGGGTAAGGCAGGGGAGTTACGCGCGGTTGTAAGATTGGGGCTGTGGGCGCAGGCAGGTAGAATTTTAGATCTTGCAAGGAAATTGCAGACATATTTATAAGATATAGATTGTGTTGCACGTCACTATCGTTGCATTCCGCGGGGCGCATAGGGATCTGGACATATTTACCTACCTACAGAGTAAGCTTTGCACGGAGACATGGGATGTGCACGTAGATGAACAAGATAGATACTCTAGGCCTTGTTCCATACAGCGCTTGCACAGACTGGAGGAAAGATTACTACTCGTACTGAAGAAAAGCAAGGAAACATGCAGTAGTCAACTGAGGACCTGATGACAATAAATGGATATACGCGGTATAGAACGACAAGACCCGAACCATTAATGTAAGGTTGGAACCTTACCTGGCAACCACCTGCAACCACTGCAACCGCCTCGAAGCGGACAATATGAGATACACACATAAACATAAAGCCCAGGTAAACAGACGAGATGAACAAGAATTCAAATTCACAGCACCAGACGCCACGCTCAAAACATCCATTCCATCGTTCATCGAACGTGAATCCATCCAAGGCCCGGTTCCGGTCCCCCGAGTCCATCCATGAAAAACCTGAAAAGACTTTTTTGAAAACCGAGCCAGCCATACCCATTCCCAAACATTCGCGAAGCGTGATGATCGTATCCATAGACAAATAGAAAGGACTGAGAGAGATAATAGTACATACAGAGAACATAAGAAAAGGGGTAACTGAGTAAAAGCAAGGTGTGCATGCATGCATGCTATAGGGGTAAAGCAGCGCACTATTCGTCGTCAATCACCGGAATTCCGTCCAGACGGTGCTCAACCAGCCTGTTGGAATACCGACTTCAGACGGCAGAGACATGCCTCCAGCGCCAGAACCAGGAGATGGCGCGTACTCGCTGCCTTCCAGGAAGGCAAGAATATCGTCACCGCCAAGACTAGTTGACCAGAGATGATTGAAGCTCTCCGCGCCATCAATCGTCGCAGGCGGAGAGGCACCAGGGTGCCCGATGGACCCAGGCGGCGGTAGCATCTGGGGGTGATGCGTTGGCGCGGCGGCGCTGATAGGCGGAAGAGACTGGGAGTAAGGTGTTGGTGGAGGCTGAGAGCGAGAATTGAGCCAGGAGTTGATCGGCTGCAAACGTGCTGATGACGCGGGAGCTGATGATGTTGGACCAGGGCCGGGAGGGAGGCCACCGTAGGCGTTTGCTGGTGCGAGGGAAGGGAGAGTTGGAGAGGAGCTGTTGTATTGACCTTCTGGGTGATGCTGGTGTTGATGCTGGAGTGACGGCAGCGAGAAAGGAGATTGAGATTGAAGAGACCGGCCTGGTGGCAGTGGGAGGCTTGGTCGGCGTTCGTCTAGACTTGGGAGCGGTAGACCCGGACTGTTGACAGGGACCCAGGACTCGCGACGGCCGCCTGCGCCATCCAGCGGACCCTCACCCAGATCGCCGGGGTCGCTGCGAATGTGGTTGCTGCCGGTTTCACTGATGTTTGTGGCACGGTCACCGTCTTCTTCGGCGTGAGCATCAGGAAGTTGGTCGTCGATAATACCGAAATCGAGGAACAGCTTCTCCAGAAGCTTGAACTCCTCCAAGCCCCCTCCAGCTCCGCCTTCACGAACGGGACGGATTCCGTTGGCGCTGTGTGGATCAAGTACGTCTGGAGGTAACATATCTGATCTGCGAGAATTACGGCGGTAGTCACGCTTAACCTTGGAGAAGTAGCTGTGTAGGCGATTCAGGGTGCGGAACCAGCCCGCTGCCATCTTTAGGCGCGGCCGCATCTCACGTAGGATACTTAGGACCTTGCGTGATTGAACCGGACCTTGCGGGTCGCCACGATATACCGGACCGAGATCTCCACGAGCTACCGGACCGAGAACGCCGTCAAGGTCCATATGCGGGAAATGAGCCGCGTAGATGCCGACAAATGCGGCATTGTAGATGGCAAACCCGACAAGAGGGTTCTCAACTAGCACACATTGCTCCTGACAAGTTACTACCAAATCCATCAGCTGCCGAGCAGCTGCGAAGAGCTCGCGTGCGCTGTCGCGCCAAAACCCTTCAGGCATCCCAGTCTTATCAACTGGCTCATCAAGAGGCCCAATGGGTTCTGTGCAGCGCACAGGGAGGAATGGTATATAGGAGCGGTGGAGCACGATGACAGAAAGGAAATAGGCCAAGTGCATGACGGTATATGGAGGAAGGGTGTTCTTGTACATGTTGATATGGGTGTCGGTATTGCGGGAAGAGTATTGCAGATTACGGGATAACGCATCCCGGAATTCTGCTAGCGATGTTCGAAGCCGGTAGAAGCGTGAGTCGGGATGCCATGGTGGTAACTGTTCGGTTCGTCGGCCGCCAGCGCACGACCACTTGGCGATACTTCCCCACACGCGGATGATACGGACGGCGCGACTTAGCACCGACTCTTCAGCACCGATTTCCCACCGGTCAATCTCATCCTCAGCAGAGTCTTTCCGTCGCGACACAGGCGACCACGGGCGGTTATCTGAGCCGTTGGGAATAAGCTTCTCCTCGCCAAATACGCCGATACTCTGACGGATACTGGGAATTTGAACGCCTTGGGAGCTGAAGCTTTGCGGACGCCGACCGACCGGGTCACTCAGGCGAGATGTTCGCACCCGCTCTCCGAACGCAAAGGCATTGTCACTAGGCAATTGGATGCCCAACTCCTTGACTCTGATCATTCGTGGGCGGTACTTGCCGCTACTTAGAAAACGGTCGAGGATGAAACATGCCCAAAAAGTACGACGCTTCGTCTCTTGTGCCATCACCTCGTCCGATGTTTGTTCTTTTTGCTCGGGGCGGCGTGGCAGGCCGAACATATCTGCTTCCATCTTCAGGGCTGGTGATCTTGGTACATCTCTAGAATATAGATCGTTTTCCAGCTCGAAAGGTAGCCCCATGGCTTGGGACAGACGGATGGCCATTCCCACATACAGCCAGGCACTTTTGCCACGGCACATGCCCCATTCATGCAAGGCGAGCATAAGCAATGCCTGGACGCGCGTAAGGTCAGGAACGGCCAGACTAGCGCCGTCGACGCCGGCCAGCCGGCTACGCAGCGCTGTCGCATAGTATTCTGAGGCAGCAAGAGGGTTTGATGGGTGCCCTGGAGAGCCGGGCGAATGGTAGGCGGCGAGTTGAGGGTGGAAACGAGCAGTAAGGGCAAGGACGCCCAGAGGAATAAGCGGGTTAGGTGGTGCTGACGGGTTCAGGCCTTGTTCTCGAGGGGGATCTTGATGGTTAGGAAGGGCCGTATTCGGAGCTGAAGGCGACGACCGGCTGCCAGAAAGCTGCCTGACCTGGCTCATAAAGGAGGCGGGATGGAGAAAAGGAAGTAACGTGGCATAGTGAGACTGAAAGAGATCGAGGACGGCCTCCCAAACCTTGAGTGTCAGGATGGATGGATCGAGCGCATCGAGGCCTGCCTTGGAAGCATCTTTGCCCGCGGAGGACAGACCGACGGCCTTGCGAGAGCGCTGTCGCTTAGGACTATCCCAATCCCCATTGCGGTCCTCCCCTTCGGCCAGGGCCGCGATATCTCGTTTGGCACCGCCGACGCCAATGGCAGGCGTCGGGTAAACACAGTCTCGACCGGAGGACTCGCAAGCGCGACAGGTGGTGTCGATACCCGAGTTGACGCACTTGATTTTGCTTCGGCGGCAGCGCGCGCAGGCGATGCTTGACCGCATGATGTGGACCGTTTCTCAGACGGGGAGGGCCCGTCTCACCCAGTGATGCAAAGACGAAGACGAGACAGGGAGCGAGCAGGATCGAAGGACAGGACAGGAAGCTAGCAAACGGGATTGACGGCCGAGGAGACCGGACAATACAGCGCCGGCGACAGCGGTCGCAACACGAGTGGTTCTTGACCCCTTTGCACGCCGCCGCGGTCTCTGTATCCGCCGTATTTCTCCGGTAAAATTCCCCGGGATTCCGATGGGGGCGAGTCGGATGACGGGCGGACGGTCTGGGTGGCAGGAATGGGGGACGGGACTGGGCAGGGGGATGGTACGATTTTGAATGTCTGGCCACGGGCTGTTCGACTGTCGGTCAGTACGACATCAACGGCAATCAGGGAAGCGAACGAAGCGAGCATAAAGCCGCTTGTGGATTTTTCTGGGCTTTTTGCTTTTTCTCTCCTAATCCGAGCCGTGCACAAGAACAGCGAAGGGCAGGGATAGGAAGCAAACAACGAAAACGATGGCAGGAGAACAGCAAGAATCGAAGGAAGAGAAAAAGCGAGACGGGGCGACAATCAAAAATGGAGACAGGATTAAATGGGCTAAGAGACGAGACGGACGGGGTGGAATACCTGAAGTGGGAGCTGAGCGCGGAGTGTGGGGGAAGCGAGTCAGTTGAGCCCAGAGTCGGGGCTCCAGTCAGGCACGCGTCTGGAGTAAGGGACGGGGGGCGAAAGGGAGGGGGGGAAGAGGGAAGAGGTCGAGGCGAGGAAGAGCAGGGGAGGGCGAATAATAAAGAACGAGCGGAAGCGAAAAAGAAAGTTGGGATGCGGTGCTAAAGACTGGGCAGGCTGGAGAAATTGCGGAGAGGCCCGACACAGAGTCCGGAGATGAACTAACAACAAGCGATGAAGCCAGATGAAGCCAGACCAGACCGAGCGGCCGGAGCGTGCAGTGTGGAGCCCCTTTCCGAGTGCCGAGAATGTGATTCTCTTCCTGTTTCCCGGGGCAAACAGTGGTCAGTGTCTGGGACAACTGTCTGCATAGTCGGTGTAGATACACTGTACTATGAGATCCTCAAGACTGCTACCTACAAACGGCATCAGTCTCAAAAATATCCAGCTACTGGACATCCTGATGATGAAGCCCCGACACGGACCGAAGCCGGTTAGCAGCAGCCGTGTGGAACGTCACTTGACCCATTACATAACTTGGCCAAGTGCGACGACTCCGAAGGGTAATCTTATTTATGAATAATCGCTACGAGGACGAGATGAGAAAAAGAAAGGATCTTCCGATGCCATTACATCAGTATACACTTTGGCCTTCGTACTATTGTTGAAGCCTTGTTGAGTGCCCAGAGTGACTTCACTGTGGAGGTCATGCAGTCCATCCCCGCGGGGAAGAAGATCCGACCAGGCTCAGGCAGGCAGGCAGGTCTGCTGGGTTGGACAGGGATCGAATTGGTCCCGACACGGCACTGCATCTTGCCCGACATGGCAGATGATAGGGACAATACAAGTACGATTTATACAGGTAGCAGAGTAATTATTCGCAGCACAAGAACTGTCAAGTCCCATGACCCTCTCAGACTCTTACCCACAAGCCGAGCGTGACCGACTGATCGGAATTGCAGAGAGCCCGGCAACGGAACTTCCCCGCGCATTTAACCGGTCCCGAGGCACCCCCGCAACAGCGCCAGCAGGCCTTATATTTGCAGCCCTGCGACTGGACGAGCCTGCCATGCGACTGTACCCTAATTCCCACACTTAGGTAACATCATGCCTCCAACTACCGTGCGGAATCCGTCAACCGTTACACTGGCCGCTCTCTTCGCCCTCGCGATGGAGTCGCTCTCGGGCTTTCCCGGAGAATCGCCGACCTCGCTGAACTGGGCAAACATAACCGCTCGATGGGTTTCTCCAATTCCATTAATTGATTCTTCGACTTGAAAGAAAAGTGAAGGTCGAGGTCAGGTTTGGGAGGGCGAGGGGAAGGGTAAGACAGCATTCTCGTCGGCACTGCGTCTAGCCGTGCCGACATGGCACAGAGCCCCCTAGCACAGACTGTGCTACGACTGCCACAAATATATCACCTGTTTCAAAGGATCTGCTATGTACGTACGGTACAATCCTGGTCATACCTGGGACTTCTGGACCTCCGGCTGTACTTTCACTCCCCGAGCTGTCCAGCCGAAGAGAATGTGATTCCGGTAAAGGATGCGAAGGCTGCCTGCCCCTGCATCGCCGAATCTCACCTATTGGCATCTTGGTCTCTTAGCGAGCTCTATTATACGACAGGGTAAAAATCCCAGTGGTGGCCACGAGAACGCAGAGTACCGACCGACCTATCCGCGGAATGGCCTCGGGAGAACCTGATCCCCCCTCCCATGCGCTGCACTGCACTGACGCTCACCCGACCCCGGAATTTCTAGCCACTGGCTGGGGGTCATGGGCGGGGTATGCTTCTGCAGCCATGCAGCCCTGGAAAGTGGTCCAATAATGGATGGTGAGATAGAGTTTCGTGTCAGAATGGGGTTGTCAAGCACGGCCATCGTTCTCCAGAGAGGCTATCGCACGTGAAGTGAGATCAAGTCGTGAGGAAAGGGGCCCTTGTTGAAGGGAAGTACAATGGCGGTGGTACTACCGTACTAATGATGATGATGATGACTGGTGGTGCTCGTCTCGAGGTAAAATAGGCACACTGCCGACGGGTTCGGATACCACCCTACTACTCCCTACGCCGAATGGGTATACCTGGCAGACTTTTGCCCTTTCCCCAGCCTCCAAAAGAGAGCCATCAATATCAACAGATCTGTAAACCACATGGCCACAGGATACGGCGAAGCTTCAGTGACGTTCTGCCTCCGAGGTAAGCTTCAAGTTGTCTCACCTTACTCTACGAAGTAGACACGTCGGAGAGTATCCCTTTCTTGCCACCCACTGCCGGAGGAAGGCCGGTTGAGCTCAATTGGAACGTCTTCTTGTAGTAAGCCCGGGCGGACGTCAAGAGTCAGGACGGAGAGGATGCTAGGACCGCAGTAGCTTTCCCCGGGATTCAGTCCTACTCCTCGGGCTCAGCCCCCAATCAACCCATCCAATCCTTCCAGTCTGAACCGGAAATTTAGACGGGATCATGACGCTAAGCTGGCCTGGGCCTGCACTGGGTTGCATCGCCGTCGAGCCACCACCGGGCGAGCTTAGATTGCCGCCCGAAAGAAGCTCCGACTCGGGTTCTGAGCCTCTGATTCGCGGACTTACTTGCAGCGCCGCAGGCATCAGGAAAATGAAATAAGAGGCCGGGCGCTAGGACGGGTTCAGACTTTCGAATTGACGGGCCACCGTGGCGCAACCTGAATCATGAATCGAGTTGCGACTTGCGAGCGAACGACCGGTGTTGTTCCGTGGGTACTAGAACTAAATAAACGCGGCATTCCCTCCGTCCGGGTCCTGAATATTTACCCGATGCTTTACCTTTTAAGCTCCAGTTCCAGGTAACCCTAACCCCGTCAGCTCCACTCGGAAGTGCCGAAGAACGTCAACTCGGGCTAGGACTGCCCGAGGCTGGGCAGAGGATATTTAGATGGACAAAGTAGAGAACAGATCATGATATTAGGAATAATACAGGTATCAATTTGAGAAATGAATGGAGTCAATGGCCAGGGCGGATAAGATTAAAATGACGTGATGATAACGAGCGTATATCTCATCCATAGAACCTGGAAAATCAATGTTAGACGGCGTGTTTGAGTGAGGTCGGGTACTTGTACTTACCACGCAGCCACCGCAATAATGATGTACATCATCATCAACAGAACTCCCTCAAGCCAGTGCGACTTTCCGTCGGCAATGAGATAATTCACCAGGAGCACAGAGACGAAAAGCAAGATCACTTGGAAAGGGTCAAAGTCAAGGGACTACTAAGGTTAGCACTGCTGAACTGATTTAACTGCGAATAACATACCATGTCAGTTTTGCCCATGATCCAGCCGAGCACAACTATGAATGGGAGAACAAGCATCGCAATCTGCATACTCGAGCCAACGGCAACTCCAATTGACAAATCCATCTTGTCCTTGATTGCGACCGTAACTGCTGTAGCGTGCTCGGCGGCATTACCGACAATCGGAAGCAGGATCAACCCAACAAATGTTTTCGAAATTCCACCACGTTGGTCTGTCAGCGCGTCAATAGAGTCAACCTGACTGAGTTAGCTAACTTTGTCTCTTTCAGTCTTTGCCAAAGAGAGGGCATACCATGAATTCAGCACACACGCCGACGAGAGCAGTCGAGACACACAGCGTCAGGATAGCGACATAGATGTGAAGCTGGGGCTCTTCCGGCTCGTCGTCAGGATCCTGCACCGACATTTGGTTGTTCGCGCCTGCCAGCGCAGCCGACATATGGCCGATCTGGGCAATGCCCCGGCTGGCGTCGCCTTCGGACACCTTCTGGCGTATCTTCTCGGCTTTTTGACTCGGCGCGTTGTACATCTCAACGTGCGTACTGAGCTGGAAGTAGAGGTAGCATCCGTAGACGACCAGGAGGATTACGGAAGTGCCTGAAGAGAGGTAAGAATGGATCTATTGAACAAGTTCTGAGTACTGACCTTGTGAAAGCTGAGCAACCTTTGATTTATCCGCTACGCCCGTTAGCGCTGCCCAATGCATGATAGGGTGCGAACATACCATCGGCCCAGACATTGAAAGCTGTTGGGATGATCAAACTTCCTACTGCCAGAGCAAGAAGACTGGCTGCTGTTTGTGCAACAACTGGATTGAAGTGCTGCTCTAAGCGGTTGAGCCCACCAAAGAAGAAGCACATGCCCAAGACCAAGAGAAGGTTAGACAGCATACTGCCGATAAGAGACGTCTGCACAATCAACACCTCATCATGGACCAAAGCGATGATAGCGACGATCAACTCGACAGCGTTTCCAAAACTAGCATTAAGGAGACCGCCGATTGTCTCTCCCGTCCGCAAGGCGATTTCTTCAGTTGCAAAACTCAGCATAGCTGCGAGTGGGATGATGGCGATAAAGTTAACCACGAAGACTGCCACAGGGTCCACGTCGACATAATTCAACGCAATTCCAGCCGGAGCGGCGAGAATAAGGATATTAATCCAGGAGTTCAGAACAGTGGCCTTGAACTGCCCCACTGGCGTGAACTTTTGTTTATCCCGCGGTTCATTCTCAGAAACCTCTGTATTCTCTTCGGTTGAGGGCTTTCCTAAGCCTAGGAATCCTCTCCGCTTCCGGGGTTTGCCTTCTGTTTCATCATCTGGGTTTCCACGAGTCGAAACGTTGATCGGCTCGCCGCTGCTCATCGACTGCTCCTGCTCCGCCTTTTCCATGCTTTCAGGGCGCGCTCCTGATTCGACGGTGGTCCCGGTGCCGGGTGGGAAAGAATCTGAATGAGCAGGCCCTTCCAAGCCCTCTCTTATTTCCCTGTTGCGTCGTACCTCTTCCTCAGGGCGAACAGCGCCAGCAGACGAATATTGCGTCAGGCGACTCTCCAGTTGGATTGAATTCGACCGTCGTGGGCTTCTTCGGAACTTTTTGAAGGGATTGTGTATGGTGGGTTCGCCATCTTGATCGTACCAGGCGAGGTTTCTGGCCTTACTTTTGTAGATATCTAGACGAATCAGAAGGAGGGCCAACGGGTGGACGGAATATGCTCACGCATGCTCAATGCAGTTGACTTCTCAACTATTCAATAGTCTGCGGAAAACATTAGACCGTCTTCATGCTTTTAGATATCTGATGTTCTGTAGATGCTGGAGCATCGTGGTCCAAGCCACATACGTGGGTAACCTCCCACGCCACGTAGCCACCTCCAGTACCGGCATCTTGGGCAGAAAATGGACATGGACGAATAAACGGCAGAGCTGCATACTTACTCTGACTGATTGGGGCGTTGAACGATGGAGCTGTGGCTGATAGGACCCTTAGTCGCTGGATATGCTGCTGCCTGGAGTGGAAAGATGAGGCTGGTTGAGATCTGGATGCCGGAAAAGGGGTAGTTGAAGAACCGTGACGGAGCGATCGTCCGATAAGCGATTAATATGATATCAAACTGAAAGAAAGTAGAGAAAGTAAAATGTAGAGAGCGACTACAAAGAAAGTTAAGAAAGACAAACGCCGCTCGCGTCACTTAGTGGTCCCAATGTCAGGATTCTACAGGACAAGAGTCTGCAGAATGATGTTTGGTGTTGATCAGAATCAGATCGCCCGCTAAGACTTCATGGCGAAGCTTTCTTTGCTTGGCACAACAAACGTTGTCGTGCGACGTGCCCAGATTCAAGAATTCGACTTTGAGCCCAAATCCTCCCTTGCTGCGAATTCTTCGCGTTGACTGGCTCTGAAACCCCTGGCTTTCTCATGTTGACGACGCCGGGCGTCTGATTGGCAGTTGAGTGTGGCTATGCAGTCCCGCCCATACCATCATGATATCACTGGCCTCTGAGATCGATCCCTAAACAGAGGAGACGGTCATGGAGACTTGGACCATGATGAGGTTCGAGAGGCCAAGATCCGATCAAGAGACTATTATATGATAGTTCATGCTGGCAGGAGAAAAGGCCAGAGCAGCAAAGTCAGAGTCCCACTATTCAATTTGTCGCTGCATTCGCTGGAACAGGAACAGGCACGGTCGGCGGGAACCAAACCTACCAAACTCTTTCTTTTGGTCCATTGCGCATGATTTTAAAGCCGTATTCTAAGTCCTTTAGTACCTAGTCTATGCCGAGAATAAATGGTATACCGAGAAGAAATAGAAGATTTGGCGATAACGACGAGTCTCAGCACAAGCATTATTGGCTGAGAGATAAGACCTTACAAGAATCACACCAAGCCTGGGCGTCAGTAAGAGTGATGTACTTACAGTATCCTTACGGTATATGATGTAATTCTGTAACTTTGCCTTGGACCCTGGCCAATAAGGGTCTGCCCAGGGTCTTCTCCTGGGTCTAGTTTCAGATATTCTTAGCAGTCGCCGGACAGTGGCAATCTATTCGATTCTTGTCTGTACAGAGTATCTGGGATAACATGCTACACAAGCATGTACAGTGATGTAGCTCAGAGCCGTTGAACTGCCGCGAAGAAGCAACCTCATTTTCAAATTGGTCATTTATGGCCGCCTGTCCCTGAGACCCTGGCTACTTAAGGGACTCAGGGACCGGACCCTCAGGGACATGTTATGAACTCACCAGGGAACGCCTGAGTGTACAAGGACCGTATTACAGTCCCATTTCATCGCCTCCGCCGTCCCACCCCCGTGCCTTTACTTGGACTCCTTTCCTCCATCCCATCCCAACCTTTCCTTTCTTTTCTTCTCTTCTCTCCCTCGTCCTGCCTCTTCACTTTCTACCCATTCTCCATCAGACGACACGTGTGTTTGTCGTCAGTCACTCGTTGTACTTGATTATATATCCCTCCTTCTCTTTCCTGCTCTCTTTCAGGAAGAGTTGCCTCTTCAAAGCTTGATCTTCGTGATCAACAACTGATTAACTGATCGTCCGTTCTCGACACTCGTTCTCCAGTTTTCTGTTGCTCTTGTACAATGAAATTCTCTCTCGCCCTCGCCGGCGCCGCCCTTACGAGCAGCGCCCTGGCGGCCAACCTGCCCGTTATCACCACCAAGGTAAGACCCGGTCGCTCCGAGATCCCCGAGAGCCGGGACGGGCGCTGACAGGCGGACAACCGTAGGGCAACAAATTCTTCTACTCCAACAACGGCACCGAGTTCTTCATCCGTGGTGTTGCCTACCAGCAGGAATACTCCGCCAACAGCTCGTCCTCGGACAACTCGGACTACACCGACCCTCTGGCCGACGACTCCAACTGCGAGCGCGACATCCCCTACCTGAAGGAGCTGCGCACCAACGTCATCCGAACCTATGCCGTTGACCCCACCAAGAGCCACGACCGCTGCATGGGTCTGCTGGCAGACGCCGGCATCTACCTGATCACTGATCTGTCCTCGCCCAGCGAGTCCATCAACCGTGCCGATCCTGCCTGGAACGTCGATCTCTATAACCGTTACACCGGCGTTGTTGATGCTTTCGCCAACTACACCAACGTCATCGGTTTCTTTGCCGGTAACGAAGTCTCCAACAGCAAGAACAACACCAACTCGATTGCGTTCGTCAAGGCTGCCGTGCGTGACATGAAGGCCTACATCAAGAAGAACCACCGTGAGTCCCTGGTTGTTGGATACGCCACTGATGACGATGCCGATCTCCGTGCGGACCTGAAGGACTACCTGGTCTGCGGTGACGAGGATAGCCGAATTGACATGTTTGGATACAACATCTACGAATGGTGCGGTGAATCGAGCTTTTCCACTTCTGGATACGAGGAGCGCACCAAGGAATTCGAGGACTACCCTGTCCCTGCTTTCTTCTCCGAATATGGCTGCATTGACCCTCGTCCTCGCAAGTTCACCGACGTCCCCGTCCTGTTCGGCCCCAAGATGAACGACGTCTGGAGCGGTGGTATTGTCTACATGTACTTCCAAGAAGCCAACGACTATGGTCTGGTCAGCGTTGATGGCGATGAAGTCAAGACCCGGTCTGACTTCTCCTACCTCTCCAAGGAGATGCAGAGTGTCACCGCTACTGGTGTGAACAGCAACTCCTATTCTGCCACCAACACTGCCATCCCCAGCTGCCCTGCCGTTGGCAAGGACTGGGAAGCCAGCTCCGACCTTCCTCCTTCTCCTAACGCCAACCTCTGCTCTTGCATGGAGGACACTCTGACCTGCAAGGTGAAGGATAACGTCGACGAGGATGAGTACGGTGAGATCTTCGACTACATCTGTGGCATCGACGACGGCACCTACTGCGCTGGTCAGGCCGCGAACTCCACCACCGGAACCTACGGAGCGTACAGTGTCTGCACCACCAAGCAGCAGCTTTCTTGGGTCATGAGCCAGTACTACAAGTCCCAGAACAGCGCCGATGCTTGCGACTTTGACGGCCGCGCTGAGACCGTTGACGCCTCGGACTCTAGCAACAGCTGCAAGAGCCTGCTCGACGAGGCTGGCGACAACGGGACCGGCAACGTCACCACTCCTGACGGCGGTGTTGGCGGCGACGCCTCCGGCTCTGGCTCTAGTGCTGGCAGCGAGACCTCTGATGGCGCTGCCGGTCTCGGACCCCGTCCCATGGCTGTCTTCGTTGGCAACTGGCAGCTCGGTGCCTACATCATGACCAGCGCTGTTGCTGGTCTTGGTATGCTTCTTCTGTAGAGAGATGTATAGGATTGATATACTTGCGTTCGTGTTTTTTTTTAGTACATAAATACTCAATTTATGTTGTTTGTTACCTTAGCCTTTTAACTTCCTATGTTCTATCTGTCTAAGATTCTATTTATTACTATATATATATATGGGTACCGCGCATCAAGCCGATCCAAACGTCCAATGCAAGTACCAAACAAGACATAACTCGTAAACCCTAAGTCTTCTCAGGTATCGGAACCCTCCTCTCCACCCATCGCTGCATATCAATCCCAAACCGCGCAATAATCAATACAAGCACTGCCCCGATCAGTGTTAAAAACGCAGCTGTTCACAAGCACAGTTAGCTCAATCCAACCACCGCAAGCACTGAGAAGGAGACAGGATGCATACAAATCGTAAACGTCCACCCAACCCCAATCTTCTCAACCAACGGCACAACAAGCGCACTCGCCCCGGCCGAGAAAATATACTGCACGATATATTTCCCCGCAATGACCTCCGCCCGATGCGCCGGCAACGCCTCAGCCGCATACGTATTCAACCCATTGAAGCTCCCCATCAGCCCGACGCCGCCCACAAACCCCGCAATAATGGGCACGGGCATTCCGCCAACCTCTTGGTCCAGCGTCCACGCGTAGATCAGCGTTGCGCCGGGCAAGACGAGGCTCAGCATGACCAGCCCGGAATTCAGGCGGTCCTGAGGCAGTCTGAACCCGCGCCGCGCGATGTACTTGTGCACGGCCCTGTCGGATAAACGGCCTCCTAGCACGCTGCCGATCAGGAAACCCGAGCCCGGGGCGAGGTAGAACAGACCGCTTACGAGCGCGGAAGTGAGGTTGAAGCGTGGGTTGAAGATTGTGCGGGCGGACGAGAGCAGGGCGTAGAGGTATGTTGATAGGAGGCCGCAGGTTAAGAAGGAAAGGAAGATGTTCGGGTATAGCCAGAGTCTGAAGACGCGGAGGGGGTTGAAGACTTTGAGGGCGTAGCGGAGGGTGATCTGTTTCTTTTTTTGCTCCTTCTCTGTGGAGGGTTCTTGTTGCACCTCTGGCACGAACATCAACGACAGCACCATGCCGAGCCCGGCCATTGCGGTCTGCAGCCAGTAGATGTACCGCCAGCTTGTGAAGGTGACGATTATGCCGCCGATGCAGGGGGCTGTACCAGCCTTGTTAGTCGGTGTCTGACACGTGGTTAATGGAGGGGGTATACCAATCGCAGGGCCAGTCACAGTTCCCAGCATGAATAATCCCACGGCCGTCCCTCGAACTTCCTGTATACCTCGTCAGTCCGAGGTTCCAACCAAATCTCGCCAAAAGTAGACCTACCGGCTCAAAAATATCCGCCAAAACAGTTTGCCCGGACACCATAAAGCTAGTTCCCGTAAACCCGCCCAAGATTCTACACGCCGTAAACCACCCCATACTCCGGCTCCCCGCCGTGAGCCCGCTAGCTGTCACAAGCACCGCAACAGCAATATTATAGCTGACGCGGCGCCCGATGAGGATTGTTAGTGGTCCCCAAAGGAGCGTCGAGAACCCCATGGCCAACAGCACGCCGGCATTTGTGATATTGAGTATCTCGGAAGTTGTGTTGAACTCGGTTGCGATCTCGGGCGTTGCTGGTAAAAGCGCTGTGCTGGAGAATGTTACGGCGAGCGTCATCCACGAGACAATGAAGAGAATTATGTATTTGCGCCATCTTGGGAGCGAAAAGCCGGGAGAGTTGTGAGTCGGTGTTTTCTGGAGGGAATTGGGGGTAGTGGTTCCCGGCGTTGAGCCGGTGCTTTCGACGGCGTTCTTTTCAGTGTCCTCCATTGTCGAAGCCTGAGATCAAAGTTGTATCATAAACTGTTATCAAGGCAGACTTGCATTCAAATATCAATTGCCATTGGGCATTCAGATAGCGGATTCTTTTCCGTTCGGCATGCCGGGCTTGGTGCCGAGGGTTGATATCAGGAGTTCGGCTTCCTGCGCCGAAGTGTATCGTGCCAGCTACGATGAAGATCAGTTAGCGGTTATCCTGAATATACTCAATACAAAAGGTAAAACCTAAAGAAATGTGTATATGCTTACGAAAATTCATGCCCTGAATATAAACCTTCCACATGATCCATGAACGTCTCGACCGGGTTCAGTAGTCCCAAATCCAGATCAGACTGTGCCAGAAAATCCTGCATTGTGGGTTCCATGAATGCCATTGCAGTAGTAAAACCTCCTGCTGTACGGTCTGGAATTTGACTTGGCCCTTGTTCCGGCAACGTAGTGGTAATCGTCGGGGTATGACTGTAGTTAAAGTTGGGCTGATTGTAGGTCGACAAGAGATTGGGGACGGAGCCTGCAACCGTGGCTGGGACTGAGGTCTGCTCGTATCCTGCTGGCCTCTCAGAAGGGGTTGACGGAGTTAATGGCGCAGAAGGGCCAGCTGCAGCCCCAAACGGCCCCCGACTTTGACTCTGGCCCCCACCATTCCTACTCGTACATCTACTGGCAACTCCCCGGTCTGCCCTCCAAGGGTCAAGACACCCTCTCACGCTCTGAAGGTTGTGATAGAACTCGCTTGCCGCCAAATTCCCATTCTCACTCATATTCGCCAACACCTCAAGGCTCGTTTCGAAGGCATTCAGATCTGCAGGACTACCGAGAGGCAGCGGCACAAATGCAGACATAGCGAGCACGAGCGATGCTGAGAAGAGATAATGCGCATGAAAGTAACCGAAGACGGGCAAAGAGCCGTTAATCCACTTCGTGAGGATTATCGAGTGGGAATGGCGGGCGGCGTGGATACAAGCTTCGCCGAGAGTTTGAAGGGGCTGGGATACGGTTTCCTGAGGGGGGTTTGGGGAGGACGTGGTTGAGGTTTCCGTGAGTTTGAGGAGATGTAGTAGAGTTGGCCGGGTGGTTAAGATGACACACTATTCGCTGTTAGTAATGCCGCCATAAGACAAATGGACGAGTGAGCGTACCTGATTGAAAGCAAGATGTATGGACGTAACCTGCTTTGTATTCATCTCGGGATCATCAACGTTTAGTCGTAGATGCTCAGGCAACGTATCAACCCAGTTCTTCAACGCTTTGAGCAACTTCTGCACCCGTTGCAGGAACGTCTCGTTATACTTGCGTCGACTATAGACCTTTGCCGTCGTCTCGCCGACAATTCGTGCGAGGTTAATGTTGGCCTTGAGGAACTCCACGTCTGTGAATTGCTCATCGTAAGTCTGATTCGGCAATGTGCTTGACGGCATGTCGAGGTGGATGTCATCGTCTAGTATTTGTGATGGTAAGCCCATCTTCGACGCCCACATACGGTCGAAGATATAGATTGTCCACCAAATTCGCACGCGGTGCTGCCGCTCAACGGGATCAATGAGTTGGGATTCAGGGATGTTGTGGTTTAGCCCTATGCAGAGGCCGAGGCGCATGGCACTGCCGATGAGGACGTATGCTGAGTGGCGGCGGTTTAGGTAGTAGGAGAATAGGGACTACCTCGTCAGCATGCTTGACTGTTGGGTGGATGGGGTGAAAGTGGGACACATACCAAAAGTAATAACGTCTCCAGGTGCGTAATGCTCGTCCTCTCAGGCAGTACCTGCACGAGACTCAGACTCCTCGCAAAGTAAGACGTCCCCGGAACCCTACTCCCGGAAGCCGGCTCACTGCGCATCGAATACGCCTCTCCAAATGCAAACAACGCAAAGAATTTGCACTGATTAACTGTGCACTCAAAGTCGCCAGTCCGATAAATCTCCTCCAGTTTGTCTAGGGTTGATTTTCGAAGCAGCACATGGTACACGCAGCTAATCTGGCGAATTGCGATCTTCACCAGCAGCCGCGCCTGCTGGAGACTCGGCCATCGAATCTCGCCAGCATTTGCGAGGGCAATGTTCTCTTCTTTGACGTACTGCGTGCGTCGAATATGTGCTGTTGCATTGCTGCCCGTTAAGAACTGGCGGAAGCGCGTCGCGAACGCCGTACAGGCGGCCTCGCCAACGAATATTGGTGGCGCCGACGGGTCATAGGCGTGAAACCAAGCCCGGTCTCCGATTATGGGATTTCGAACGCTGGTGCTATTATCATTTTCGTTTCCCGCTTCATCTTGCCCGTCTGGACCAAGGCGGGTATGGTCGGCTTCTGGACCTGGACGAGCCTCGGGCGTGTTCGCCGAGGATGCTGATTGCGCTCGGAGGCGTTGAATTTCAGCCAGTATTTGCTCAAGATAGCTATTGACATCAGTATAAGCAGGGCAAGACTGTAACAGGTGTCCATACCTTTCGCTAACTTTGACTTGACGGTCGCGTGCCGGGTATCGGCACTCGTCAGCGCAACCAACGAGGCGACATTTCATGCATGGCTCATCACCAGAACACTTGATTTTGTGAGAATGACATCTTTCGCACCTAATGACGAGAGGAATCTATGTCAGTAAAATGCAGCATCCTTGAGAGACCAGCGTACGCAACGGTTTTCCTTCGTTTCACTGCTTCGCCAGGCGAATCGGCGGTTTGGCTATGTCTTCTGCGATTCATTGGTCATGCTGCTTATCATTGGCTGAAATCAAAATTACAGCTGAGATCACTAATCAAACTGTAGGGCTGAGTCGGCTGACGTTAGTTGTGCAACTGGAAGATGTGAGAAGTTCGGTGACGATGCAGCGGAGATTCGGCGTTTTATCGCTACGCCGAGCCAAACCTCAGACTGCCCAGGTGCGAGTCTAGAACCGGATCTTAAGCATTCAAGAGAGCCCAACTATATTCTCGATTTTTTTTATTGGTATAACTAATAAGAATACTGCTACACCGACCGACTTTTGACCTACAGACATCAGGCACAGTTGTCACCACTCTTGGCATTATGTACGAGCATGGCCGTCAAAACTATCTGCCACCATATCTGGTTAGCGATGAAACATAGAAAGAAGCGCGCAGGAGACAGTGGATGTAAACAATGGCCGTAAATCATCAACTGAACCATCAATAATTATCCTCTTCCCCCTGCTGATAGACGTGTCGCGACCGAGTAGGATCTTTGCGCATCGTTTGTCCCGATCCGGTAAAACCAACTAGAAGTATTAGCACCGACTCTCGAAAGACGTGGGAGGACATACCTCGAGCATTCACACCCTCACCAGTCCTGAACATGCTGTCCTTCCGCCCAATCTTGGTCTTGCTGGCAAAATCCTTCCACTTGTTCTTACCCGCCTCGAGCTCCTTGTTGGCCTTGACCTTCCGCGCTGCCTTCGTAGGGCGCCCAGGCCCGTCGCCGACCTTATTAGGGTCCTTGCGTGCCTGGTTTGCCAGTGCGGGGTTGATATCTGCTGCGGCCGAGATGACGCTTGCGTGGGGAGGTTGAGGAACTGGGGAGTGGTTTGAGCTGCCTGGGCTTCCATCAGCCTTGCGTTTTCGCGAGTCACTGTTGGAAATGGGTTTGAGATCTTTTGCAGTTAGGGATTCCACCGTCCCATATGACTTGAACGAGACAATGTAAACGGGGTTGCTGGACGAGCCGGTGATGGAAGTGATGCGTGCCGGGTAGAACGAATTGTCGCCGGACACCCAACGGGCGAGCACATGCTCGTTTACGGAGAACGAAGCGGGTGCGGAGTTGGAGTTATCATCTGCTTGGTCGACTGCCGGGGCACGATAGCTGGGCTTTGAGGCGTAGTCGTCTCTGGAGCCTTTTGATCTTGTCGGAGCGGTGTATGGCTGGGGAGCGGCAGGTTTGAGCTCGGCGATTGATGTTTCAGTGAAGTTTATAAGTTCTTCCAGCTCAGCTTTGAGACTCTGCAATTCCGTGTTATCTGGGTCTACCTGCAAACTAGATTGAACAGTTTCAAGCTGCGGCGGTTAGATGCGCTCACCATATCGGGTGGCTGACTCACCTGAAGCTTGAACTCCTTTACCTCAGCCTCCAGGGCTGCGACGTCTGACATGATGATACTAGCAAAGACGAAAGGGGCGGAAAGCTTGAGTGGGTCGGATAGCTAGCTTAGCTGGTGTTTGACTCTGCAGTCTGCACGCGTGTCGGTCGGAGGAGTCTGAGATTCGCGCCGGGCGGTTGGCGAGTGCGGCACGTGATCCGCCACATGGTCACATCATAACGGAAACACGGGGTACGGTGTAGAACTGTAGATACGGACTAGATCCAGCTAAATCTGAAACGAGGGATCAAAGCTACGTATGTACACTACTAGCTATTGGTATCTAGGCCAACCGTCTATCAGCTCATTCCCAAGATTAAGCGAACACGAGAAAACTGGCTTCTCTGGAGTCGATGTATGACGAACAACCTTGGAATAATCAAAAGTCCTGCCCGGATGGGGTGACATCCGGATCGCCCTACGGATCCAAAAAGTCCGACTTGATCGTGAATCGTGAAGATACGGATGAAGGATTGGATCCCGATGAGTCAGACTTGAGCCCAGAATCGCCGAATATCAAATGAAATGCGTCTCACCCAGGGATCCTAGTCCTGGGATGTTCGCAAAGCGAAACCTCACTGTCTGACCGTCAAACAGTCAGCGAATGAAATGGAGCTGTGGAATCCTCGTGCTGGATGAAACTGAAAGCAGCCCACTGATTTTCCCGCCTTCTTCGCTGCTTTAGCCCATCATGATTGGCGGTCAGCTATCAAAATGTGGGCGATCCAGAGTCACGGGATCCTGCCGCGCATCCGAGAAATTGGGGTCTGATAAGATGAGGTTGGTTGAATGATAAGAGATGAGGAAACAATGAGTGGAATCATGCCAATCGTATGTAAACCAGGGTGTAGATAGAGGCAAGAAAAGGGCGAGAGCTGTGAGGACTGGAAAGGAAGTCTGCGATAACGGAGCATGAGGCTGAATGATCGTCCTCTAGCAGAGGAGAAATCGAGAAGGTCGCAGAATCGACCCTCCGGCCTGATTTCTAAGCAGCGCTGTCGGGTTTTGCTGGGCTTAAAGCAGCACCAGCTGTAAGAAAATACCACTGGCTGTAGCTGGCCGCAGCCAATCAAAGACACCAATTCCTGCCGCCGCTTTACGACCGCCACCCCCCGTGACTGCATCCTGCATCGCCGTCCCCTCCTCAGCCTGCTTCTCGCCTCCACGTTTCTCAGGCCCTCCTCGTCATCTCGTCCGATATTGACCAACAGAGTGGCTCTTTGTTTGCGTCGCTGTTCAGCCAACCATCCATAGTTGCCTCGAGGCACTAGTCTATCCTTTGATTCTTTTTCCAACCTCACATCTCTCTCTTCCAACCCCTCTGCCTGCGAGGTGTCTCACCACTTTTGCCGGTCAATTTCAACAAAGTGTTATTCTATCCTTGTCACGCTTTTGACTCATCTCAGCGCTGAGGACAAACGTACTTCAGATCTTTTTCATTAATTGGAATTGCTTCATCAATACTGAGTCATTTCTACCTGGTGACTGAGCATTCTTGAGTCCTTTGGTGGAGCACTGCCACTGCCATTAGGTCCAGCCTCGCAGTTCGATCTTGTTGTCCACATCGACCCTGCGAACGGGCGGGAAGCCCGATTTGATTGACAGCTACGTTATAACATCAGCTTTAGCTTTCATTTAAGCCTCGCCCGAACTGCACACACTAGCATCTTCGCAATGGCCGACTACAACGCTCTGTACCAGCACGGCCTTTACCTTTCTCCCGATCAACAGGACCTCCTCCTTGCCGCCCTCTCCTCGAACAACCCGCCCTCAAAGCAGAAGCAGAATCCTCAAGATCCGGAGATTGGTTCAAATTCAAACAACACCCCGGGTCAGGCGTCTTCAGGAAGCTTCAATGCATCCCCAGCATTTGATGGTTCTCACCAGTTCGAGAACCTCAACTACGACGAAAGCCCTTTCCTTGATTTTAATCCCGAACTTGAATGGGACTTTCCCGGCACCGAAAATTTGATTGGCGAGTTACCCGGGAGCGCAACGTCAGACGATCACGAGGTCGGTGACAAGCGCAAGGAATCCGACAGCAGCAGCGAAGCCCACGGAAAGAAGCGAAGGGAAAGTGACGATAAGAGCGATGACAAGGCATCGAAGAAACCAGGAAGAAAGCCGTTGACGTCAGAACCGACATCGGTATGTATAAGCACTTACTGGTGAGAACTGCGATTGCTGACGTTTCTGGTAGAAACGAAAGGCACAGAATCGGGCAGCGCAACGGGCGTTCCGTGAGCGTAAGGAAAAGCATCTGAAGGATTTGGAAACGAAAGTGGATGAACTACAGAGGGCGTCTGATGATGCCAATCAAGAAAATGGGTTGCTCAAAGCTCAAGTGGAACGTCTGCAAGTCGAACTTCGCGAGTACCGGAAGCGTTTGTCATGGGTGACTCAAGGAAACGCCCTTTCGGCCATCAACTCATATCCAGGCAACGCCAACCGCATGTCTGGTCTGAACAATAATGATTTCATGTTTGACTTCCCCAAGTTTGGTGATCTCCCTGGCGGTCGTATCTTCAGTGGTTCGATGGCCAAGGCAAACCAGAACAAGAAAGATGACGCTCCCATACCTGGCGTTCTTCGACACTCTCCGCTACAAACAACAAATGGCCGATCTTCTAACACAGCATCGCCCAGAGACGCCACCCCGAACAAGCCCGCCACCGCATCTCCCATCACCGCAAACGGACATCCGAACAGCTTCTACAAATTCCAACAACAGTCTGGACAAGTGCACGATACATCCAACTCTGATTCTCCCTCTTCGTCTTCGGACTCGCACCGGTATCTCTCATCCAGTGGCACCTCTCCGGAGCCCAGTGTGCAGTCTCCGGATAACCAGCACAAGGACTCTCATGACGGGCACGCTTGCACTATCGACGGAGAAAAATCATTCTGTGCCCAACTGGGCATGGCATGCGGTAATATTAACAATCCTATCCCCGCTGTGAGACACCGGAGCGAAAGTGCCACGGGCACGCCCAATGCACCCCAGAGCACGGATAACACAGAGAACGTTGCTGGGATCGACTTTATGGCCCAGCAGAATGGCGGCCAATTTGATCCGCTGCTATTTGGGGACTGGCGAGAGCCTCAAGATGCTATCCTGTCGCAAGATTTCAACACGTTCTTTGACGACGCGTTCCCGTTGCCTGATCTCGGCAGCCCATCGCACAACCTCACAGAAGCCGGTACAAACGCCCAACCAAAGAAAAGCATACTTGAAGTCATGGATAACAAGATGGATGAAGAGGTTGTGCCTGGTGAAGACAAAGCTCAAATGCTGTCCTGCACCAAGATTTGGTATGATCTACACCCGCTATCGCTTAACAAGCATATACTGACATGGCTCTTTAGGGATCGTCTGCAATCCATGGAGAAGTTCCGCAACGGGGAAATCGACGTTGACAACCTGTGTTCAGAGCTGCGTACAAAGGCTCGGTGTTCGGAGGGCGGCGTCGTCGTGAACCAAAGGGACGTGGATGATATAATCGGCCGCGTTTAGTCGGTCCTTCGATTCGTTTGACCAACAACCATGGAAATATCTACTTCTCAATACGCACACGGACACGCACGATATGATACCTCGATGATACTTGGAGTAAAGGATACGATGCGGGATTCTAGCTGTTTCGTTTTACTTGGGACGCACAACCACAATTGCGACTTGAATTCGGTGCAATTAATGATTTATGGATACTTTTTTCCCTGCTCTTTTTCTTTCTTTCGTTAAGCTTTCTTGATTCTAGGTGACTGGGCGGTGAATCTGACACGCAAAAAGTGGTCTAGTCTATACCCCACCTCGATTTGATGCCTTGCTGGGGAAGGAAAACATCGTCCATCACCTTACTACTGGAGTTCCCTCGGCGAAAATGCACAGGAGAAATACATATTGGAAAAATAGGGCATCAGGCGCTCGCGATCGTTTATACTCAAACCCATCCCTTCCCGTGGTTTTTGAGGATGGTGCATGTGCATTTTGACATAGTCTTACGGCTGCTTTTGTACTCGCTCAAGTTATGGTACCTTTGATAACATACTTCCTTTTTCACTTGACTTGATCTCTTTGCCCATTATGCGCGCACAGCATGTGTATTCTTCGCTTTATATATATGCTTCGAGCAATTCTCAACTCCTGAAGATATACATGATCAAACCCGCCAATGTAAGCCACGGAGTAAGTATATACACTCCCGGTTTGTCATTGGTCGTCATTGGAAATTAATTTATCATGCAATTATCGAAATCTTTAATTCTATTTCGGTTGGCCGGGAGGATGAGGTCGTTCGGCAGGAAGGACTCCCGGGGTAAGTGCTGATGGCTAAGGCGACGCAAGATAAGGATGAACGCTTCTGTCTAATGGGGGAAGCCGGGGCACGAAGCAGAGGATCATCAAGGGGTTGTGGAGAGCAGGGCAGACCGAGATCAGGCATGAGTAAATAGTTTTATTACACAGGAGTGAAATTAAGCTACTGCAACCGTGAAGATCGGTTATACCACATGACAACATGGGCCGGATAAAGGTAAGAAAAACCAAAGCGGCCGAAGAAAAGGTGTAGATGACACTGAAGCGAAGAGGGAATACAAGGAACTAGAGAGGCAAAAATAGCAGGCTAATAGGTCAAAATCATGCCCTTAGGCGTCGCCAGACGCGGCTGGCTTGTCACCGATCGGTGTGGACGTTGATGGGGCGGATGAATCCGAGGGACCCTTGCTGAATCCGCCGCGACCACCTCGTCCTCCGCGTCCACGATCACCGCGGCCACGGCCGCCCCCTCGCCCGCCGAATCCTCGTCCACGTCCAGTCTCGCTATCGCTAGCACCGCCACTCTGGTACCCCCCGCGTTGTGATGTGGTGCTGCCTCCTCGGCTGCTGCTCTGCCATGTGCCGGCGTTCCCCCGGTGACCGCCACGGTCCTCGAAGAACTTGACGTTGGGCTTGCGTTGACCAGGAGGGCTAGATTTCTTGTTTTCGATGGGAAGGTGATCGAGGGCTGCTTTGGCATCCTCAACGCTTCCAAACGTGGCAACGTGGTTAAACTTGCCCCATTTCTCCACCTTCACCAGCTTAGCCTTATCCTCCTCACCGAAGAGATCACGTGCGGCTTGCTCACTATCGACGTTAGAAATGAAAAGGGCGTTGCTCTGTTTCCGCTCTGGCTTAGGAGCCGGAGACTCCCCTTGCTTGTCGCCATGTGTGGAGCCGTTGGCCTCAAGAGTAGCAGAAGATTCGGTTGATTCAACGGACTGAGAGACGGCTGGGGTTGTCGAGGGCTGTGGTGTCACGGATTTGGGGATGACGGGAGCAGGAGAAGTGCGGGCGGCAGCGGCGGGACCTTTGCCCGGTGCGGGCTGCTGAGCAGGCGCTGCTCGGGTGGGGATAGCCTGAGCTTGACCAAACTGAGGAGTGGCAACGTTGGGTCGGGCGGCATTGACGGGCGAGGGAACGTTGACGGGAGCGCTCGCCATCTGAGCAGGCTGAGGAGCTCCAGAGACTGGAGGCTTGCCGGTCCGGTGAGCAAAGTTAAATCCCTGAGCGCGCATTTCCGTGCCAATACGTCCAGACTCAACCTCGAGAACCAAGAATCCGAAAGCAGCATCCGCCAGGTTGAAATTCCACATGTTCTTGAAAGCACTCTCGTCTACCTGGCCAGTGCCAGGGTTGGTAGGCCCACCGAAGGGGTTCCCACCACTGGCCACGGATGGCATCTTGTCAACAACATTGAGTGCGTTTTCCAAGAGAGTCTTCTGAGCGTCGTTCTGAGAAATGGCGGACTCGACCTCACCTCGGACGGTTTCCCACACATCATTGAAAGAGGCCTTGGAGGCGGCCAGCTTGCCCCGGTAGTGGTCGAGCGAGGGGTTAACAGAGAACTCATTGTAGGACGAGCCGTAACGGAAGTGAAGTCCGGCTGAGATGGAGAAATCGGCCTTGAGGGTCACGGAAAGCTGGTTCAACATGCCCTCGCGAGCGGGTGAGGCGTGAGTAACAAAGAGACGAGTCTCCGACGGGTCGTAAACACGATTAGCAGTGTCGATCAGCTCACCCATCTGGAGCAGGGTTGTCCACATCGTTCCCTGGCCGCCCGCAATAGTTGTCTTGCCCTCTCCATTGTCAAACAGCTTGTGCATCACCACCGCACCACCCAGTCCGAGCAGACGGAGCTTAACTCCGCCAATGTCCAGCAACCGTGAGTTGGCCTCATCGATGATGTGTAGCTTATCAACCTTGTATTCACCGGAACGGAACTTCTCCAGTACCCTTACATCCTCGCAAGCACCCCAGACAGTGTATACGGGAACGTCGAGGGTCAGCCGCTTGTCCAGCAGCATGGAGAGCTCTGAAAGGGGTAGCTGGTCTGGTGTAAACCGCGATTTAATTGACTGCTGGGGAGGTGTCTGAGCGATCGCGCGTTTCACGCCCTCTGGCAGCAAAGGAGAGTACTGAGCAACATGCTTGAGAGTCCTGAAGAAATTCACAGAGTGTTAGGATCCAATCAATTCAACAAATGAAAGCCCGGAAGTCAGGTCCACTGTACTCACTTGTCTGCAATGCGGTCCAGCGAAGTGTCATCGTAAAAGCCGAAGTCACCGGTGTGGATAATGTAATCTGCGCGAGCCTGCCTGGCCAGCTCATTCAGAGACTTCAGGTTTCCTGTGGGCGGAAAAAGCAAAAAACAAACGCTCTGGTTAGCCCAGTCCATCTTGATTCCTCCCCAATGGGCATCGGAGGTATTTTCCGCAGCAACGTACCTCGCACATCTGCAATACACAGCACTCTTACTGGGCCATTTTGGATAATTCGTCCGTTGTTGGGGAGTAGAGGGGCGGCTCCAGGAACCGGACCAGAAGCACCGTTGGGGAGGGGATAGCCTTGCGGAGCGAAGTTGTGAGGGGGGCGGGGCTACAGCGACAGGCGGAATAGATTAGCATAGGGGTTCATAGTGTGTTGGAGCAGTATTGGCGCGCGCTCGAGCTGTCCGACGCGTGGGCATCTCAAGGTGGGAGAATGACGTTGAACAGCTAAGCTCCCACCTACGGGGTTGGGGGTGCTCGGGGGCGACAACAACAGAGGAGGCGGACTTACAGAAGCCATGGGGAGGATATGGGCAAAAGGTCGGTATAATGAGGGATAAGAGGACTGAAGAAGATGAAGAGCGACGAAGAAAAGAAGGAAGGGCGATTGAGACGAAAGTCAGCTGGTAGAGAGGAGCAACAGCAAAAAAGCGGCCAGCGGTTTGGAAGTCTGGAAGGAGCTGCTGCGATTATGTAAGCCCCAGGGGTCTACAACCTGGAACCTTTCTTCAACATCTACAGCTATCGACAAAAGCATTTGTTTGTAAAAACCAATATGTCCAAGACACTCTAACTAATGTGCAGCGAAATACAGCTTTGAGAAATTACATTTCACGTCGAGCCTGGCGACGGTCGATGTCTACAAATCTTCTCTCACTTCAGAGGTCTCGCCAGACGTCTTGCCCAATGCCTCCTCAAGCTTGCCTTCAATTGCAACTTGAAGAGATTTAGGTCCCTGTAATGCCATCAAAGCGAAATGGCCACCAACGGTCGGTCGCGCGCGGCACAAAACAGGAACTCCAGGCTCATGCCCCTGTGCTGATGTGGCGATATAGCGATCGGAGAACGGCCAGTTGTGCTTACCATTGGACACAAACGCCCAGAGATCGTCGATAAACTCAAAGCGAGTGGTTGTATTGGCAAAGGTGCCTGCCAGCCACATGTTCCAGTCAGACTTGGCCCAGTCCTGTCGGCTATCCAGCGGAACGCCATACTCTCCCCGGACGCTTTTGAAGAACGTATTTCCCATCTGGTATGCTTCCTGGGGAAACGTTTCCAGTTTAAACAATACATCTGGGTATAGGTTGTATGGAGTTTTCCAGGAGGTAGGCTTATTGGGATATTGCAGGACGAAGTGAGTCTTTGCCTCATCCGTCCCAAGCCCTTGGTTGAAGAAGAGGTTCGCACGTTCTTCGCCTATCCTCGAATACTCGCGGAACCCGCTTAGTTCACCAAATGCCTTGAGCCCGACCGCTGCCTTTATCGCGAGGTTTGTTTCGTTGGCGAGAGGACCGGCGGCATCATTGGAGGACAGCTGCAACTCGATGTCGATGCTGTTCTCAACCAAGTAGTCTGCATACTTCTTCAGAATGTCGATGTATTGGGCGACCCATGCTTCGTCTCCCGTTGCCCTTAAGTATGCCAAAACAAGGACCATTAAATTCCCGCACTCCTCAATAGGCATTGGCTCCGCTTTCTGGTCATCATGTCCAATGGCATTTGGATAGTGCGTGCCCATGTCGTGGATGGTATATGGCAGCTGCCAACGTCCAGCCGCAAGATAACGCATCATCGGTTCCAGCAGGAGGCGGATATAGTCCGGGTCCATAACGTAATAGATTGGAAATGCAGGCATGATAACGTCAACAGTGTTAATATTACCATTGCTAGACAGCTCCTTGACAAAGGCCAGTACGTCGTTTGTATCGAGTGAGTCGTCAGCAATGGTAAGGTCAATCCCACCCCAAGCCTGACGGGCCGAAAGCGTGACAATATCGGCGTACTTGCTACCCCCTGCTAGAGTTGCCTGAGCGGCCATCTCAACGTCGACAACCTTTGATTCAACTACCGCAGCTGGGTAGTCCTCGAAAAAGTGAGATAGCGCTTTGTATGTGTCGGGGTAACGGGCCCTATAGTACCCTGTGTACGGCTTTCCGAGGTAGTTGATAGCCTCTTTTCTCACGTAGCCAACTGCAAAACTTACTGATTCCTCGCTACTAACAATTCCAAGGTCATGAGAGAGCGCAACAACCCCGCCAGGAACCCAGGGCTCGTCGCTCGTGGCTAGCTTGCCATTGTTTACGAATTGAGAGTGCACGTCTCCGCGCCGAGCCGAGGAAAAGGAGAGCTTGGACTTGGGAGTCTGAACAGACGAGAGAACTGCTTCTCCCCAAGTAGCCATGTCACTGTTCTCTGCATAGCGAATCGCATCCTTGATTTTAAGAGCATAGGCTAGGGTGTCTCCTTCTCGACGAAAATCGCAGACAGTGTTCTGCGCTTCGCCGGTCCATCTTCCATCAATACTCGTATATATCTGAACATTGTTCGCATCGGCCCCGGAGACATTGACCGTCAAATAGCCTGCATCTGGATTAGTTGTGTTGCTTTAACTTGAAGCAAATAACCTTACTGAACGGAAGAGACTGCCGTAAGTAGTTGGACGGGGATATCGGAGAGAAGAAGTCTAACGTAAAATCCACTGGACCGGCAGCAAGCTTAAAAACTGAGTGAGTGGCAGTATACTCGGCTGTGCGGACGACGGCAGGACGGATCTTGTCCCCGGGATTCGTGATGCCCATCAAGCTGTATGTCTGGTTGTCAACGCGAGCCATTATGGACCAGCTCAGATTCTGTCCGGCCCAAAACTGCGGCTCCGCATATGGTAAGTCCTTGACTTGGTCGCTGGGCATCCATGTTGATAGATAGGGGTTCCTGACGGCTAAGGGATACGATGGAGGCCGTGTGAAGGCAGAGGTTTTTCTGAAGTGAAAGATGATGATATTCCTAGGATCTCGACGATCGAGCTAGCTAAGGATGTTCCTCTACCGCCTAGCTTACATAATACCGGCAGAAAACCGTCATGTTAATAGTGCCGGGAAACAAAGAAGTTTATGTCCTTGTAGACCACGATGCATAGGAGTAGATAGGAAAAGCGTGAAATAGAAATAGAAAAGGTAGGAAGAACATGAAATTTTACTGCAAAGTCTTGTTCTGCGTATAAATTTACTTAGCATGCTTAAAGTTATATTTAGTAATAAGGTTTTTATAATTTATGTTATTAGTTTATACCCACTTATTATAGTTAGCGAAATATTTAAAATAGCATATAAGGTATTTAATATAAGAAGTTTATAAATAGCCGTATTTATAAATATAATAATTAAGTAATTTTTTAACTTTATAAAAGTTATTAAAATTAATATTTTTAATAACTATAGGCAGAGCGGGATAGTAATAATTTTATAAATTTTTTTTAAATAAAGCAGGTTTAAGCTGCATTATAAATATTATAAAATATATTTTTTAATTAGGTGGTAAACCTTTTAGGCGGTATACCATGCGCCTAATATATTTTTTAACTTTAAAAAAACTAGTAAATTATTTAGTAAACTTAGGTAAAAAATAAGTAGGTACTAGCAAAGTATATTTATAATATAAATATAAATAAATAAGCTAGCTAATAATAAACTTAATAAGCTTATATTTTTAATTATAGGCAACCTTTATATAAATAGTAATAAAGTTTAATACTTTTTTAATATTAAAGCACGTAAAAAAGTCCTAATTTTACTAGAAAACTTTTTGCAAGATATTTTAGGGTAAATATAGGTTAATATTAAATAAGAGCTTGTATAATATAGAGTTTATAATTTATAAGTAGGTAAAATTTACTATAAAAATTATAGCTAGTAAAATTACTAGTTATAAAAAGCCTTAGGTTACTATATAATAAATTATTACTTTTACTTTTTATATTATTTTTTTAAAAAAACTATTTATTTATAGGTAAGCTGCGGTGGCGTAGTGCCATATTATATTAAGGGTAAGTTTAGTAAATATTTTTTACTAAAAGAAGGACAAGAACTTTAAATCTTAGTTAAAGATAAAGCACCTTGGAATACCCTAGTTATAAGCTTAGTAATATTTTATAAAGGTAAAACCTTATTTTTAAGTTATTTATATAAAACATTTTAAAAGGAGGCCAAGGTGCTTGGTAAACTTATTTACTATAATAAGTAAAATATTAAAATAAATAGTATTTTTTTTAGGTGTAGGAATAGCTTTAGCATGTTTATTAGGTATAAATTAGTAGTAGGGTAGTCCTATAATAAAATTTATAGTAATTATATTAAATAACATGGCTGCTATTCCTATAGGTTATAAAAAATTAAAAGGTTTATAGTACTTAATAATATTCTTAAAATAGGATAAATAGTAAGTAATATAGTTTTAAAAAAGTATTTAACCTTTATATAGCATAATTTTATAAAAAGCCTGCTAATAAAAATCTAGGCCTTAATATTCACGCTTGTTATAAATTATATAAAATACCTTTATAAAAAGTAACTAAAGAATGTATAGCCATGGTTTTATAAGTAGGGTAGGCGTGTTATTAATATTTACTATTTTTTAATATTTTATATAAAGTATGCTATTTTTATTTAGCAAATATGGCAGGGCATTAGTTTAGTTATTTTTTATAGCTTTAAGAATTGCTAAAATATAAAAATTATTTTTATACTTATTTTTTAGGCGTTGCCAGAAGCTCTTTAAAATAAATAAAAAAAATAGTATATAGTTATTATTAGTACTTGCTTTGGCCGGCAAAGCAGCAAGCAAATTATTTAAATTTATAAAACTTTTTAGTGCAGGAGTTTTGCAAGGTAATTAAAAAAGCATGTTTAAAATAATATTAGCTTTGCCTGGCTTATAAAAAAGGTTTAGCTTAAATTATTAAATAAACATGCTAGCTTAAACCAGGCATAAGTTTAAATTTTTAATAGTTATAGTATTTAGCAAAGTTTGCTTAAATATATTAATAATAAAGGTATAATTAATATAAACTATCACATGTTTTACTACTTTTATAAGGTAATAAACTTTTTTAATTATTTAAACCAGGTAGGAAACTTCTAGTTTTATTAACTAGTAAAAAAGCTTAGCTTTAATTAAAATATAAAAAAAAAAAGCACTAGCTTCACGCGAGTTTGTAAAAAGGGAACCTTTAAATTATTATAATAAAAAGCAGGGTTAATATAATATATTATAAAGCTATGGCCTAGCTTAAAGGCGTTTAAGTTTATATAAAGTATAACTTTTAGGTTAAAATAGTAAAGAAACTATAGTTTTTGGAACTTATTTTAAATATTTTTAAAAATATAAAGTTTTTTAAAAATAGGAATATTTAGTAGTATATAAAAGGCGTAGTCCTTATAAAGTTGGCCTTTTTTTAATACAGGCTTAAAAAGATTTATTTTTCTTAGTTATAGGGGATTAATTTGCTTGGTGTATTTTAAAATTGCGTGCCTAAACCAGCTAGTTAGGCCTATATAATATTTTAAGTAGTAAAAAGTATAAGAAAACTTTAGGGCTAGAATAGCTTTAATTTTTTTTACTAGTATTATAAGGCCAAGCGCGTTAACTTGCTATTTAAAAAGTTATATTAATAAAAATCCTAAAAATTTTTTTAAAGGCTTTAGTTTTATATTTATATACTTAAGTCTTTAAAAAATAAGCAAAAAATATTAAAAATATTTTTTAAAAAATTAAAATATAACTATAATATTATTAATATATACACGGTAAAATTCTTGGTATTTAGCTAATAATAAATTTATTTATTACTAAAGGTAGGGGACCAAGTTAATAAATCCTATAATAGTTATATAAAATATTTTTTGGCCTTAATAAAAAACTATTACTAAATAATTTTTATGCTCCTGTTTAACTAGTTATTAATAAAAAAATTTAGCTATGTTAATAATAGAAATATGCGTGTATTTTTAAACAAGGCTAACTATTTTAAATTATAAAGAAATTAAATAAATATTAGGTTTGGCTTTTTAATTTACTACTTAAAGGTTAATAATAACATGTTTTTTTTATTTTTTTAGGCTATTTTAGTTAACTACAGTCCGCTATATTATAAAAACAAGAAATTTTATTAAAGTATGTTTAATATATTATTTTAGTTTCCCTAATTATAATAATAAATTAAATATAGCATTAATAACTTTTTAGTTAATAAAAAAAACTTAATATATATAAGCTTTAGGTAAGTAATATTACTAACCTTTATATATAAGAATAGGTATTTAATAGCTTTTTAATAAATTTATTATACCTATATTTATGCCTTTGGGGTTTACCTATATATTAAATTTTTTTATAAGTACTTAATAACGTGAAAGTTCCTTAGAATCCTGGTAGTAAATTATAACTTTATTAGGTAATAGTCTCGCGTGTTTTAAAAGCACTTTTTACTAGTTAAGTAACTTAAAAAGCTATAAGTATTTAATTTTGTTTAATAATATATGCAGCGCGGATATAAATAAAGTAGGAATAATATATTTTATAGGGTTTTTTTTTTATAAGTATAACTTTATAACTTTTTTGTGAGATTGCTTTATATATTACTAATAACCTTAATTATTTAATTTACTAATATTAAGGTTGGCTCTTTAATAAAACTTAATAAAGGTTAGGTTTTTTTCCGGCCGGTAGCCATTCTTAAAAGGGGAAAATTTATTAACTAAGTAAAATTTTAGGTATTTTTTAAGATTTAATATATAGAAGTATATAAAATATTTAAAAAAGTTTTTAACTACTAGTAGCAAGCAAGGAAAATTAGTTTTAATATTTTATTTAAGGCCTTAATAAATAAGAATTTATAATTAATAAGGTGCGCATATAGTAAAGGTTTATTATTTAATAGTTTAAATAGTATATTACGCTTGGGTAGTAACTTTTCTTTAATTTAAATTAAAACGCGAACTTTAGAATATGCTAAAATAAGTATAGTATAAAAAATAAATATAAAAGTGCTTAGTAATTACTTACCCTTAAGTAAAACTTAATAAGCTATAAGAATTTTTAGGCCTTTGCAAGATCTTATAAATACTATTAAATAATTATTAAATAACATAATATTTTTACCTGCTAAGGTTTTTATGCCTAGTAAGAAATTAACACTAGTGTTAGGAATTAAGAAAGTAGTAATAAAGAACTTTATAAATAAATTACTAAATACTAAGCTAGGAAGATATATATTAAATTTAGCGCAAGTATTTAAAGGTGTTTTAGTATAAAAACTATTTATATAAATTTTCTACTTGGCGGGGATGATTTTAACTCTTGGGATATTTTATAAAAAAGTCTTGTTATTAATAAACTAGGAATATTTAGTATTAAAAATAACCTTTATATAATAAGTAATAATATTTAAACTAGTTAAAACTATAGTACTATAGTAGGTTTATAGCAAAAAGGTATTACAAGGTTTTTAATTAAATTTAATAATTTACGCTATAGCTAGATTAATAGTTAGTATAACATGTAAAATATTAATTTTTTTATTTAACATGCTTTTAGTAAAATAATAGTATTTAAAAAAAGTTTTTAGGTGTTTATGCAAGGTATTATTTAATAAAAAACCTACTTAATAACCTTGGCAAGTAACTATCTTAAACTATTAATAATAGGTATTTATAAAACTAGTACTAATATTAGGTTTAAAGTTTAATTTTAAGGCTTTATAATTATTTTACTTGCTAAATATTACAGGGCTTTAATAATAATTAAGGGCAGGGATATTTTATATACTATAATATAT